TGTGAGAGATTCCACAGGCGTGCCTTTCTCTTTTGCTTCTTTTCTTTTCTTTAAATATCTTGTCAGCGACATGTGACATAATCCGAAGTCTTTTGCGATGCCATGAATTTTTTTAGTTTTGTCCTCCTCCAAAATAGCTGCTGATTGTTCATAAACATCTTTAGATATTTTGCCCCGCTCAGTTTTTCTTATATACGTCCTCATCCTACAAAAAAACAGACACAATGTAGCACAAATTATGTCAGTCGACAACAAGCACTACGGGGCAGGTAGTGACAAATCACAACCTACCCCGAGCAAATGTAACTTTTAGCCCCAACACCAAATCTGACCATTTAAGGTTATGCAGTGAAAACGTTAGTAAACATAGCTGTTTAAAAGTAGATTCATTGCAAAACGAAAGCATTAGGGTGTAAAAATCACAACAAGGACATCTCTGCCTTTATGGAACATAGGTTGCAGACCAATATTACTAAAAGTATAAAATGTTACTAACCTGTGATTTTAATGGCAGCACGCGCGTGCTACTCTCACAAAAACGCTGGCGCCACTGTCTCTCGCGGCGCACGGTGGGCAGAATCGGTCGTTATCGGATCAAAAATGTATAACTTCATGATTTTTTGTAGTACCGCAATGAAATTTGCTACAAATATTCAGTGAGGTTTGGAAATTCAAATGATGTATAATTTGTAGTGTTTTTCTATATACATATATATGTTGTATGTCATAGAAGTAAAAAAAATGGGAAAACACAAAAATAAAATGGTAAAAAAAATAATTCCAAAAGAAAGACAAGTTTTAATGACTAAAAAGGCTAAAACTACGGTTAAATACAAAATTACCCAATTAATAAAAAATACAAAAAAAAATTTTTTGCTGAACAAACAAACTATATTAGGCCTGTAGCTTCAGAGATTGATATTACTCGTTACAAACATTACTAATAACTAAATATCAATATTATTTTTATTTTGATAGGTACCAATATTGCTTCAGGATTAGGGTCAGTAAACGTGCGTTCACTTTCAGGTACCACTTTTAAAAGACTTTATTGCCTCCACTTCAAGATTTTTTACATTTCTTAAGTATGGTTTTCTTAAACTTGTTATATATGGATCTGACGTTCACAAAAGCATTTTAAAGACATCTTCATTTGTTGCAGACCGGGAACATTTTTTGGCATGATGAAGTCGCATGTTTCTGTAGTCTTTGTTGCGAGACTCTTGTGCGTCTTCCGACAGCTGTCCAATAGGATTATCTTATTATCTAGTAATTTCTCACGCATAACGAGTGCAAATTTGATAAGATTCCTTTGTTATCGCTAAATAAATAAAATATTCCAAAAGTAATATAATTATTGTCCTTGTGAACGGTGTCTGTGGTAAACCGCCAAAGATACTGATTTTTATTTTCCGACTTTTCACACATTATTTCTTATATTTTCTAAAACCGCAAACTTCCGCAGCTGTTTTTTTTTGTATTCTGTTACTGAATAGTTAGACTATCAATTAACATAAAAAGTTGCGCGTGGGGAGCCGTGGGTAATATTGAAAACCTTAGACGAAAAAAAAGAAAAGTAAAAAATAAGGTATGCCACTTTTTAATTACTTACTGACATAATTGTCGCTGCTTTAGAAATTAAAAAGCTGTAACGTAATAAGCATGAAATAACCTTTCCAAAAATGTATAATACTGCATATATGTACCCAATATATATTGCACAATATGGTTTTGAAACATGTATATGCATAGACTCGAGTTCGGCACTACCGTCTTCTATGTACTTCTACCTATGAAAAAAATGTAACTTCGTGCATTTTCGATAAAAAAACTTAATGAATATTATAATTCGATTATTTGAGATCCTAATAAAATCACCAAATCAAACAAATTATGACATTCGTAAAAGTATTTTTGATATGCTCTTGTTCTACCATTTTCCACGGTGCGGCGTGCTAGCCGGCGGCGGCGGGAGTATTTATCTCTTTCTAGCGTCAGTACTGCGTACTCTGTTTCGCAACCATTGCCACTGTAACTACCTACCCCTGTCACATCCAGCTCCGGTCTCCCCTACCTGGATGACTAAGCTTTACTCGGCATTTTTATAAACATTTTTAAAAAATCGATTTATCGCCTCTGAAAGCCCCTGCAGCAGTTTCCAAGATTATAATACAGTAATTGCTCTTTTTAAATACATAAAAACTTTATTCAAAATACCCGTATAAATAAATGTTCATTTCATAATAGGTTTAATTCCTGTATCTATTTTATTTATTCAAATATTGTGATTTGAATAAATATTACAGCAAACACACAAAAGTGCCAATCTCGCGAGATCTCGTAATTGGCGAGATCGCGCGGTATTGATATTCATAAACTCGCGAGATCTCGCTCGAGTCCCAATCTCGCGCGAACTATGGGCGATTAGTGACTGTATAGGATATTTTTTATTACAATGAGCATTACCAATGTTTATACTCTGTTTTTCTCTTAGATAGCTAAAAAGTGGGTCACCGCTGTTCTAAAATATCCATATATTTGATATATCATACATATATTATCAGTTAAGGTATCGATATAAGCATAGAATTTGAAAATATGCGGCTATATCGTTCGATTTTGTTGGCTTAGAAGTTTGTTTTTTCTCATCTCCAGAGGACAGTAGACCTGTAGGCCTACTCTGTTTGTACACGAACGAAAATTCGACAAATTTCGAATCGTTCTTAAAATTTTGTTGATACAATATCCGTAAAGATTGTCTTTACATCAGAGGCAGTGTCAGGTCCTAACTCTTTTTCATCATAAATTATCGGAAAATGGGTTTCATTAGAGTTATATTAGTGTTTCGAAAATAGTCGAAATTTCGTCTTTCATGAAATAGAGTAGGCCTTCTGAGTATTTAAAATAAATTTCAGCTTAATACCTCTACACGTTCCTAGGTAAAAGGGTCTTAACTGATATCGGACTGACAATAAAGTGATCCTATAAAGGTTCCGTTTTTCCTTTCGAGACACGGAACCCTAAAAAACAATAAAATCTTCCTTCTTTATTATATTAATACAAAAAACTAAATTAATATCTCATTCCTATGTAATATCTAACTCTGCAAAATGATTTCCAGGAACTCACAGAGACATTTTGAAGAACAATTCCCTTGTTAAATAATAATACGCGAGTATAGTTTCAGAGAGTAAGGTCAATATGAAAATAAGGTTACATGTAGGTAATTTCCGCGAGGACAGATAATGAATAATGGAAACAAGACCAAAATAATATTTATATATACACGTACAATCCAGAGGAGCTAAGACGAAAGAGTTGTAGCTGAGTTTATCTGCCTATAGATACTTTAAATACAAATAAAACAAACAAAAGTTTACAATGTAATGTATATTATTCCAAAAAAAATATGCGTATCACATTTATAGGGAATTAAACTTGCATTGTATCTTGTGTAAACGTAAGTATATTCGTGGTCGTACGAAGGTACGTCTTACGTTAAGGTCGTACTGCACCAAGTTTTCCATCATATTAAGTATCTTAAGATGCCAAGCGAAAAGGAAATATATTTTCGTAGGTTATCTAAGATACAAAAAGATGGTAAATTAAGATACGAAATATATTGCGTATCTACGTAATATATATTATATCTTAAGCTATCATATTATAGCATCTTAGCCGTCTGTTACGACCTTTAATATGAGAATTATTTTCCACATTATCGAAGTCGGTTCAATATTTTCCACAGGTATTGTAAATTCGGAAATACGGGCAATTGATAATTATTCTTGACAAATTTTATGCCCTATAAGTATTAGTCAATAGAAGATTACGTCAAATAAATTTTGGAGCAAGAAGATCCTGACAGGTAGAAAAACCCGGAGTAGCACATAAATGGGAGTAAGAAAATTGGAAGGCAAGTGACCCGCAGTGGCACGTCAGGATAGCCAGAAGTTTCACAAAAAAAAATTGCCAATTATCTATGGGTTCAGCAGCGCGGCGCTTCTAGCTGGAAGCCAGGCTCACCCTGAAAAGTGACTATAGATACGTTCGTACTCATAATTAGCTGAAGTCTGTCTTATCCCCTTACCATCTAGCTCCGTATCGTTCCAAAATGACAATTTTATTTCAAAATACTCTGCTTCGCATCAACGGAGTGGCAAACTAAACTTTATTATCTAGTTTTTAAGGTTCCGTATACAAAACCCTTATAAAATCGGTATCACGCCGAGTATACTATTCGTTATAAGTCTATGTCGCGAATGTGACGGCAATGCGTGAAATGTAATAGAATATCGACAAACAAGGACAAAACGATAAGCCATAAAAACACCATTGGTACGTACATAGTGTCCTTGGACAAAGTATTGCTATTGTCGTATAACGTCTATGTATAGGTGCATTTATATCTATAATTAAGTACATTGATCCGTATCAATCTTGTAAAAGATCCAACTTGTTACAACATAAATACTATAGCTCATTCAGCTCACAACTAACCGAATTTCAATGTGTTGTAAGTCTTTATACCTGTACGTAATCAACATGAAAGAACTTGGTTTTAGATTTTTTTGTATGAAAATATATGAACCATCGCATGCTAGCACGCACACAACAAACGTCAGGATCCGTCAGAATACCTTCCTACCAGTACTTGTAGCATGACAAACTCGAGAAACGTTTTGTCTACATATGCGCGCTAAATGTTACGAGAAACACTGTTACAATGCTACGACAAAACGTTCTCGAGTGCGTCATGCTACGCCCAAATGTCACTTTTCTCCGACACACCCGCCCATATCTCACTCTCGACCCGAGAAAAATTACGTGTGGTATAGATAAACCATTTATTAATTTATCATGCTACGCGTGCTGCAAGATGCATGCATATGCAAGGTGTAAATAATAGGTACAGTGTTCCCCGATCGTTCGTCAGTGCCGGCGATCCGGCCTGACGAAAACCAATAAACAACGCATTCAGTGCTCTACTGCTCCCATTTTTATAACCTCACTGCGAGGGGTGCGACTGGGATCCCAAAGGCGTCCCCCTGGTCCCGATAGCACGTCATCGTACGCTCGCCAACCTTATGTATACGGTTAGAAGGGGGGTGCACATGACTCTTGCGTCTTCTTTCTCTCCTCCTACTGTAGATAGTGATTCTTGAAGGATCAATGCTCTCCTGACTAATATACCAACCAACAGCTTTACTCTTGAAATCGATCGCTTTCAGTATCACATAAATGTTCTCTAGAATAAATGCAATACTCAAGAATTGTATTTCAAAACAACTAATTTTTCAATAATTGAGATTGTCATTAAATCGGCTTGAAATTGTGATTGGGGTAGAGTAAGCCTACAGATCGGTACAAGTATACCGCTCAATCCATATTGTAACCGAACAAGCACTGTAACAGATTGTATATTAAGTGGTAGGTCTGGGAAGAGTAGCATCAAAAGTTCGCAATCGCAATTTTACTGACTTCAGTTGCTAACTCATAGCGATAATAAGTAAAATATTGTTGCAAGTTTTTACAGTTAAGTACATTGTCATATGTTAGGCAGATACTGAATACAACGGTCAAATAAATGATCTTGATCAGTTTCCTATAGATTAAGTTTGACAGCTCAACCAATAGTCTGTGATCATTACTTATTAACATCTTATGAAAGATTACATTTTAATGGAATATTAATATTAAATGCATTATTTCTTTCAACTGTTCTCTAGTATTATATTTATTATATGGAAACTCAAACTTTATAGACTAATATGGATCAGTACAACGACAAATTTTTTATTTGTTTAGATTTTTATTGAAATTAAAGATTTATAATAAGAGTAATTGTATAATTGTAAAAAAATATGGATTTTGAAAAGGTCAGCAGTTTCTGACTAACCATATTTATGAAACATAAGTATGTATATATTTATGTATTTTTCATTAAAAGTATTTTTTCTTAGTACTTCAACAACTATGCTAACTAAAGCTTACCTGTATAGGAAGTGGAACTATATGAATCTGCAGATGAAGCAGATAGTGATCTGCTTCTATACCGTGCAGATTTCTTCAGAGCACTGGACTTTGCACGCTGCCCTTCAAACTTGCCAGCAGTACCCTCAGTGGGAGCGCCTCTAACATGTCCAGGATCAGTAACTGGACTATCACTGGGTACATTAGCTGCCACCACATTTTCCTTTTTTACTTGATTTGGCTCACCTTGGCCTTCTGACATTTTCCACAATATTTTTTAAAGATCAATTTTTTAATTTTTTTACAGACTAGACACTTCTATAATTTAATTAAGGAGAAAAAAGCTAAAATCTGTTTTTGTTAAAGTAATTAAATTAGTTCATTCATGATTTATTATTTATAAACTTGTTTCATTAACTCGATTTCACTAGAAATTGACTTTGAATATTTTTCAAATAAAACAGCAGCAAAAATTACCGCACTAATGAAAGTACGAAAAAACACTAATAATAATCAATTGGTAACTTCCTATTGCTAATTTATAATAATAAAACTATCACTCGTTGCATTACGGATGATCAAAATTATTTGGGTAAACAACAACTGGATATTTTAGATTTTCCAGATCCGCAAGCTACATTGAAAATCGTGAAAACGTAAACCCTTCCCTTCACGTTTCACCCCCTGGTACTGAAATTGAAATGTCATTTTTTCGATCGGTTTTTCTCCAGTGATTGAATCTGGAAAAACCGATAAATTGTCTATTATAAAAATTCCGGTTTCATATATTCAATTAGGATACCTATTATATTTAATATAAGTCCCGTAAATTGCTAAAAAGATTTGGCATTTAATGAAAGAATATTTTTTTTATTGGGTATGAACTGGAAACTAGTTTAAAGTCTACTGATAAACTAGTTTATGCGTGAACGTAAGTTGCAAGCGTTGCTTGAACAGTCCAACTTAGTACGTGTGTGTAGAAAGTTCACATATTTATTTACCCTTATCACGTCGACGACAGCAAAATTGTTTAAACAGTTTATTTAGAAAATCGTTCCATGAACTACGTCAAATAAACTAGTTATTTCAACACAATTTCTTGGATGCTTTTTCGAAAATTAAACTTCCGCTTTGATACATCTGTCATTATAGTTATTCAAAAATAATTCAATCTTATATATATATATTTTTAAAAATTAGTAACATCAGTCTTCTACGATATTGAATTCTAATTAATTTCCGAAGAAACACCCTCTTGTTCCGTTCAGTCAGTTTACGACATAAACTGATTAGTTTATGTCGTAAACTGACTGAAAAAATATATTTTTTAGATTTAAAAAATATATTTTTTAGCCTAGTTTACGATGTACTAAAAACAGTATCGTTTCGTTGATCAAAAAAGCATCGACAACCCACCTCTATAATAAGTTGGAAACTTGTCTAAATAATACCCACGTTACGCCATATGAAAATATAAAAAATAGACAAGACAAAAGGCAATAGATAAATTATTATTGAGATATTATTGAATATGATCAATTTTGAATTCACAATGCTATAAATAATCTTAATTAAAAATCAGCGTAAAGGTCAGCGAGTCGAGCTGATGCATAGCGCAATTGGTACAAATAATTTACATTTTTTTTTCTTAAGTTTACAAATGGTGATAGAAAAATAGATAGGCAAATATAAAGAGGGGGCAAATATGCAATAACGTAAGTAATATTAAATGAAACAAGTAAATAAATAGATATATCTAAAGAAGAATAGAAATAAATAGCCTGTACGAAATAGGAATAGGATAGAAAGTCGGAAGTGTATGGAGGTTTAGGAACCGTATGATTGAATATGTGGGGTCCCTATTGTGGTGATGGAGACAACTGGCCAGGGAAACTAAAGGATAATTGTCTCCCTCCGAGCTAGGTGTTGTTAGCCCGGGGACCGCGGTCCAACCGATGTAGGTTGGACGTTCTATTTATGTTAATTGGTAATTAAACTTATTCTGTGTGATGTAGGTTTCTTTGTTCTAAATGTCTTGTTATCAATTTATGTTGTTTGTATTGGTACAGCGCCATCTCGTTACTTGCTGTTGAAACTTATTGCAGTTCGTCTTGCTATCGATGACTGTGACGATGCTAGTCTTCTCGCTATCGATTATTGTGGCGATGTTACTGCGATGAATTAGATGTCGCTATGTATCAGTCGCCACAGTACTTTCCCCCTAGACCGAAGGTCGATCCATGTTGATAGTAGGTGGTATGCAGTCAGTGCTTCAGAGCTTGCAAGTGCCAAGTTGTGACGTCGGGACCGAAGCTGCTGGTGTGCAGGGCTGCCACGCCGGTGAGTTGTGTGTGAACTGAGGTCCGGTCGTGGGCTGCGAGGACCAGGTCGGGGTGATGCCGTCGAGTGGTGCCAAGAATCCAGGAAGCGCCGTTGATGCTGCTGTGATGGACCTTGGTGTTGGCTGGCTTGCTGCTGAAGTGGCTGTGCTAATGAGGGATGAGAGACTGATGATGAAGTGTGATGGCTGCGTTGTGATGCTGAAGGTTGCTGATGCTGAAGGTTGCTGACTGATGCTGAAGGTTGCTGATGTTCTGCTGGGGTCACCACTTTAGGAACCGTAAGGTTGAATGTTGTCTTGCTTCAATAGGGGTGCAATGGTCGCGTCTTTGTCTTGCGCAGTGGCTAGTTCCGCGTAATCTATTGTTGTTGGGCAGGCTATTGTTTCTATCCTGCTGAGTGCGTCGGCGACTACGTTTTGTTTACCGCTCACATGGCGTATTCCCTATGGTGGTGATGGGAGAAAACTGGCCAGGGAGACTAAAGGATAATTGTCTCCCCCCGAGCTAGGTGTTCTTAGCCCGGGGACCGCGGTCCAACCGATGTAGGTTGGACGTTCTATTTATGTTAATTGGTAATTAAACTTATTCTGTGTGATGTAGGTTTCTTTGTTCTAAATGTCTTGTAGTTATCAATTTATGTTGTTTGTATTGGTACAGCGCCATCTCGTTACTTGCTGTTGAAACTTATTGCAGTTCGTCTTGCTATCGATGACTGTGACGATGCTAGTCTTCTCGCTATCGATTATTGTGGCGATGTTACTGCGATGAATTAGATGTCGCTATGTATCAGTCGCCACAGAGAGAAATTAAGGGCCAGGTTGGAAGCAAAGCGACAGTGAGACAATGATAAGGAAGTACGAAATGAAAATATTTATTTAATGTAACGAGGTGACGTAGGCAGGAAAATAATAGAATAAAGAAGCGTAAGAGTATGCAAATCCCTGCGCCAGCAAATAGGGAGCTAATTAAGTTAGGAACGGAAATGTGCCACACGAAGGTTAAAGATAAATCGGATAGACATATTCTGCAGATGCTTTAACTTCGATAACGATCATCGATTTAATCATAGACTCCCAACACGCCGCCATTTCAAACCTTTACAGTGTTGACAACTTTATATTAACAGTTATATTATTTAATTACGATTATTTTACACCCAAACACAATGGGTAATATAGAACACCCATTTAAAGTGGCAATAAGAATTTGTTCATTCTGACCATGATCATGCCTGCCTTTTGAACGCCTTAGTATCTCGCATAGCTTGACAAGCTTATGAAAATTAATTAATTATTGACTAGAATCTAGACAGTAATTATAACAAAAAATAGTCAAAAGGCTTACAATACGTTTATAGAGCAGTTTACAGACGCTGCGCAAGCCAGTATTATAAAAAAAATACAGTAAACGAAAAAAGTCTATATTCCATGGTGGCACTCTGAATGCTCAGAGACGATCTAAAGACACAGAGTCGAAAAAACTTTGCGGGTATGCGTACTTCCGGGGTGGCGTGGCTGCTGAGTCAGTGGAGGGGTTGCGGGAGGCTAGCTCCTTGGTAGTCTCTATTGTTTATGGACTCCATAACTATGGATACTTTTTTCATAACAGCGGGTCGCAAAAAAAAGAAATGATTGGATTACATGTGAATCTTTGGCTCCTGTCTGGCTCACTCGGTTGTTATGTTGTACTGAATGTCATAGTTGTTTTTGTTATAAGCGCACATGGTTATTATTAAAAGTATTCGTATATAAAATAAACTGCGTTAAAACGGTAACTTCTCTTTTTACTTAAATCAAAGATTTTTTCTTTTTTTCTAAAACCGATTTCAATCGCAGATTGTCTATCGTCAATGAATTATTTTTGGACTCACTATTCGCCAATATGGCACTGAGACGTATGACAACCGCTACGCGACTAAACAATTAGGAAATAAATAACTCCTGGAACTATTTTATCAGTCTTTTTGGTAAGTTTAATGCCGTATTATTATTATTAAAACATTTTTCCAAGTTCGTTTGTGCAAATACGGGTGACAAATTTTTATATTGTCCTGTGGCACCTTCGATATTCATCTATCTGTTACCGGTAGAACAAAGCTTTTTTCAGTATAAAGTGCTTTTTCAAATTAGATTATGACTGGATACAGCATTGAGGAATACCAGAATGTATTTCTAAATATATTTCACTAACGGTTTGTATCACGCCACTGACGGACATACAGTTTTTATAAATGACAAAAGGTATTTTCCTGTCTGAATTAGTTTCAATATAACGTCGTATTGTCAATAAAATAACATTATCTTCTCGTGTTGTCATATTGCCTATCTATAATTTTATTTTATATTGTTTACTTTGATATTAGGATTTCATTAAACAATAAATGCTAATAAGACAGTAAATTCGCGCCAAGGAATAAAATAGAATTTTGTTTCAACAGGTGTAAATGCCAAACAATATTTATTGCGAATTTGACAGATTTATGGAAATAGCTTTATATGAATGCTTACATAATTTATTTTAAAATAATATTGCTTTATATTAAGTATTAATTTCCTTGTTGATAATTCTCATCTTAAAACACATTATTTTATTTTCACTTAGAATAGTTGTATTTTGGAAACATTCCTTGTCACCTAATGGTAGTAATGCTGTTGCACAACCTAGAGTTAAAATTAGGTATCTAATATGTATATACATAATTAATTATCTATGACTATATAATAATGTTAAAAGAAACCAAATCAAGGTTAAGATTTATTAGTTTAGTTTAAAGAGTAGTATGACAGAATTGGCACCACTATATTTTATTTTCTTTAAAAAATTAACTAAATGGAGGTAAATGATATGTGTTTTAGAAGTAAGGACTACTAGAACTATAGGACTATTTGTTTTGGAGTCAATGTTAAACAAACACTATCATATAGATTTTACACTAGTTTGATTAGAATGACATTAACTACTCTATTATGTTGTAAGATTTCAGACAATCTATTTTGCTACAAAATACTAAGATATCGGGCAAAAATCATTAGTATGCCATAAAATTGCCTTTTGTATGATATTTGTGTAAAATTTTTATATATTGCATATGGAAAGCAACACTGATTATTATATTTGATCAATTTAGCATTGATAATGCTATATTAATATTTATCCTACCCCACAAGGAATATGGCACTAAGACACTGGGTTTGGCTGCGTTTGCAATTTTTAATTCCTTCCAATCCACATTAGGCACTGAGACGATAATGACCCACTGGTCATGGCTCATTCTCCATCACCATCCATAAGGAAGGCCTGAACTCCTGCAGTGGAGATGATAAAAGGCTGATGATGATTGATGATCTTCAAAATAAAGCCCTGATACTAATGTGTAACTATACCAAAAACCCAAACTATATAGATTGGATTTTAACTATATAGTAACAGTAAAGTAGTGACTGGGACGATAGTCCCAGTGGGTACTGGTGATTGTTTTAACTGTATTTCTGTAAGATAAAAACCAACACTGTTCAATGTGTCTATACATCATTAGTTTACCCTATTTTCTATTATTTATTTGTGTCTGGTGCAATATTCTTCCACACTTTTCAATTATAAAAAATATTCACTCCTTTCATACATATATCATCTTTCTGTTAGAAAGTCTATCCATCACCAATGGTAACATGGTAGAGTTGCTAATGTTGTTATACATTATAAGGCAAGAGATTTCCCACTGTGTATAAATAATGTTACATCAGTACTGCCACCCCAGCTCCTCTAAAAACCCTGTAACTAATTTTATTTCTCTGTCCATCAGGTAAAATATTGAGGAATATTTAACACACAATTTTTTATATTTTTTTTTTGTGATTAAGATATTCCAATTGATTACAATAAATTACTATTAGTTGAAATGTCACATGAGGTCACTTTCTGTATTTTCAACATAGTTGTGACTTAGACTGACTGATGGACTAAATAGAATTTCTTTTTCTTTAACCCAGTCTTTACCCCTGTACTCTGTTTTGTCCTCAGTTGAGTACAATGTCCACGCCGGGCCGCGGTCGTGGATACACTGGGCGGCATCATCTACGAGACCCGAGGCCGGGGGACGACCAGGCGGAGTTGGAAGCCGCCAGAACACTAGCTGAACTGTCACCTAGAGCTACAGGTTGGTATCAGAGCAGTCGGGGCCATGTACACAATCATATTTAATGGAAAGATATATACAGGAGAAAATTGAAGTCAGTGCACAAATTTGATATTGTGTTTGTGAGAATTAATCATATTCACATGTTTTTCTTAATTTTATTAATTGTACCTACACGGAAGTTTATGTCCCTTTTTTGTCAATAAACTAGTTTGTCAGTCTTTTTACAGACTGTTTATAAGAGCGCACATCCATAGGTGACTAAAAAAATGATTTGCTCCTTCAGCTAGATTATAAGATAACTATTCATCTCATTTTTTTTTTATTTTTACACATATGTAGATTTTCATCATAGTTGTGACATGTTCATCCCCACCACTCAAATGTTATCTAAATAATTTTTTTGTTAATTTGAAGTAAAAAGTATCTGATATTTTTCTATTATCTGGCTGCCATACTAGATAATTTTGTTTCTCATCATCCCTATAAACGTGGCTTCCCAATATTATACATAATTTAATGTTATGTTACTGGGAAAACACGAATTTCGGTAAATCCTTTTTAATCTAAGATTTATCAATGTTTTATGGTAAAAATTCAAACCGATTTGTGATAGTTGTTCATTAGCAAATGCATAATTCGATACATTTTTCTGTGCAACACGAATACTTATTCTGCTGGTTAAATAATTAAATTAAATAAGTTTAATGTGCTTTTAATTAAAAATTCATAAATGAAGTAAGAAATATTCTAATGATTATTGAAAATTAATCATCATAATGCTAATTAACGTTAAGTAAGGCTTTCACCCAATGTACAAACATTCAATAAAATTGTTATTACAAATTTCAACATTCAATATAGCTTATAGTCATTGATAAATCTTAATAGGCCTTTCTACAAATGGGTTAAGTGATAGGCAATCGAAACGGAAGATGAAGAAAAATACTCATTGATTTATTATAATATTTACCAACAGTCATTTGTCGAACTTAGCTTATTTTTTAAATGAACTGAAATGAATATGCCTTTATTCAAGTAAGCTTGTTACAAGTACTTTTGAATATTCCAAAAAAAATGTTTCCCCTACCACGTTTTTTAGCTGACAAAAGGATCAAGCGAAAGAAACTTACCAGCGCTTTATCATAAGTAATGACATTTACATTTATCATATCATTACTATAATAGTACGTATTATAACAATAATAAATAAATTTTCAAAGTCTTAAGGATATAGGTTGGTGCATATAATTAGTCCTTATAGAACAAAGCGAAGGCTTTTAATTCCGTGCATTGCGGCCCCTCAAATAATCATCAACTTTATAAGAGCCTTTAGTCGTAAGTATGTTTTTTACATGAATTTTAAATTTATTTACGAGTAAGTCAATAACATTTTGTGGAACATTATTGAACATAGCAATTTATCCAGAAATGATCCTCAAGTCTGAAGCTTGGAACGCCAAGTTAATTATTTCTTGTGTTAAGATTATGAACACTACTTTTTTGTAAAGAAATCGTAATGTTTCCTTGCGTACATAATATTTTCATAGATGTATTGAGAGGCAACAGTCAAAATATTTACATCTGGAAGATTTTTTTTCGTCTTTCCCATAGTGTGCGCGTCGTTGGAAAGGTCTTTCAAAAACATTGGGGGTATGAGAAGGCCGTTTTTCGATTTTATACACCATTTCTGTCTCCCCCCTCCCCCTACTAACTTAACGGTCTTTGGTAAAATTCAAACTACGGCAGTAGTAACTATATAATAACGAAGTTACAAAGGAAAACTATCACAATTCAGTTGCCTTTATAAGTTTATTAATAATAGTCGACCTATTGTATTGAACTCGAGAATTTCTAACAACTCCATATAAAACAACAAACGTGATTTATTTACCTTTTTTAATAGATAATGGTAGTAAACCTTCGTGGGCGAGTCCGACTCGCACTACACAGGATTTTTTTTTAATAAAGATCGCTCAAATGGTCCACTTTGTCCCTGGTACACATCCATCTCAGAGTACCAGGGACAAAGTGGATTGTTTAAGCTTTTTTCATTAAGAATATTGTTGTGAATGCAAATTGATAAAATATAATAATCTTCGTATCGTCGATTGTGCCAAACATTGGTTCAAACAGATGATCGGCATTCTAAGCTCTTTCTATGTTATCCATTCGGCTATTACAAATGCTACCTATTCATACTATTTTCCTTTTTAGATAATATTAGTGGAAACCCCAAAAACTATAAACCTTTCGTTTATATTTAAAAAGTATATGAAAATCAATGAACGCACGCGGGTACCATCACGCTATTTAGTAACTAAGTTTGCCAAAGCCAAATATAAATCTCTACAATTTGTAACCGATAAGTAAAACTAATGAGCTTTTCAATTACACAAATATTTATAACAGTACCTGTTATTATTCCACTTGTATTTCACAACAATTGACGCTCTTTAAGGGACACTCATTAAATACCTTACCTTCTTTGCAAAAAAAAATAACAATACCAGACGCACGCACCCTTTTTGCTCAGTACACCTGCCGTCACCGCCACGCGCGGACTTCTCCACCGCTATGGCTTCAGAACACCGTGTTATAGAGAAAACAGTGAACTCTTCCATTCCAGAGCCGCGAGAGGTGAAGGCCGACAAATTAAAAGAAGTTGAATCAGAAAAGGAGGATATAAGCAAAGAGATGTATCAAGTAGCGCCTGACGATGAAACCGCCTTGAAGGAATTGTTGGCAGTCGATGAACAGCACAAACCATTATTGGTGCTGGTGAGTATTCAATTTTACTTTGTCATTTACTCAAAGGTATAAACCAAAATTAATGTGAGCTAAAGAAATAAAATATATAAATGAGAAGGCTATAGATGTAATACGTACCCATTGAAGTAATTGTTAAAATCAAAAATCTAATTTATATTCGATAGATCCATTCTGATATAATCATTAGTAACTAAGTTAGTTTATAATTATTTTAATCGCACCATACACAGATGACATATAATTTATGCGACCGAAGTTGGGGAAAATATATCCTTAACTATTGTTATAAAGATTATAAGACAACTATTCATTGTCATTAAAAATGTTGTCTGTTTATTTTTTTGGATTAAATAGACTCTGACACAACTGGACTGATTTTAACAATTCTTTTATCTACGTTAAGCTACATCATGTGCGAGTAAGATAGACAATAGTTTACGCGAGTGAAGTCGAGGGTTTACCCTCAATCACAGTCAATTATAAAATTTCTCTTATTCCGTAAAATTGTACAGTCGCAGTTGATCCCTATAACGTCGAGACGTTCTTATTTTTTTTCTTTTTTTTTGTAATTACATCGTTGTTCTGCTGGATGATCAAAATCTCTTAATGTCTTGATAGAGTTAGATGTGTCAGTTGTTACTTTATATTAGAGCGTGCCTATACCGACTGGAGGCTTAAAAGCAGGTACATGTGGTCACTTATTTGTGTTGTAGCCTTCTTAATTATTATTTTTTTCATTATCTCATGATTTCCCATGAAACGCCCGCTAGATTTTATTTTAATTAAAATGGTTTTTTCTTTAATTTGGATAACGTAAAGTCGTTACATATTTTATTTTATTTAAGACTAGCTTTCCAGTAGCGGCTTCGCCAGTGATTCTATTTTCATATTTCTTAGTTCCGAAACGAGAAAATTCCATACAAACTACATCCACCCTATTTCACCTCCTTAGGAATTTAATTTCTGAAAATAATTTCTTATTGCTCACTTCCACCATGAAAGGAACCCCTGTAACAAATTTTAAGTTTCTATGTACAGTAGTTTCGTCTGTACGTTGATATACGAGTCATTAAGGTTTGCCTTTTATGTGTATAGATAAGTAGCAGATGTATAATCCACTTAATTGATTGCATGAAAAATCTTATGTTATTGATTATCCACTTATTAACAACTAGCTTTCGCCAGCGGCTTCGCTCGCGTGGACTCTAGGGAAATGTTAAGTGGGATAAAAAGTCAGCTAATACCCTATCTGTAAACCAAATTTCATCAAAATCCGTTCAGTAGTTTCTTCGTGATTGACCGACAAACATCCAAACAAAGAAACTTTCACATTTATAATATTAATAGGATAGGGGGCGTCCATAAATTACGTGAGATGTTTAAGGGGGTGAAGGGGTCGAGGCAAATCTCATCTTATCTTACGTTGGAGAGAGGGGGGGTCTCGGCAAATATCACGCAATATACTATTTTGGTTAAGAAAATATACTATTTTGGTCCATTTAATCCAGATTGTACATGCTTAAGATTTAATATTAAGCGTAATCGTATACGATTAAGATCATTCACCAATACGTTCAAAAGAAAATAATTTCATTCATACTTCGACGCTATACATCTACTGAATGTCAAACCACCATATTTGTAGGGTTCGAACGATACTTTCGATACCGAGTAGGTATCGATACTTTCAAAAGCGATACTCGATACTACAACAAGGCAAATACTCGCAAGTACTCATCAAATTGCATTTTGAAAAATCTCACGTGAGATTGGGAGATGGGGGAGGGGGCTGAATAAATCTCACGACATCTCACCAGGGGGGAGGGAGGGACAGAAAATTTAAAAAACACCTCACGTAATTTATGGACGCCCCCATATACATTAGAAAGCCACTGGCCTAAACCACAACCTGCAGTCACTCATTCCATATTAATCGTTGAAATTGATCGACTGAAAAAGTATGACTCTAAATATACGTGTATAATAAAAAAACTACAGCATAACAAAATTACACGTGATGATTGATAAACGTGAATAATGTTTTTAAACGACTTAAAAAAATGAGGTTCTCCGTTTGACTTGTATGTATGTATAATTATCTCGCATTTGGCTGAACCGATTTTGGATTCGGTTTTCAAAATAATATTTGTCAGACTTAGGAGAAGGTTTTAGGTATATTTACCGACTAAAAATAATAAGGTTTGCGCTTTAACAAGGTTTTGACGCGGTTTTCGGAAAAGTATTTTAGTGTATTTTACCTCGTTAGTTTTTAATTAGTGATATAAAATGGGTGTTAAGGCAAAGGCTAGTGATTTTAAAATACTAATTTTGAATTAATTTCTAGCAAACCATAACGATTTGCATAATATAAATGTGCCGCATAAACTACTAAGCTACCAAATGACTCGCATATTTCTCAACTTTCCCTATAAAAAAAAGGATATTTACGTTTTAGAACATGAAAGTGTCTTTTTTTGTCTAATTGGCTCCTTAAGGTCAACTTTATTCAATTTTTATAGTAACATTTTGTTAAAGTTGATAAATGTAAGTTACTATAAAAGTGAGAAATAACATACCTATCTATACCGTCTAATTATTCAATAAACCTCTATTGAAAATAATAATAAAAAATACTGTTCGAACATAGAAATGTTTTGTATTATTATTTTTAACCCTCTCTTTCGATTATGAAGTCTGTTAATAATTCAGTAACTTATCAAGACTTACCAAATTATCAAACAACGGTAGCTTTTGATGCTCTACTCGTACTATACGTCACCATCTGTCCCTGTCTATCTCATTGGCTTATTCCGTCTTGTTTTCTCTGTATTTATACACTCTGTGACGACATTATAACAGTCTGAATTTAAACTTGATTATTATCAACAGCTAGAACAGTTTTCGCTGGGCGAAGACGGCATACAGTTTAATCGTAAATTGAGACACTTCGAATCAACTGTCACAAGCATGTGTCCTGATGAAGCGAGATTGCAGTGAGTATACTCGACTTATACGCCTACATAGAAGAATGTTAAGAATTATGAGATAAATAATCGCACCAATCGGGCTATTGTCGATTGATGCTATTGATCGAACTCGGTCGTCGTTTATCCATCGATTTGGTAGCTTTGGCTGATCGATGAATACCGAGCGATAAACAAATTTGATCGCCAAGATCAATCGATGCTATTCATCGACGTCCTACCATCGATCTATAGCCTCGCTCGACGATATATCGATTAATATAGTCTTAATTTAGTATTTTTTTTACTTATTAATACACAGAAAAAGTATAAATTTTCTTTTGTTTAAACTTACTTAGGGTAAACAACTTTCGTAAGGTTCGGTTATTGGATGGGTGACCAAATATATTACATCCACCTATGGGCACGCGCGGTGGGTTATTACCCGTTCTCCCTATTCGATTGACTCTATCCATGAAGGCCTGTGTCCCAGTAGCCAGTAGTGCTAACTTATTACCTATAATTTATAGTTTGGAAGAGAAGCTTTCACATATAGATTTATTATATAATATTTGTTTTAATACTACAATCGACGCTCCTGTTGTCGATAACGAACAATCATTTATTAGGAGATATTACTGCAACTTTCTGTTACCACACTGCAACACAGGCACATGTAAACATTTTTTATAAATGTAAAATGTCATTTACATAGCCATCAGCAAAGAGTAAAATAATGGCTAGTATAGGTAGCTAGTATAGCTAGTATAGTATAGTATAGGTAGTATAGTAGGGTATATTTTATATTTTTCGAATTTCTAATCAAGAAAAAGTGTAATAATTATCCAATATTACACTATTGCTGCATATTTGGATGTAAGAAGGGAGGGAATCATTCATTTCCAAAAGAAAAAATTTCTAGATGTTCGATGATACTATATGTGCTTGTGCTGCTATCTACCCATTTGCATAATATTCCCTATTATGCCTTTGATTTTTGGTTCAGGAGCTTGATGGCGTAGTTGTTAGCGCGTTCGGTCTACGATACAGTTGTTAAGAAACTTTCGCAATGGGATGAGTGACCAAAAATTTATCATCTCGACCTCCTCCATGTTTCTGAAAGCACGTTAAGCCCTAACTAATTTCGCACTGGGCTCGAGTTAGTGTTCGTTCACACAGATCTGCTCGCAGAGGAGAGCATAGTTTTTAAACCTTGTAAAAAGGTATTTTGCATTCGCTTCTTTGATCATCGAGAATACTTAAGAGCATACCCGACGCTTAATGTGAAGTAAGAAGAGGTGCCCACCGACTGCCTCTGATGACGTACTCTTCCGCGCTCGCGCAACTAACCGTCTTCGTTTGCGTTCTCTTTACGTGATTAAGTGATTACACCCTCTCGTATTACAATAGATTAAAAACAAAACTCGGACGGCGCGGAACTAGAGGTATACGGTCCTTGTAGAGCACGCGCTCGCCTCCGAGCTCATCCTTTTTAACAGAGCATAAACTCGCGCCAGTCTGTCTGAAGGGACACTCAGGGTCATGGCCCAAGTGCTGATGCTTCTGATTCGTATTTCATTTTGTATGTTACAATCAACAGGCAAGCGTTCGCGTCGCTTCGTGCCGCTGCGTTAATGAATTCTAGCACAGCTCGTAAGCTAGCGGCTGTGGGGGCCTCGTTCACTAGGCAACAGAGGCAACAGTTACTCAGAGGAGCCCTCCTAAACGTGGTTATGCAGGGGACCTTTTCCAGTAAGTATTACAAGCTTTTATATTATTTGCAGTGTATGTATATTCGACAAAACTTGCAACTGAATTGTAAAGCAATTATAGTTTGCTGATCAAGCTGAAATTTTGCATACAAGTTCAGTTTAAGATTGCTGAAAAATATTCGGGCAGATTGTTGAAAAATATTAAACACGTATTTTTTTTTTATTTTTCCTAAATTGAGAAAGTGTCGCTTAATGTCACGTTTTGATACATTTTCTACAAAACGTAGCGAGCCTGACGTAGAGCACGTGTGATATCGTTTTTAAAACGAATTTTTCAGGATAAGTTGTAAAATTTAGACATGAAATAAGTTTATCACCATTATAATTATATGCAATCGGGTCTTGTTCGTGCATTTTTTAAAACAATTAATTTACCTCGACGTTTCGGCTACGTTACAGCAGCCGTGGTCACGAGGAGACTGGAGAACTGGCGGGTGTCGTCTTCTGATTTTAGTTGAGGGTAATCCGGTAATAATGTTTTTAACTGATTTTCAGATGTACCCTCCACTTGATTTTATCGTACAGTGATTTTGAGTTATGTGATCGCGTAACGTATCAGCAAGCAAGCAGAATTTTCGAGTTATCCACGCAAAAGCATGAACGTAAATTCGAAAAATTGCTGTTTCGTAGTGGAAGATCAAGGATCACTGGGGAGTCAGTTGATGACGTCATCAACTTATCGGATACTACACTTGACGGTGCCACTCGCAGTGTTTTAGCAAAGGGACTGAATTTTGCTACTACCCCGAAGAGGATACCGTATGAACATATCATCAGCAGTATAGAGGAGACAATAGTTCGTAATAAGGTACCAACTGATGATGCCGACGCTTTGAGGCAAGATGTCGCTATCGTGTTACGTAAATCCAAAGTACCTAAGAGCAACGTCACGAACGAAGAGCGTAGAGCTCTTAAGAACTTGAGAACTAATAAGGACCTTCTCGTTCACAAGGCCCACAAAGGCAACGCTACCGTCGTGATAAATACTAGCGATTACGACTCCAAAATACTTGCTCTGTTGCAAGATGATAACATATATAAGCCGGTATCGTACGATCCAACTGCGAGAGTTACAAGGAGAATACGTGCTGTTATCAGGGATTATAAACACCTTTTCACCGAGGACATCTTTGAGAACCTATACAAACCGAAGATAGTACAACCACCAAAATTATACGGATTGCCGAAAGTGCATAAGGCCAGCGTTCCACTGAGACCGATTGTGAGTCAGATTGACTCACCTACTTATTATTTGGCAAAACACGTTGCTTCCGGACTGCAACCCCTTGTGGGCACTACAACATCCTTTGTGAAGGACTCGCGTCATTTTGTACAGATCCTTGATGATACAAAACTGGATCCGGATGACGTAATGGTGAGTTTTGATGTTGAGTCGCTGTTCACCAAAGTTCCAGTTAAGGACTGTCTAGAGGTTGTTAGGATGAAACTTAGACAAAACGATATACCGGAAGGGTACATGGTTCTATTACGGAACTGTTTAGATGGCAGCTATCTCCTATATCGCGGCAAACATTACCTTCAAATTGATGGTGTCGCCATGGGTAGCCCCGTAGTGCCACATTTGGCCAATATATGGATGGAACATGTCGAGTCATTGATAGATTACCAGTCACATGGGATCCGTATGTGGAAACGGTATGTAGACGATGTGTTCTGTATCCTGAAGGGCGACAAACCGGAGATTGAGCAGTTCCTTACACACGTCAATAATATCCATCCGAATCTCAAGTTCACCTATGAGTTAGAGAGTGACAAAACCTTACCCTTTCTGGACGTTAAAGTCATGGCGCAAGCTGATGGGTCCCTGAAACACACTGTCTACAGGAAACCAACACACACAGACAAGTACCTCCACGCTTCATCTCATCATCATCCTCAACACCTACGTTCTGTGGAGACAACTCTTATTAACAGGGCTAACGCATTATGTAATACTGACTTCTTAGCAGATGAGTTGTCCCATGTACAGGACGTGCTAAGGAAAAATGGATACAGCGCAAGGAGGTCATACCCTATCCGAAGGTGAAAGGAAAGACTACCTAAGGTTCCCAGGCAACGGGCATTTGTAGGCTATGTTAAGGGGGTAACGGACAAAATTGGTTCCATTTTGAGGAAAAATTTTTCTATAGACACCATTTTTACTCCTTTATCAAAAATGTCACACCAATTGCGATCACCAAAGGATAGTATTCCTTACCAAAAACCTGGCGTTTATAAAATTGACTGCAGCTGCGGTAGTTCATATATCGGACAAACGAAGCGGACTATCGCCGAACGTGTAAGAGAACACATAGCAGCGGTCAAAAATCGTCAAGTGGAGAAGTCCGCGATTGCAGAGCACTTATTATCATCTGGATCAAACCACTGGATCGAGTTACATACACCTCATGTCCTTTCCACTGAACGACATTACTATCCAAGGATTGTTCGTGAAGCGGTTGAAATCAAAAAACACAACAATTTCAACCGGGAAAGTGGATATAAACTCTCACCAACGTGGAATCCGGTTATAAAAATGTATAAGTGTCGCAATCGCAAACAACCACGAACAATATTCTCGGATACCGTAAGTGCAGTGTGTCGCCACCTTTACGTATAATAAAATCAAGTGGAGGGTACATCTGAAAATCAGTTAAAAACATTATTACCGGATTACCCTCAACTAAAATCAGAAGACGACACCCGCCAGTTCTCCAGTCTCCTCGTGACCACGGCTGCTGTAACGTAGCCGAAACGTCGAGGTAAATTAATTGTTTTAAAAAATGCACGAACAAGACCCGATTGCATATAATTATAATGTATATAAATCGTGTGAGTTTAAAAATATTTTTATCACCATTATATGGAAAATTTAAAAAAAAAATACACATTTAATCGGTCAACGAAATTGCACTACTTATATTTTATAATTATTTCCAAATTCATGAAAATTTAATAAGAATAATATTTGAAATGTGCGAGAAATTATAGGTTTTATTTTTTAATTTCAGAATTGGAAGTTTTAGAGAGAGCGAACCCACAGTTTCTCATAAACGCAGCCAACCTAATGGGTGATTATTTTGCAGGTAAAATGTTTTAATATTAATATTAGATAAGAAATGTTTTTAAAAGATTTCCCCAATTGAGAAACAAACTCCATATTTTGTTATATTTAGCTTTTAATAATATACCATGTTTGAAGTTTACTGCTTACTAGAGTTTGACGTCACTGGTTTATATGTTTCTATTCTTTTGTGAAGTAATTTTGAAACATTAATTCTTATTGTTTGAATATTGTATACGTTAACCGTGAGTCTCTCCTTTAGGTAGGCAGAACCGTGCAATGCGGTAGCAGATTCTATTTGACATAAAATAAAGTATCATTTAAAGACCTACCTATTTCGGAATAAACTGTCATTAAGAGTGTTTTTCACGTTTATTATTGTAATGTTTTACAGAAGCTCGTCTGTGTAACGGTAACAAAGTTCACATTTTGGCTGCCCCGCTGCTGCAATATATGAGGGCGTTATTAGCTTCAGATGATATCAGAGCACATAGGAGTTTAGCTACACAGGTAATTATCATATCCCATTACATTCTCTATGTAATCAATATACATAAAGAGTATATAAGTCCAGTAGTTTTCAAAATAATTGACAATTCAGACATTAACAATTAAATTTTGTCCCATCGCGATGAATTCAATTTGCCATCATTTAAATAATTTATTATTTATTTATGTGCACTCACAAAGCTATATTGACCATACGTTATCGTCATATACACAGTCTCTTTTCAAGATATAATAATGATAATAACAACGAACAAAGCCCAGTTTAATAAGCATTTTCTTAAGTTTCTTCTTAATTTCGCAGTTAATGCAAAATGGCAGAGAACTACTATCACAACATACCTCGCAAGAGCTAGATGATCTGTCCATCTCTATCCGTCTCAGACTTCTCTCACCTCCACCAGTCAGCATAATATGGCTACTGTTATCTTCAGATCTGTGCCTCAACAAGTTTTTACCACTCCCAAATACTCTACAACAATTCTACGCTTCCCACTTAGAATTGACCCCGGATGAAAACTATAGTGAAGTCAGCTACGGTTCATGGAAGAAGAGTCCAGAGAAAGAAGATTTCCGGTCAGATGTCAGTTCAGACAGTGCAGAAAAAGTCAGTCACAATTTATCTCAAATCAGTTTAAACCCAGACGAGGTTGATACTAAACCAAAACTTAGACCCATTTTGGGAGCGGGAGCTGGATTGTTAAGACAAGAACAAGCTCTGAACAGTCAAGATAGTTTCGAAACTTGGTCTGCATCAGCTAAAACCAGTCTGAGCAAACGGTACGATTTAAACTCATGGAGACAAGCAGACGATGAGAAAGACGAGGAACCTGTTTTCAATCCATCTGTGATGCCTCCAAATGTGCAAAGTTTTCCCGTGACAGTGCCTGATTACCCACCTCCAAATACGAGGTTCAATTACCAAGAGAACGCTGTTAATTATTTACAACAAGGCGATGGCACTTACATACAGAATCAGTATCCGCCAAACACTAATTTCAATCAACAAGGCGATACGTTTCAATTCCAACAGACAGAAAGGCAACCAGAGAGAGTGAATAACGAGATTCAGAAGAACGCACAGAACAGAAAACCCGTAGAAAACTGGAGAAGGGAGAAGAGTGATCTCAAAGAGGATCCGAACAAGAATAGACAACGGAACTGGACCAGACAACGGTCCAGAGATAATATAGAGGATGATGAGGATAAGAAAGAGGGAGAGAAGTTCCGTTCATCGTCTAGGAATTCGAGGGAAACTAGACCAGCTAACAGAACTAATAGAAGGAACAGCGGTGAGAATGGAGAATCAAACTCGAATTCTGGTAAGACACCTCCACGGAGGCATGTATCTGATGTTCCAAGGAACCATAAATATTGGGACCACGATGACAGATGTGACAAGGATTACAATAGTTAGTGATTCTACTTTGTTTATTTGACTGAGCTGTGATTTTGATCGTTGATAAAATTTCAGTGTGAAAAGTGGACAAGAAAGATTATCTTTCAACGGTGCAAATTTAAAAACTAACAATTATGAATAAATTTAAAAGTTATAAGTGTTAAGGTTTCTTTTATTTAGGTCAAATGGACGTAGATTAATTTGTCTAGTAAGTACTATTATTATAATGTATTGGAAAATATGAGCTAGAGACTTAATGTGTCTGGTAGATATGCCTTTTTGAGATAAGCCGTTCAGAGATTTTTGAACAGTTACTATAAAGGGATGTACAATTTCTATAGTTCTATTGTGGATTTATTATTCGATTATTTATATTTCACAAAATATTTGAATTGGTTTTATTTGAATGTAATATTACTAGCTGTTATTACACTATAATATGCCATCATTGTCTAAAGACATGTGAAGATTTTAATGGCTTACTGTCAGACCTACTACATTTTGATAGTAAATTGCAACGTAGCATAAAGACGAAAATTGTAACAACTTTCAACACTATTTGAAATGAAATGGCTTTTTTTTCCTTTAAATTTTCTCTAAACATTACCCACAAACAGTAACAGGTAAATTTTAAAGCCGCTTTATACACTAGGGCAGGCATTTGTAACCTTTTTGTTAAGCCACCGAAAATATAAATATTTTTGGTCCACAACTTCTATACACTAAAGCAGCGGTTTATAACCTTTTTGGTACACTGAAAATAAATGTTTGTCAACCAATGTAAATAAAATAATACAATTACCTAAAAGTTAGTGGTTTTCTCAAATTAAAGTCATTACAGAACGCTCAAATCTTCTTTTATAAATTTTATAAGCCCACAACCCAAATATGGCAATATAAGCAATTTAAAACAATTGTAACTTATGCATATTATTTGTAATGTTATGAACAATGCAGTTGTTTTACCATTTTCAATATAAATGGTAGAACAAATGCATCATTCATAACATTAAAAAATAATCATTTAAAATGATATCCACATGTCCAAATAGGTTTATTATTTTTTTATTATTCACATACATAATAGGTGTAGAAACAAAAGTATGTTCCAAAATGTTTAGCACTAATTTAATTCCTCGTCATAATTAATAATATATTAAGTTAAATATATATATGTTTTCATAAATGGAAGAGGTTATGCAAATTAGAGGCGACCTAATCTTTTTGATACTTACAAGTATAAAGCTAAATTTCACATGCCATTTTGTTCATATGAATTCATTGATGATATTGATATTTTGGAAAAAATGGACTTTATCCTTCATTAAACCTCAAACTATATCAAAATTCATCACAATTCGATCACCAGTTTAGCTGTAAAAGCGAACAGATAGACACTCACTTTCACTTTCGCATTTATAATATTGAATAACATTTTTTTATGTATTTATGTTCATTGCATGGTAGAGTTATAATTCAGTTTCCATAATTATCTTCCAATTATTCTATGATATTTTTATATACAGACAGATCTCTTCGTAATTTAGCAAATTTGCATACAATTTTAGACCTATATTGCAGTACTATATGATTGAATTTATGAGTTACCTCTTCTGTCTTTATATAAAATGTCAATATCATAAATTATTATTTGCTCAATCAAACAAACTCGTACCTCGATCAAATGGCAATGTCTTGATTTAAAAATATTTATTTTATGAAATATATACACTTTGGGCCAGTAAAATTGAACTCCATATGTCATACACTTATTTTTATTATCTAATATTTGTTACATATTGACAATATATGGTGTTAGGGTTTTGAATTTATCATGTTTTTTTTTTACTAATAAAAATGTCCAAATTAATCTATAGTGAAATCTATGTTTTCGCAACTATGAATTAAAATAAAAATCAAAAATATACCTTTTAATTTAGGAAAATAGAAACTGAAAAATAATAATCGCGCCATCTATTGACAATATAAACAATAACAATGATAGCGTGACGTATTAAATTACTACACCTCAATATTCTGTAACAATATCAAATTTGACTTAGAAATTGTTATTCAATTTTATTGTTCCTAAGGATATATTCACATGTAAATAAATATAAGAAATTCAATACATTTGCCGCCATAATGTAGTTAAATAAATTATAGTTTATGTAATTCGTCGATTACTAGAATATCGTTCATAATGGCATTGACTTAGGATTCAATATTAGAACAAATTATTTTACGGGGAGGAGGCAGTGTCAAAAATAACATGAACCGTATGGGTAACTGAATAAGGTTAATTTTATATTATCGCCTTACTTACATCATTGCTTTTTCACTACCCTATTTAGTCTACGTGATCATTCAACTTTGTATGAAGGAATTACTTTAAAGAGAGTAGTAGTCTCTGATACATAATATATAAGTAGATAAATTCGGTTTGAAACATAATTGTACACGGCAGCACATCAGGTAAATATATTTTCAGTGCATTACGGTTTATAATGAATTGGAGAAATTTTACAGATTATGATAAGCGTGATATGCTTATACACTATGTGTTGAATGTATCTAGCCTTAATTACAGTTCTAAGTAATAAAAGTCCCATGAAATAATCTGTTGATAGACTTCTATTCACTAATTTAAATTATAGATGGCGCTGAAATTAGTTTTTCGGTATGCGCACATACATATAAGCATATTGTTAGTATCTCTTTCACATACAATATGTACCGATATGTCAACGAGTGTAGGAGAATATTTGCTACGAATATCTTGACCACCTGATACCATATCGCGCGTTGAGAACGATAGTGACACAATGCAAAAAATGCGATTTTGAGTAATGAACGTTTAAAGTTCAAGAAATTGTAATCAACCCCTCTAAACGACGTATCGTCACTACGCCACCTAGCAGTTTCTATGCAAGCTACGTTCACAGGGATCTTTGCATTTTAAAGTTTATACTTAACAAAGAAAAATGATGCCAAAAGTAAAAAATACGTCGTTTTTGGTTAGTGACATTGTCATTCTCAACGTGCGATATATAGATTAGTTTTGGTAGCTACTTACGTCAAGAATACTACTAATCGACATTATTTGACTACTCGTTACACGCCTGCAAAAAATGCCTTGCTTAAATTTTGAATCTTGGTGCCATCATAGCAGAAATATCAGCTTTAAATAGAAACAGAACTAAATACATTTTCTAAAAAACAATTTAGGACTTAATTTTTATAATAGTAAAATTTTCCTATTTGATGATAATATGATTATTTATATGACCGTAACATGGCGTTTTCTATCTGCTCCAACATTTTTTTATGAAGTGACATCTCATAGAAAAGCATTATTAAAAATGAGTCTCTCAACAGATTTCTTACGTCCCTAAAACGGGATAATGAGTACCTGTAAAGAAATTGCACAATTTAAAATAGATATGTTTAATGTATTCACACGATATGATTAGGTAATATGAACTTAATTGATATGTATATAGAGTTGAATATTGAACTACGACGTCTATTTCTACACAAAATATCGTCGTAGGGAACTCTATTTAGTTAAAAATAAAATTTTAAGACATTTTAATTCAGGAGGTACTTGGAACTCCCGATTAGTTATGGTTAGACTAGATTTTGGTACTAAGAAGTGTACTAGTTAAGAAACCAAGATACAAATGAGTTAAGAGACTCTACAACTTGATGTTAACGTATAGTTTTCCATAAACTAAGGATTGTATAATTTTAGCTGAAAGGTGTAGATTTTTATAAGAAACTATAATATTCGACGTCAGTCGATTAGAGAATTAGGAAAATTAGCAAATGTAGACACTGCTTTAGTTTATCAAGTGAATGTAATTTTTTGTCTTTTGAATATAAGTGAGCTCTATTAAATGGAACTTTAAATAAAATTTCTACAGTAATTATTTCATAGACATAAATTCGCTGATGTTGGTACACACGTCTGCACGTTAGGTTACTACTATATGTAAAATTTCTGCAATTGATTTTAAACTCTTATCTTCAAGGCATTTAGGTTTAAAATCAAGTGGAGAAATTTCATAGTTTTGTATAATAACCTAACATGCTATTGACTGTACATATAAAGGGGCAAATTCAAAATATATTTTAATAGAACTCAAATTCAGATATTCGTAAATAAATATAATTATATTTTAATGGGAGCTCCTTTTCTTTTCGTAATTTGTTCTATTGTTTGTGGTTACTTGCATATGTTCTGATTATAATAAAAATGCAAACAGAAAAGAACAAAGGAAACTTATTTGAAAAAAAAGTAACTGTTATTGGATTTGTAAGAAATGTGCTTAACGGTTCTTAGTGGAAATTGAATCATATTGTTATTGTATTAAAGTTTAAAATGATGATCTATCATTAATCAATATCCATTTATTTTTCTTTAATCATTGTATTATAGACTAAAAGCTCGTTACAAAAATGTGCATCAGCTTTCGAAAGCTTTCTTTTTTAGTATTTTGATATTAAGTACTAATCAGCAATTGGTAGCAGTTTCGCGCCACCGCCAGCGGGTGTTCAGACTCTCCTCCCTGGTGCAAAATGATTAATTACCATTTGTATTTTAATATACTGAAATATCAAGCTTCTTGCACATTTTTGACACGACTTCTTAGACTATTAAATATAACTGACCTTACCAATAAGCAATGTGTAAGTGTAGTATAGTTACACAGGTTAGCGAATTCTGTACTGCATTATGTTAAAAATAGCTTTGAACTCGTCAACTACTATACATCGACCAGCATAGAGGTTCAATGAAATTAAATTTTTATTATCTTTACAAGTAGGTTTTATTTCATGGAACCTCTATGAGGTGACAACGCTGCGTTCGCCTAGTTCGAGATTGTCCTGGGATGCGATTGCCCAACTATAGCCATAGGATACGATATCAAAGCGATGTTGTGTCGATATTTCGTTTCCAATTTTTACTTTAACATTTACTTCGTTGTCGACAAACGAATGATAAAGAATGATGATTGTAGATTTGAGAGCAGCGTTATTCATTTATTATTTTTATTACAAATTTATCGAACAAAACACCGAGAAGAAATATCGCCATAACATCGATAAGATATCGTATCCTATGGCTAGAGAGTTGGCGGTCGCTCTGCACCTCTAACTTATTTATTGTTAATGTCATAGAGTAGAATAGAGTATGATGAAGTTGAAAATATCTTGAAAATTGATTTGAAATTAACTGAATAACGGTTATAAATAACTTATTAGTAAGAGTAAATATTTAAAATTACTTACAACATGCCAACTTCAATCGATAACTGCTGATATTTTAGTTAAAAAATTGATTGAAGTTTGACCAGTGTTATAATGCAGCTTGACCTTTTTAATGATCGGATACTGTGTCTATAACAATGAATATGGTTCAATTTTCAATGTAGCTTAAACATTTCTTATACGGAGTATGCTTCGTGAGCAAAAAATTGTGTTGAACTGTCTCAAATATCGGCCAGTTCGTTTGGGAATAAATTATGTAATTTCAAAGGAAAATAAATTGAAATGTAATTTCAGAACATGTTTTATTGGTTTTTTTTTCTCGTTACAATACATATTTATTTATAATGACAAGTAATATGTTAAAATATACATAAAATTTTATTAAACTATTTTTTTTATTAAAAGACCATTTTAAAAACATAATTCTTTCTATTGAATAGTCGTAAAAAAAATTTGAGAATGCTTACTTAATTATCGCATCTCTCAATAGTATCTCAACGACTTGTATTTAACCATCGTACTTTCTACCTGAAGTCCAATATTATTAACACATGTCTTCCTCACACGTCAATGGTGACAGATACATATATAATAATATTGGACTTAAGGTTACTATTTATAGTAAAATGTAAATAGTTGAAATTCTATTAAGATGGTATTATTATATAAATATTAGCAGAATCGCTTGCTAGTCTAGTACATTGTCCCCCAACCTGCGGCTGGAGTCGGCTGAAACGTAGCACGTCGAAAGTGTGCCAGCGAAATTACAACTTTATGTTAATATCGACCTAAATACTACAAATTTAGCTGCAAAATACAATACATAGACTATATCAATGTAGTTGTTCTTTTTCACCGCCTCAAAAAAATTACAAGCATTTTTTCTATTTTTATTAAAATTGTATCTAGAGCATAGTTTCTCAACCTTATTTTGCTTACCGCCCACTTTGAGAATATATTTTTTTCTAGAGCCCATCTTAATCTTACTTACCATCTGTCGCTAATTTAAAACAGCTATTGCCACGATTATATTTAAACGTAAGATATTATATCATAGTCGTAAGATAGGAATATGACCCCTATCCTATTTCTGAGTTTAAAGTGCAAAATGAAAGAAGAATGTTTCAATGGGAGCAATTAAAACGCATGCTTAGTTATATTGAGGTGTATTTTTTTTCATTCAAAAGACATGAATTTATGACATAACTAATGAGAAGGTTGAATTTGATGCATTTTAAGGAGTTTGTTAATATCAGGCTCGATTTTACTTAAAAACAAGCGTAAGTTACCGCGTTCAGTAACATGAAGCCGATTTCTCTCTTTAGTTACCAACGTTGCTACAGCACTAAATCCACGTTCAGCTAAATAGGAAGATGGGAATGCTATCAGAAATCGTTGAACAATCGACCATTATCCTGGGTACAGTTGTGAAATCGGCTTCTGCAGCCAAAATTCTTGGTAGCCATTCTTGAATTTAATTTTTAATTCCTCATTTGTCGTCAGTTCTATTAGTTCTTCTTCTAACTGGGATGACCCTGCTGTGTTAACATTTGAAAAAGGATCCAAAACCCAGTCTGGTATGTCCATGTTTAAAACGTCCTGGAATCTTTCCTTGAAATCTCTGTGGAGGTTTTCCAAGTGTTGACAGTAAACAAGCAAGTCGTCGTTATTGAATGATACTCGTGATAAATTTGGGAAGTTGTTGAATTCCCGTCTGCTGATATTTCTTTTGTATAATAGTAGTTTGGATACGAAAGCAGCAATGCTATTTTTTGTTTTAATCAAGTTTAAGTCATCACCTTGAAGTTGGAGGTTGACATCATTAAACAATTTATACAGGTCTGTCAAGTACGCAATATCTTTCTTTGATGAGATGAGGTTGTCGCGCAATTCTGGGTCTTTGTTTTCTAGGAACTCTATCACAGATCCAAACAGATTGTAAAATCGAGCCAAGCAAGTACCTTTTGACAGCCAGCGCACCTCTGTGTGAAGCAGCAGTCGGTTGACATCTTCATCATTGGCAATGCAAAGCTGATTGAATAATCTGTCATTCAACGAGTTGCTTCTGATTTTATTGACTGATCTGATGATATATTGCAGTGATATATGGAGGCGTTCATTCAGAGTTTTCGCAACCAAATGCTGGCGATGAATTACGCAATGCACAGCAAGCACGTCAGGATCTTTATTTTTTAAGCACGCTATTAAGCCTTTGTGACGCCCTGTCATAGCCGGTGCGCCATCCGTAGCAATTGACAAAATATTATTCAAAGGAATTTCCTTTTCGGCACAAAACTTTTCAAGAGTATTAAATATAGTTTCTCCTTTTGTATCCGTTTCCAAATTTGTAGCAAACAATAATTCTTGACATATTTTCTCATCCTTAATGAACCTCACGTATGACAATAACAGTGCTTTATTGGTGGGTAAAGTGGACTCATCCAGCTGAATTGAAAATTGACAAGTCTGCAGATAATTGCACAATGATTATTCAATGTTTTTAGCCATCTCATCTATTCGTCTTTGCACAGAACTATTGCTCAAAGGAATTTTTCGGATAATATCTGCAGCTGGTTTATGGAGTACAGTGGTTATTACTTCTTTGATTGCTGGTAAAATTAAATCTTCCCCAATAGTGTGTGGTTTCCCTGATTTGGCAATCAACAATGAGATATTGTACGAAGCTCGAAGTCCGTCATCGTCTTGCTTAGAAGCTGATGAAAAAAGTTTTGATATAGTTGGCTGAATTTCGTACTTCTTTTTCATGTCTTGATAATAGGTCACATCTTTGTCTTTCTTATCCGGGTGTATTTTATTAAAATGATCTTGAAGCCTAGAAGGCTTCATCGCTTCATTTGAAAATGTTTTTTTACAAATAAGGCACAATGGCGATGATGGATTTGTGGGATTTTCGATAAATCCGTATTTAATATAATCCGCACAACTTTTTTGCTTCTGACATGGTTTGCACTTTACAGATACGTGAGTAAAAGATTAACTTTTAAAACCATGTTCCCAATTGTGCGCGATAATGCTAATGAAAATAAAATGAACAATCATTGCCTTTATATAGGTTGGAGATATTTAATATGTAACGACAGGAATAAGATAAACATGCAGTGACTTGTTTATAACACCCGGCGCGAAAGGTAAGGGCGGACGCCGCGCGGGGGCAAGGGCGACGCGGGAGCAGTGTGCGAGCTCAGACCTGTCGACGCATGTACATACGTCACTTGCTGACTCCCGAATGCCCCGAAGACACTGACGAACAAAAAATTAATATAATTTAATCTATTTCATATTTAAATAATAAAAACCATTCGGAATAAGCCATTTTAGTGAAATAAATCTAAAATTTTATGGTAGGGGTTAAATATACACAAAACATTGATTAATAATTATTAATTAATTAATGTTTTGTGTGTGTTTATTTTATTATAATTTCAACAAATATTAAGTATCTTTTGGAAATTAAAATTTATATAATCTCAATCTCTGTACTTTAACCTCGATTGTAGTACTTTTTATTTTATAGTTTTTAGTAATGATGATTTTAATCCATTGCCCGCTCTACCAAAATACACGTGATAAAAATGATTACAATACCTACAATAACAAAAATTAAACGATATTAATTTTTATTTTACTTTAGTACGTGATTAGCGTATATTTTTTTGCCTTTTTAGACTATATTTATAATCTACCCACGCCCCCTCTGCGCCATCTTAATGCCCCCTAATTTTCTCTGGGTCTTCTACTGCCCCCCCCGAAAGTCTCAAACGCCCACAAGGGGGCGTTATCGCCCACGTTGAGAATCTATGATCTAGAGGGTTCAATACAAAGAATGTGTTTTGACTGGAACGTTCATAATACGGTTTAGCGGCCTAACGACTATAGTTAATTAAGTTTCATGATTTTTTTTTAATTCGCCCAAGAATTCGTTTATTTACGAAATGGAAATAATTTTGGCTTCTTTCTATTTTATTAAATGGAAAAAGTGTTTCCGAGCGCTTAATAGTGGATTAATAATAGTTTATACTATATTAGTAATACTTAATGACATTAGCGATTTATCTAACGATTCACAAAGATTATAAAACCAGTTAGCGTCAACACAGAGTACACAAATACGATTTCATTAAACATGTTCTTAATGCTCTTAAGTATTCTTAGATTAATTTATTGCTCAAAAAGCTTAAATTATGTCAATATCTCACTCATGCCATTTTTTTTAATATTTTTTGTATATTGCGTTAACTTATAATCTACATATTACGTACGACTTAACAATATACAGTATGAACACTTTACTTATTTTTGTTAATCAAATCCTTTTAGTAGTTATGAATAAGCCATAATTTGATGATTTATTCAAAAACTCTACAACCTTTACTTTCGTTTAAATTCTCTGGTGTATAAGTACCTACCACTGGTGGTAGAAAACTTCTAGAATAACGGGATTTTCAAATCGGGTTATTCTAGAAATCCTCAAACATTGACAGTAAACAATTATGATATTCATTTAAAGTATGCGTGGACAGATTAAATTCGTTATAAGGGTACCTACTTAAAACAAATGGATATTACGAAATATCTGAAGTCCTGTATATATTATATATGTATAAGTACTTTACATTATACTTGTACACCTTGTAAGGGTCGATCCATACAACATTATTACGAAAATTACGCTCTTATAGGTGAAACTTACGAATGCGCGCGAGTTTTCTTTGACTGTTATGAATTTGACCCCGTCATGCGCTTCCAACTGCACGCTATAGCATGAATTGTCCCTTTAAGGTATAAGAGTATATCCTAGTCATGGAAACGTATTTGTCTCAAGTGCCTGCCTCTTGAATAGGTACAGCTTAAATGAAAAGCCGCGCAATGTCGATACACGGTTTTATAATCATCATATTCTTATTTGAATTATATACATTTATATAAGTAGCTTAAATGTCAATTCACATTGAAAATAGTAGCAGACAAGGGCCTCGCACGAGCGCCTAACTCAAAGCAATACAGAGCTAATAACTTTTTATCCTTTTTTATGAAAACATACAATGTTTTTATTATTATTAATGAATTAGCGCAACTGCTTTTTATTTATCTCAGTTATTCTATTCTATTAACTAAATCTTCTTTCAATTTAGTCAAACTTAATATGATAAGAACAGACATAATTTAATACATTCAATACATAATAAAATACCTAAATGATAAAATTAAAGGAATTCTATTATAAAAGAATGTAAAAATATTCATAGATAAAAACTTGCTTAAAGCTATGGCTTCAGCTTTGAATTAAGTGGTTGACGATAGATCCCCACGATCTGTTATTATGGACATATAAGACAAAGTTTACTAGCTACCTACATCTTAAGTCTAGACCATCGGTGGCATTATCACTAAAACCAATATCTTTCAAACAACCTTTTGAATCTACCTTTAGAGAACTTAGATAGCGGGAATATTATATAGCCACATGGCGCCATAGGCAGGTACTTATTATACTGTTTCATTTTTCTGCAACAAGGTTTTAATGTATAACCATTTCCATACTAAATATAAGAAACCGATCCCTGAAGGAGTGGGCTAAATAAAAACACATCAAGTTATATTTGTCTATCAAGAGATGGCGATAGTGTCCTTAATATCAATAAAAATGTCCAAATACGTTTAAATTTAATATTTTAAGCGTATATTATAAAAAAAAGCATCAAATTGCAACATTAGCGCAATCCGTAGGTGAAATCCGTTTCGTTCCACGTGGCATAGAGGGAATGCAGCCTTATTTTTGCGATTTCTGACACATATTTAATATTAATTATATAATACTTAATAATAAAGGAACATAGATTTACTTATAATACTGACAATAAATTCACATAAGTACAACAGAGGAACTTGGCGTTCTGTTTCTTTATTACCACAGCGTATACACCTTATACCATACAAAATAATGTAGGTATGTGTAAAATGATAAACGTATACAAAGCAGTGCACATATATATCCATTATTTTTAATACCTATTTTATTAATAACAATTAATTATTTAATTACAATAAAACCATGTAATTTTATGTAAGGTTAATGTATACATTCAAAGGATGGCACATACGTACTATATTTAATGTTCTTGGATGGCACCTACTCGTATCAATCGGCTTTAGCTTACTCTATTCTGTGCATAGGAATTTTACCTATACTACTTATATAATAGTACTGGTCTGTACGCAAATAGATCACAAATGTGAATCCACCCTAATGTAATCATAGAGTAACAGAAGCGTTATTGTATAGAGCATGTAATGGGATGAGTTAGTAGGTAATTAAGTAGTACAGGTGTACCGGCTGCGACCTCTAATTGCATATCGCCATCTTCTTCCAACTCCATCTCGTCAGACGTAACGGACATCTTGGCAGGCTCTTTGGCATCAAGCAACATATCTGTTGATGTATTGTCCCCTGGTACAGAGTCGACGAAGACCTGGATGATTTAAACAAACATTAAATAAAGCTACTTTCAAACGGTTTATCGTATGTATTTTTGAAACTGTGCCCAATAAACTGTGATTTGAAGAATACAGTAAGATGATATTGATATCACTAATTATCGTGGTAGACTTGCAGCCGTGTGTACATACACAAATTACGCACTTATAATTTTTATTTTTTAATGCTGTGAAAAAGTTCAAATTTGCTGTTGTTGTCGAGGCGTTCTCGCATGCGGTATATTAAACAATGTCAATGAGTTTTTGTAACAGAGTATTTACTTCATCATCGTCTTCGTCGTCCGCATACTCCTGAGCAGAGGGAGCCGACGCCGGCACAACATAACGGGTTGCGGTCTCGCTGTCGTCTGAGCTGTAATCTTCGCTCTCGTCGCAGTCAAAATAACGACTCTGCATTAAAAAATAAATCACACGCATGTTTGACTAAATAATAATTGCAAATTGTAAATAGATCTTGATCTCATATATAAAATAATAGCATATGGCATCAAACGGGAATAACCCGACATAAGTGATAAAGAACAAACTCCTCAACGCGACTGTTTGAACTGATCAGGGGGCCAATTCTACTAAATAAATTTTGTTTAAATCGAATCGAAACTGAACGAAACTACAGTTTTTAATGGTTTTTCTATTCTACTAAGTGACATACGATACAATTTAAGCTAAAATAGAACTGAAATTATATCATAGGTCACTTTGTAGAATAGGAAAACCATTAAAAACCGTAGTTACGTTCGGGTTCGATCCGTTTTCGATTCGATTTAAACAAAATTTATTTAGTAGAATTGGCTCCCAGGCCCGTCTTAAGCACAACAGGCTCAATTCTAATAATACAGGACAGATCAGTCTCTTTTAACACTGGTTTCCTTCATAAAGAAAATATTGCTATATGATTAATTATAGCTTTGTATACAATTTATACAAACTAGAGTCAATACTTCAAAGTACGGCGATGACCTATCAGAATATTTCTATCTATAAGAAAATCCTAGGGAGCGACCGCCTTAGGCGGGAGTTAGGCGGTCGCTCCCTAGGATTTCTTCGTTCTCTAGCCATGATTCTAGCCACATTGGATACGACATTTTAGCTATGTTGTGTCGATATTTAGTTTCATTTATTACTTCAACATGTACTTTTTTACGATGAACGAATGATAAAGAATGAGGATTGTAGATTTGATAACAGCGTTATTAAATAAATATTTTTATCCCAAATTAATCCACCAAAAGAACACGTCTTTTCAAGAAAGAAGTAACATTAAACGATATATCGCCATAACATCGACAAGATGTCGTATCCTATGACTATAGACTTAGGGGGTCGCTCTGCTGAGCCCCAGCTGTGAGGTCATTAACACGCTTCTGATGATGACGATTATTGAAAATCTCAGAATAAATTGTATTGACTGGGAGCATATTAACCTCTTATGTGGTGTGGTACGAACCAACAGTGTAGATAGCAACTCGTTTGTTTGGCGCACTCAACGGTGACAGTTTCAGAAAATTGCTCAAACATTCCACAGGGTAAATTGCATCCATGTAAAGCTGATCACAAGTAGGTAGAAATATAACCTACTATCTAGGTACTTGTACTTAAATTAGCTTATCTTTTTTTTCATATTGTTTGCCGTTTCGATTTTAGCGACAAACTGGTTATTTTAAAGCTAAATCTTACTAAATTATTGACCTAACAATCAAGTAGATATTAAGAATATTGAAATAGCATTAATTAATTGCAATTTTGTTTGCTTTGATATTCAAACTATTGTGGAATGAACTCGATTATGTATTTACACTGACTGGCCTTTATTTCTGTAGCACGTGTCATTGCAATGCTCGCGTTGATCATAACTGGAACTGGGACAAAATCACATTTCTTGAGTAGCTTGTGAAATGCTCATTCTATATTGATGTCCTTTGGAATACATTAATTATTGATAAAGCACTTGTTGCTTTCACTACCATAAATGTTCAAGCAATCCACATAAACGTAATATTTATATGAAAGTTATCAAATTACCTATTTGGTAAATTAACGGTTAAGTCATTAACGCAGTTTCTATCATATAATTCTGTTGAATTTGAAATAAGTCATAATAAAATGAAAGTCACAAAAACCAAAGGTATTTGCTGTCTTAGTTTTCGATAACAATGTATTGATAGGTAGGTATATTACACATCGCACAGACAGATTAATATAATTTACATAATGTGACTCATTTATAATACAAAACACATTTGGGAAACGACGCGTGACGTAATGCAAGCGTGATAACATCAAATGTCTGGAAAAAATAAAAATAATATTGTTTTCAAAGCAAAGCTGCTAATGTCAATGGAGTTCGATATATGTATAGCAACGGCAAAACCGAGTAGGTACTACTATCTTCTCGGTTATACTACCTTAACAAATATATAATTTATTATTATGACATATACTATCGCGTTGGCACAAAAGTAATGAGACACTTGGTTTAAGTTTTTACTTTTTTATTATTATTACAATGAAAAAAGTTTAGTCAATGATGTAATTACCATTAGTATCTAAGACTTCTTGCCAACGATCCGGCAAAGTTTGGATGCCTTTTGCCTAGAATTCTGATGGCTGTGCCTCGAAAAAGTTCTTCAACTCCGCCTCTACGTCAGAGAAATCATTAAATTGTTTACCCCGCAAATGCTGTTTCAGGGCTCTAAACAAATGATAGTCTGATGGGGCGAGGTCTGGGGAATAAGGTGGGTGGGGTATCGTCTCCCAGCTCAAGTTCTCCAACTGCCGGCGAACCACAGATGCGACGTGAGGTCGAGCGTTATCGTGCAGTAAAACTACATTGACTCGTCTTCGTCGTTTTTTCTTGATAGCGGCAGATAATTTGGTAAGCTGGGTTGAATATTTGTCAGCGTTTATAGTTTCATTGTGTAATACAACACTCATAAAACAGTATGCCTTGCGCATCCCAGAAACAGCAAAGCAGAATTTTTCGGCGGTTCTTTTGACTCGGCTTCGGTTGAGTTGGTGGCGTTTCTTCTCGAGGTAGCCAAAAAGCACGACGTGTATCGTTCTCGTAATAAATCCATGATTCATCTCCAGTAACCAGATCTGACAAAAACTCTTTACGTCGGGGTCGCAGCAAAAGTGACTGACAGATAGCGACACGGACTGCACGACTGGCGTCTGTAAGGATGTGCGGTACCCACCGAGCCAAAACTTTTCGATAACCAAGCTCATGCAGATGGTGTTCCACGGCGTGGTGACTGCATTTAAGTGCTTCTGCTAATTCACGAGTGGTAGCATCCGGATTCAACTGCAGTTCGCGGCGCAAATCGTCATCATTCACTGCGGGTGGTCGCCCTGAGCATGGCTGACTTTCAAGGCTCCTGTCTCCTGATTTAAAACGGTCAAACCATCGGGACACCGTCGCATGGCTTGTACTTTCAGCGCCTAATGCATTGTTGATATTGTTAGCCGCAGCCCGCGCACTGTGGCCTAACAAGTACTCGTATAAGTATAGTGTTCAAACTTGTCGCTCGTCCATTTTTCTTCAAACTGACTAAACAAATCGCGAGCGCGACTTTATATACCCTACACCAGAAGTACCTAGAATGTTCTACAACATTCTAGAATATTATCGAAAAAATTGATTTTAAAAAGGAAATGTTATAGATTTTTCTAGTGTGTCTCATTACTTTTGTGCCAACCCAATATATATGCCTGGAGTAAATCATACGGTCTAATAGTTAATCCATATAAAACTCAAACTATAGGCAGTCGTCATTTCGTTTCCCGGATAGACTTTAGTGTGCTACCTTCTATCATTTTCGACGGTACTGTTATCCCTTATTCCGAAACTGTCAGAAACCTTGGAGTTATATTTGATAAACAGTTTTCTTGGAAGCCTCAGGTGGAAGCATTCAGGAAGAGGGTGTTCGCTGCGTATGGTTCACTGAGTCGTCTACGTAATTTTTTGCCGATCAGTACCAAAATCACTTTGGCGCAATCCCTAATGTTGTCTATTATCGACTACGCTGATGTGTGCTATACAGATCTCTCAGAAGAACTCACCAAACTGGAGCGTCTGCAGAATGTTTGCATTAGATTTATTTTCAATCTTCGAAAATATGACCATGTGTCGTATTTCCGTTCAAAGTTAAATTGGCTTCCTATTCGCCGGCGCAGGGACTTGCAAACTCTCACGGTTCTTTACTCTATACTTTTCCTCCCATCATCTCCACCATATCTTAAACGATCATTCTCTTTTCGCTCCTCTTCATTACAATGTACATTACGTTCCTCTTCGAACCTCACTCTCGAAATCTCTCGTCACTATACAGATTTCTATTCCTATTCTTTTGCTGTGCATGCTGTGCGTCTGTGAAATTCTCTTCCAGAGGGTATCAGGAGGGCTTGATCATTGATCCTTTAGCAATGAAGTTATTAATTATTTCCTTTCCACATATTAAAACTATTTTCATATTATTCTTTCACTATAAAACTGTTTAATTCATTTCATATGTATCTATTCTTTTTATTTACTAGTATTATAATATATTAACGCTATTTATTTATTTATCCTTCTCTATATTGCACCCACTCCCCATAGTATCTTTATTTGTTTTCCATTTTCACCATAGGTTGCCTGGAAGAAATTGCTGTTTAGCAATAAGGCCGCCATTTGTTTACTCAATTTCTTAGATAATAAGCTTCTGTAAACAATGTATCTTTCATATTGAGTGCAATAAAGTATTTCATTATTATTATTATATTATTCACTAAATATTATTAAGGTGTACTTAGCACTTTAATAATGTACCACTGTCTAAATTCAACTACCTAAACTGCAAAAATGTAACTTTAATGTTATTCTATAGTAATTAAATAAATATATGCAGCTGGGAGATGTGGATCATATTACTATATTACATAGTTTTAAATATGAAATAAATATTCAATTATTATTACTATTCATTATATGTATGTACTGTTATGTAACTGTAATTAAAGACGCAGATTGACATGACTAAACCTTGATAGATTCTAGTTTGTGCAACACACAAAGGCGTAACATACATGATTGCTGATTGGATTGCTACCATTAACAAAGCAGACTGTCTTTTATATATCGATTGTCTTTTGGTACAATCAAAGTACGTCTGGTTATACAAATCTGTCAAATTTCTCCACTTGAATTTAAACCTTAACGTTTTCAAGGTACTGTTTAAAATCAATTGTAGAAATATAATATATTGTGAGAACCTGACATGCAGCTGTGTACGTCTGACAATGATTTGCTTCCGATTGAAAACTCAAATGATATAAATAATAAATCTATGATTGAAAATAATAATTCTGGCGATATATATTATAAATAATACGTACATACATAAAAGTTTCTCATTGTTCAATTATACATTAATTATAATGAATTATTTTATTTAATAAATAACGTAAAGTAAAAATTGTAAAGTACAAAAGATTTGAAAGAATGATTTTGGATTCAGACCACAGAATAATGGTACTCCTGTTTTGGACGCTAAATGACAAAGATTACAACCAGTATTATGTACTGTCTATGGATCACAATGCGTAAAATGGAACTGCGCATTTCATAGAATTCTGCCAATATCAAGTGAATAAATTAATTTCTACATGTAAAATGAAAATGAAGTGAATGAAAGATGACAATGAAAAACCAGTCCAACAAATTATCTAATTCAATTTAACCAACCTAACGCCACAAACTAGCAATCGTTTCACCCCTAATGTGGCCGGCTATCGAGAATATATCCAAAACACGTGTGAGTTTTTTACCAGAATTTTCGTAAAAAGTATCAATCTCACTAATACCATTACGATAAACAGTTGTACAACTATTGTTTTGTTAAGCAGTATGGAAGCAGTAAATACACGTTATACACTAGACGTCTTAATAATCGATGTAAATGCATTACTTATCAACTTTCCTTTAATTTCTGACAAACAATTTGTGGCAAAAAAAAAAATTAAACGTTTGAAGTATTGTTAAAATTTTATTATAATATCACGTAGGGGGTCTTAACAGGCCACAGAGAGAGAGAAAGGGAGAAATAACGGAAGAAATAATTTAATTGTTATTTAATACTAATAATAAAAAAACAAAGTCTTGGTTTAAGATTAATTGAATTCGAATTGTTATTATAACACATGCCTAATGCTACATGTATATCAGTTTCTTGATATGAATAAAATATGTAGATTTTCGTTAGAACACTGTTGATAATATGAATTTGGCGCTGTTTTAGTACAGCGAAACGATGTTTGCAAAACCAGGATTAATATTATTATTGATCGGGTAAACGTAACATTAAGTTGGCAATGCTGACTGTTTGCCTCGTCGCTAACTTCGCTTGCTCGCAGCTGACTGACTGTCACACGCATTCTGTCAAATGTTGTCAAACAATATGACGACATCGGACTAGATAAAATTATATTATTGTAGTCCCCGAAACAATAAAAAATATTGCGTGGTAATGATACGTAATCAGTAAGCGTATGCGTTCGACTACAAAACGTCGTTTTGCCACGCGCTCTCGAGTCAAAAAGAGATTAATTATTGTACAGTGTTATACGCATCCTAAGTGCACATCCTTTGTTCCTGATTATGGCTGCAGCGTTAGCTAATGATTCACCAAAATACACCAATAGCTTAATATGCTGCAGCCCTCGGAGCGTCGAAGTTGCTTCAACATCTTCTGCATCGTCTTCTACATCGGGCTGTGTATCCACTGATGATAGTTATGACTCTAACTACATACCAAAATCTATATCGAATAAAAAATTGAAAATCCACAGCACAGCGACTCGAGAAGAGCTGGAAAAGGCCGTAAAACAGTGCAAGGAGCTAGTTTTGAATACACCACAGTGTTCTGAAGAGAGAAAATGGTTAGTGAGATATTTAGTAGAGTTGCGTTTGAGATTAGAGGATGTCAAGGACAACGACGGGCAATTGAAGCCACGCGTATCCATAAAAGGTCACCATTTCGAGCAGCAGATCAACACTAACAATCGTAAACAGTATTGTGACCATTGCAGTGGTGTTATATGGAGTATAGTTCAAAGTTCATATAAATGTGGAAACTGCAATTATATTTGCCACTACAAATGCGTCGATCAGGTGTGTAGGATGTGCGCTCATATCGTCATGACAGATAGAGGACAGTTTGAGATGAGTATATGCCCTGAAAAAGGTCTTGCTGCTCAGGACTATAAATGTGTAGAGTGCCAAACAGCTTTAACATTTAAAGACTCATGGAACGAACCACGTTTATGTGATTACACAGGTCTCTATTTCTGTAGTACATGCCATTGGAATGACACATGTCCAATTCCAGCTCGTGTTGTTCACAACTGGGATTGGGAGAAGAGGTATATATCACGAATAGCTTATCAAATGCTTACTATCTCTTGGTGTCGTCCATATATTGACATTGAAAGTATAAATCCGAGGCTTTTTAGTTTTATTGCTGAATTAGAATGGGTACACAAAATGAGAAGGGATTTGGAATGGATGAGACGTTATCTTTGTGCTTGTCCAAAAGGATCAAACCTATTATCTCCTTTATTTGTGCAGCTCAGTGATGTAAATCATAAATACAGCATGGCCCACCTGGAAGCTATAAATGATGGTTCTTTAGAATCAAAACTAACAGAGTTGACTGAGATTTGTCGTAAACACATAACAAATTGTGCCTTGTGCTCTGGAAAGGGTTACTTATGTGAAGTCTGCGGTAACAACGAAATCCTCTATCCTTTTGATAGTGGAGCAATACTTTGTGATAGATGCAACTCCATGTACCACAGAGGTTGTTGGTTAAGAAAGGGACAGAACTGTTTGAAATGTGTTCGTTTGGAGGAACGTAAAAAGAACAAGTTACCAGCTGAAGAGACAGATTCTCATTTAGAATATGACATAGATAAGTTTGTGGAATAATTAATTTTTGTACCTGACTCATTTGCTGAATTATTTTATTTGAACACTGCATGTTTTCAGAGCTTTGAAATGTATCTACAGTGGTACATAATTCTGTTGTTTTAATTAAATATTAAAGTGATAATTAAATTATTGAATGTTGATATATCGAAGCTCTTAAAACTACTTATTTGTGACTTTATTTTCAGTTTTATTATTATTATTAAAATTAAAGTATATTTATTATTTTGACATGCATGATTTAGTAAGTTCATGATGCTTTTTTGTTTTGTTTAAAAAATCATGAGGTGCTGATAGTTATTAGCAATAATTATATGCAAAGGCTTTAATGTTATCAATTACTAAGTTTGACCACTTCCAATAATTATATTATAGTTATAATCTAAAAAATTGTATTTTTCTTTTTAATGTTTAACCATTTGCTTAATAAAACTTCTAAATAACAAATGTTACTAACTTGTAAATTCAGTCAAGTCAATCTGAAGAAAATATTTACCATTTTGTATAGTAGAATAAATGAATCTTGTTCAATAAAAAGATTAAAAAACTTAATGAACATTTACAGGTAAAAAAAAATCCTACATGATTCTGAACTAAATGTAGTTTCACCTAAAATTAAATGTTTAAAAGACATCTGCGTAATTGCTTCCATAATAATAAGCCTTTTACTATTGACATTTGACTATTTGACATGAAATATATCAATCATTTGATTTAAGATTGTATAATGAAATGCTTAAAAGTAATTGAATCTGTTATAGTAGCAGAGAAATTGTTGACATTTAATAAGTTTTTGTATCCACAATTATTGGTGTTGCTTATCTAGGGAGGGAGTAGCTAGCTGACAAATAATGCTTGATTTCCTAGGATGGGCAGAGGAGTTAATGTCATCTATACAAAGATTCAGACTCAGACTCCTATATCTTCTAAGACATAAGAAACATTCAAATTCACACCTATCAGCAAAAGTTGCATTTTAATCTCAAATGGAAACTTGTTTGAGATAAGGGTTAAATTAATAAGGATCAAGTATGGGCAAAGAAGATATTGCTCTTTCAAAGTTACCTCTAGCTACACCAATGATTGTAAATTATATCCACAAACTAATGTGATTACGTTACGGATTTGTATAAACTCCTGTGTGAATAAGATTGATTTGAGACGTTGGTAGAGTTCGTATTATATTTTTTGAAAAAAAAAGGCGAAATAAATTATTGAAAAATGGAATCATATTGTTTTGGTTTTTATATTTTATAATTTTTACATTCACAAAAATAATACTGGAAAATATTTTTAATGAAAAATGCTTAAAAATCCGCCAGCCCCAGGCACACTGAGATGGGACTCGAACCCACGGCCTTCCACAATCCGGGCGACTGCTTTAACCACTGAGCTACCCAGCATCTAACAGGACTGACAATTTTTTTCTAGGGCTTGTTGCTTTTTCGCTTCTAGTGAGCGTATTTCCATCAATGTTCAGGCAATACACCCAAATCCATGAGGATTTCATAGTAACTAATTAAATATTCAAAAGAGCGTAAACAAAAAATACAAATTTTGAACTTTAATGCATCGACGGTTCTAACACGATGAGAAAGTTTCATGATGTTGATATTACTATATTTAACACAATATAATAATAATATTACACTAAAATAAATCTGATAACAAAATTAAATCCGTTAATAATTACAAAGTTATAGATTATTTATAATTACGTGATCAGATCGTCGCAATACAAATTAAACAGAAGTCTTTGCAAAACACTTATTATTTTCTACTTATTATGTACTCTGGCGTTGTTTTTTTAGTTATTAATTGACATTACATTTTATATTTTTATATGTATAGAGTTTTTTTTTATATTTCTATAATTATAGGAAGGAAGTATATTTCTAAAAATAAACAAAAAAACAAAGGTATGTGTAAAATTCCCCTTTTTCCTTTCTTGTCCTACCTATTTAATTAAATAGGTAGATATTATAATATAATATTAATAAGGAAAATTGATAGATATACGAGTTACTTTAAAGTCGAGAGCTTTACCGGGAACTTTTACAATAATAACATCATTTTTCAATTCTAGATAAGAATACAGAAAATTTTAATTAATGATGTGTGGGCTGATTTCAACATCTATCATAGTTATAGCAATCGTGATAGCCTTTTATGGAAATATGTAATGTTTATAGTCGCTATCGCTTTTGGAACGAATAATGATTTGAATGATAAAGGAAAATAATAAAATCTAGACGAAAAGAAAATAATATTTGCGTCAAACACATCGTTCATTCTATATATTTCAAAATGACGTTGTGATCGCAATCACGTGTCAAATAGTATCGTGAAATTCGTGAATATCTTTCAAATGTCAAATTGAAAGGAAATGCGACTGATTTTAAAATTAGACGATTATGACCCTGAATTATTTTATTTAATAATATCGCCCCTCTCCCCCTCTATACACCGCACGCTCTGCAACGTTTCATATAAATTGTTGAGAAAATCATCTTACCGATTTTCTTACATTTACCCTCGTATCTATATTATAGTCGAGTAGAAGTAAATACTTGAGTATAAAGTACATAAGCAAATATTTTAGCCCGTAGTCGAGAGTTTGATTGAAGGAAGAACCTATTCTAACTTTTAAGAATTCTTACTTCACTCAAATTTTTTTTTAGTTGTCAAAAATATTTGCTTAGCTTCGCCTCTTTATATTTTTTTGGTTCTGTACCAAAAAGTATTATCAGTTATTTGTCTGTCTGTCAGAACATAATCAAAACCGAGATGAACGAAATAACTTTACATAGGTATATAGTTTATGGAAATGAAATCATGAAAATTATGAAACAACGAATATATTTAAGATATTGGATCCTAAACCAGTGGATTCAACCTTTTTGAATGGAGATCCAAAATAAAAATATATTTTAATGTCCCTCTGATGAACTAAAACTTCAAGGTTAGTATGATGTCACAAACTACACCCACATTCTGAATCAGGATAACGTGCGATTACAATGTGAATTGCGAGTCCGTGGCAATTTATTTAGAGTTTATTTTTCAATACTTACTTCTTCGTTGTAGGTCACCCGCCGCTCCGTGGCAACTTGTGTTTGAGGCAACACTGATTTCTATGTTAGTATTTTTTTTTTAATGCTTTTAATGTCATTATAAAACTTCTATCTACATGAAGTCTTGTTAACTCTCCATAAATAAATAAAATTATATTTGATCATTTTTGCATTCACAATGCTACTGGGGAAACCATTCTTAATGAAAAATGTTTAAAAAATCCACCTTGTCCCTGACACTGCGGTGGGGCACGAACCCATGACCTTTCGCATATAAAATAAATTTCTAGACTCACCTGACAGTCAAGACATCTGCAGGACTCCCTGTAAGTGCAGGTGTTGAGAGCACTCTCCAGGTGCTGAAGATACTGTATCTGGTCGGAGTCCATTCGCCGTTTGCGACGCGCCAGCGAAGATAGAAAGGCCAGCAGTGATATACCACGACGGGACGGCTTCGATTTCGGGATGCAGCTGTTGGAGAGGAATCAACTTGTAGAAGTTAAGCAACAGCAACATTCGAAAATATTGAAGACATTATCTTTTATTTTATATGTTGCTTAGACAAAACCTCGAAATCATTTTTTTTCTGTTCCTCACGTCTAGTATTTTGTAAGTAAAGAAAATCAATTAAGTAAATAAATTGTCATAGACATTGCGCGATTACTACCTAATTAGAATGGCACGTGAATCACATTAAAATACACAAAACAATTATCAAGACAAAATTGAGTAACTTACAAAATTCGGTGTGCTTTAAAAAAAAATATTAGTCAAGACAAAAATATTTATTCAAATAGCAAGGAATCATAATAGGGATGACAGTGGCTAGGAAGAACTGCTTTAAACTGTTGCAGATGGTTAAATTTTGTAGCTTTAATTAGAATTCCATTGGAATGTAATTGATCATAGGTAACGTTGTTATTAATTATTGTTGTTCTTCGTGGTAATGGTACGAGTATCTAGTTTTGATCAAAATTTTGTTTTAGTTCAATTGTCCATTTTTATGACTCTAAACTCAACCACGTGTAGATCTCCAGCCTTGCGACCTGGGCTAATACTTTTGTATGCCAAATTTTCTACGGCAGCGTATTTTCTTAAAAAATTGTGATTCGAGCGATGTACATTTGCCCTGCCCACTGCCACTTGAGGTTCGCCATTCTTTGGGCTATGTCGGTGACTTTTGTTTTTTTTGCGGATCTCATCATTTCTGATTCGATCTCGCAAAAAAACCCCGAGCATAGCACTTTCCATTGCCCTCTGAGCAACCTTGAGCTTCCTTATAAGGCCCATCGTAAGCGGCCACGTCTCAGTTCCGTATGACATCACTGGCACGAATTGAAGACTTTCATCTTGAGACACTGCGGTTGATGTTCCGAGAATACACTGTGTAGCTTCCCGAACGCTGCCCAGCCGAGTTGGATCCGTCGATTTACCTCTCTCTGGAAGTTGGACTTACCTAATCAGACTATTTGTCCCCGGTAAACGTACTCGTAGGCAGCTTCCGGTGTAGAGCCTCCAACATTCACTGGAGTGGGCACGACATGGGAGTTTGATATTATTTTCGTCTTCTCCATGTTAATTTTAAGATCTACTTGTTGGGAAACTCAACAGAGGTCTTCGAGCGAATTATTTAAACGAAAATATTTAAAACAATATCTTAAGACTTGTGCCAGTTGACTTGCGGTACAGTTATTTTTGAACGCCCTAAAAAAGTTATCAAGAGAATGGTAAATCCACAGAACACAGAACGTCTTTCTGTGTTCTGTGGGTAAATCAGCCCCAAGAATAATTTAGTTTTATAATATTGATAACTACGGGTGAGCTAATGAAAGATGGACTGTATTAAAATAATATGATATATTCGGAAAACACAGTAAAAACAAGGATAACACAAATTAATTTTCAAATTATACAACAAATCAGATCGCGAACGTAAAGACACACAAGAATTTGACAGACAACCAAAGACAATCAAACGTCAATCATATTCAAAATATATACAAAACTTTATAAAAAAGGTGAGATGACCAGCCAGTTGCTAACATTCCTACCCCCAGTGGAACGCTAAGTGTTGGTAGCAACTGGCTACTCACTTTTATTTTTTAACAACTCTCCAAGTGGCCACACCCCACGTGGGAGACTTGCGTCTGCGACGACCACCACATCACCTTCACATAAATTTTTACTTTTGTCATTTGTACCTCCTCTAGCTCTTAGCGTTGGTAGATACTCCCTCAGCCACCGTGCCCAAAAATGGTCCGCTAGTCGAAAAGTAAAAGTACGTCGCCAGTCACATCGCCGTACCAAGTCAGAGTCCGTTAGAAACGACGTCCAAGGGGCGACAGATGAGCTTCCGAGGATAAAGTGGAATGGCGTGATTGCTTGTAACGCTTCCGGTGACGGTGATACGTATGTGAGTGGTCTTGAATTGACTATGGCTTCAGCTTCGCATAACAGGGTTGTGAGAATTTCGTCTTTGGGACTCTGGTCTTTCAGACATGCATTCAATGCGATCTTTACTGAGCGAACCATACGTTCCCAAGCCCCTCCCATGAAAGGTGAAGCTGGTGGGATGAAGCGCCAGTGAATTTCTTTGTTGGTGATTAATTCTTGAATAGGTTCTCCAAATAAGGCTCGTAGTTCTCGATTGGCTCCGACAAAATTCGTGCCATTATCCATTATAGATGGGCATCCTCTTCGAGCAATGAATCGTCACAAGCTGAGCAAAGCTGAGTCAGTTGATAAGGATGGTACAAGTTCTAAATGCACGGCTCTTGAGACTAAGCATGTATATAGTGCTACCCACCTTTTTTCTTTGCGTCGGTGATTAGTCACAATCAATGGTCCGAAATAGTCAAGACCTATGTTTGTAAACGGTCTTTTGTGATGATCAAGGCGTTCCTGGGGCAAATCACCCAATTGTGGCTTTATCGGAGTACGTTTTCTTCTGCACTCAAAGCAATTATGAATCACGTTTCGGATAGAACTTCTGGCTCTCAAAATCGTGTATTTTAGTCTTAACTCGTTAAGTACCGTTTCGTGAAACGCATGTGCGACTTGGATGTGGTAGTGAAGAATAAGAAGGCGAGTAGTATGATGACGGCCGTCCAGTATGATCGGCGAGATTATACTTTACCTCGGGTGCAGACTTGATACGGGAGTTCATTCTAATTAATCCTTCTACGTCGAGAATGGGTGCAAGTGCTGCGATCCGACTCTTCCTGGGTATGGGCTGGGACTCTTTTAAAAACTTTAGTTCTCTAGGAAAACTCTCTAGTTGTGCTTGTAGAAAGAGTACATTTTTTGCCTGTTGCATGTAAACTACCGAAAGAGAATCAGGTGGTGTGGTGGTAAAATGGTGTAATTTGGAATTTGGAGTGATTACAAAATATACACACCTTGTAAAAAACGAGCTGTACTTTGAACTAATCGAATCCATTTACTGAATCGCGATACGTTTAGAACATCTATAGTGGTAATAATAGGGTCGTCCAAGTCGAGCGTCAGTAAGTTAGTATTTTCATCTTGTGTCGCTTCCATTAATTCAGGTTCTTTAGGCCAATATGTGGGCGGCTTTAATAAAAAGGTAGGACCTGTGAACCATCTATGGGCTAAATTCATGTTTAATGATTTTATTTTAGTAGCATCATCGGCGATATTTAAATTAGTTGGTACCCTCCGCCATTGTGATGGTTCACCACCACCACCACCACCAGCCCTTTTACGTCCCCACTGCAGGGGCTCAGGCCTTCCTTATGGATGGTTAAGGAGGACGTTCCATGGCCCTCCACGCTGGCCCAATGCGGATTGGAGGGTATTAACGACTGCAAATGCAGCCGGGACCAACGGCTTAACGTGCCTTCCGAAGCACGGAGTAGTTCGAGATAATAATTTTTTTGATCACCCATCCCATGACCGACTCTTGCGAAAGTTGCTTAACGACTACGATCGCAGGCCACGGCGCTTATCCACTACGCCACCGAGCTACTCGGATGGTTCACTTGTCTCTAAAATCTCACCTAACCTATGCGCCTCAAAAGCTCCGAATTTCCTAGCATCACTTCGGAGCCACTTTAGAACTGTGGTAGAGTCTACCCAAAAGAAAGTTTTCGTAGTTGGTTTTAAGCGATGAGCATTTAAGATAGATTGAGAGAAACGTGTTGCGATTAAGGCTGCTTGTAATTCAAGGCGAGGAATCGATATAGGCTTTAATGGGGCAACCCGAGCTTTACCGCCTATCAATGCTACAGAACTATCATTATAAATGAATTGCCAATATGCTACACAGGCATAAGCTTGTTCTCCTCCATCTGCAAAAATGTGGAGTTGGATGTCTTGAGGATTCTGAACTCCTAAATAACAGCGCGGTATCTTCAAAAGACTAATATTTTCTAGTTCATGAAACCACGAATTAAATTCAGAAAAATAACTAGAAGGAATTTGTGTGTCCCAATCAACACCTTCTCCCATAATTTTTGAAGAAGTATACGTCCTTGGATAGTTATAGGGGTAATCAAACCTAAAGGATCGTATACCTTCATGACACTAGATAATATCGTACGTTTTGTTAATTTATCATTGGCAATACGAGAGATAACACGAAAACTTAATAAATCTTTCTGAGGACTCCATTTTAGCCCTAATACGCCGACTTCCTTAATAGGAATGATATCGATTTCAGAATTTGAATCGTTAATCAAATTCTTTGGGACTAATGATAGGGCTTCTGGTACATTAGAAACCCAAGCTCGCATCTCAAAACCACAAGCATTGTGCACAGTCACTATATCTGTAGCAACCTGCCGGGCTACATTGATGACAAAATGGCTGCTTAAATAGTCATCCATATAATGATCATTTAATATAGCCTGACATGCTTTTGGATACTGTGATTCGCATTCTTTTGCGTTCTTATCTTTTAAGAATAATGCCATAAATGGGCTAGACACGGCACCGAATATCATTGATGACATTCTAAATTCTTTAATTTCGGCATTAATATTCTTTCCTGGATTTGATACTGGACTACGACGCAATGATTCATTAATTTCTAGATTCAGATCGGCAGCGATTACGGCACACACAACGTATTTTTCAAATTTCCGCAATGTAAAAGTACTGTCCAAGCCTCGATTTTGAATTTTTGGACAAGAAACTCGAAGTTAAAAACAACGTTATTTTTGTCATGTGTGTAAAGTTTTTCTCATTTCTTTTTTTCATGTCAATACGTATTATACATACACAGTAGAAAAATATATACATGGGGTCCAAAGAAAAATATTGAGTATCGCTGCTCCTATTTATGTGTGATACACATAAGCATTTTTAAAGAAGTGATCAGTTATGTAATGTTGATGCCATACCAAGTGGATGTTTTTCTACATAACACAATAAACAAAATTAAATTACCTGTCGCCAATATCATTCAATAAAGCTGGACGCATTTCGTTGTCGTTCTCACACAATGTCGCCTCGCTCTGTCTACGTTTACTGCTTTTTTTCGACCTGTTGCCCATCTCTGCTTTGTCTTTTTCCTCCGAAACTGTGATTTTTAAAAATTAATTATAGATCTCAAAAAGAGGTTTTTTGATGTGTAACTTTATCATAGAGTTGGAGATTTCTGAATTCGATAATTTTGTCTTATGCCAGCTGTTTAAAATTTTTGGTAGTGCTGCATATCTACTCTTTATGGAGTTTCACAATTATTTTGTTTCACGATGTGATAGAAATCTTTACTGTAGGCGATTTCTGTCTCTAAAGCCGAAATTTACTGAATGCGAATGGCACGAAACTAGTTTTAAGTATCGTAAATGTATTGACGAAAATAATGCAACTACTAGTTTCATGGAACTACTTACGGAATTTTAATTTTGTATTAATAGGTTAATGCTCATCAGGCAAGCCGAGTAGGGTCAAACTGATGCGTCTTTAATATACGGTGCATTTTCATATTAATTTATAGTTGTATTTAGCTCGAAACGGCACGCCCGATGAATAGATTAGGCTTTATACGATACTGTGTCTTTCTTTATGCAGCCTTGTTGTTAAGAGAGAGAATAGAACTCACCTGATATTTCACTTTTGTCGTGATAATTCCAGTTTCTATCGTCAGGCCTCTGGTCGGCGGGCCACAGCTGTTGCACTGAAGGATTCTGGTATATGGTCTCCGTGGATGTATTCCCGTTCTCTACATCAAAAGATCTTGTTTCTGGCTGTTGAAGTACCTATCATAACGAAATATTACCAGAACTATGATATTACGATGGTTATATCTTAAAAAAATGTAAAATCTATTGGTAAATTTTACGTAAGTAGCGGATCTTCTTTTTTTTATCAAAAACTCATCCCGATATTCAAATAACATATTATATTTTTTAATATTCATTCAAGTTTGGAAAAATTATCATCAATTTATAAGCAAGAAAGAACTATGTTTATAAGTTTTAAAGATCCCAATTGCAAAGGGTAAAAACAGGTCTCTATTACCGATTCTCCGCTGTCCGTCTGTCTGTCATGAGACTGTATCTCATAAACCGTGACCACAGAACACGGAAAAGCGACCTTGATTTTTGGTGCCGCTATAATAAAAAATACTAAAAACAAAATAAAATGAATACCATACGATATTTTTTCATTTTTTATAGAAAATGGTACATATCCTCCGCGCGCGAGTCCGACTTGCACTTGGTCGATTTTTGTCAATTTATTTCAGACTTATTTTTAAAATATGAATAAAGTTTATTACGCACTACAATAGGATTCATTTTTTAAATTACTTACTTGATAATGCGCTCTCGTTCCTAAGAAAAACACTGCTCCGGTACTCCCTGTAGTCATCTCTTATTCTGGAACAAAAACCATATTTATTTTATCTTACAAGATGAGTAAGATAAATTATGAAGGTGAAAGTTTGTAGGTTTGGATGTTTATTACCTCTTCAGGTAAAAACTTCTGTAGCTTAATAAATTTCATAAATGGTTTCTTATTCAGTGACAAAGTATTTTCATAGTGGTGAAAAAAATTTCAAAACGTGTCCAGTTTTAAATATAGCTCTTCCTCTACCCCCCCCCCCCCCAATACGTTCGTTAAGCCGGATTCATAATGTCACATTTTTTATACTTTTCTTTTATTTCATTCCATTCATTAGTTAAAAAAAACAGCCTTAATCGTAAATAAGTGTTATTTTTTAATTGTAAATAGGTATTATGTAAAATGACGATTTTGGCGCCCAGGGCAAGTGGACCCCCACATCCCTAGATCCGGGCCTGGCTAAAACCAGTAAAATTTTTGGAAATGATAAAAGTTTGAGAACATCTGTAAAAACTACAGCTTTTTGATTATAATAAAAATATGGTACTTAAAATACTTTATAAGTATATAATGTGCAAGTATATTTAATATTTGATTTCAATCATGAAGCCTTCTCAGTTTCTTTTATAATATATAAATTTATTTACAAAAATATACCTATTAATAGTTTCCGTTTTATACAGTTAAACAGTAGTAGGTTGACTAATGATATGTGGGACAGATTCCATTTTTATATTTTGAATCATGAAAATTACTCCATAAATTTATGAAATATGATATTCATTTTTAATAATAGCACCTTTTTACGAATTTGACGCAATAATTTTTAACAATTTCATTTAAATGCATTCATAGTTAAAATAATTGATTAATTTATTATAGTTACATAAACGATAAAATTGAACAAATTCATATAAGTACTTACATGTATACAAAATAATCACTTGAGAATTAATTACCGACATTAATTCTATATTTGAAAATAAATGTAATATTTTGTTTGTTCGTTGCTTGACTAATTCAGGAACTTGACATGCGTGACGTTGTATTGACTTGCGCAGTACCTAAGAAGTGGAAAAGAGGGTTCTCAGTTGCAAATTTTCTACTAAAACTACCCCTTGAAGTATCATGAATTATTAATAAAATATTACAAATTACATAATAAATTATTATGTAAAGGCACATATAATTTCTACTTAAGCAAAACTTTTTGGGGGCATTAGGAAGGATATTTGTTAAGATAACATTTTATCAATAAGTTAATGTAAACATTAAAATAAATTTACTTTAACAGGTACTAAAATAATTAAATAAACTATAAGTCAATGTTTATAATATCTATTTCATTTTACTTAACTTTTTTGTTACTGCATAGATAGTTTGGTCACCCACCAAATAGCATGTAATTTCTCGCAGGAATTTTAAGTTGTAGAGTTGGGAGCTCAACATTATTCAGTAATATCAATAGATGTCGTTTCATCCGTGTATCGGTATAATTCTGTATTTTTTTATTTTAACTAATTCTATATTAAAAGTTCAATTTTACTAACACTTAACATCTATACTTATTTTAATTATCGATATAAGATAAGAATATATAAGATGACAAGAATAATATAAGATTTGGATACGGATTAACTCTATATTACTTTAATTTACCTGCTGCTAATTTTCATGTCTACCCCGCAAAGGATAAGGCGTGAAATTATAGATAGAAAATATTCATTGTTCAGATAAATTGGTACTTATATTTGTGTAGACTTTTGTTAGTTCAATATTTGAAAAAATGTGGCTTAAAAAATTATATTGGTTAAAAAATAAAAAAGGAGTCAAATAACCCACGTCGGTACTGTATTGCAGTCTAGCTCATTGTCAAGTTCAAGCATTCGTCATTCTACAGTGTCGCGGGTATCCAAATACAGTCTAGCAATTTCTTCTAGTCGACAGAATGGCAAATGTTGAAGTTCTTATTGCGACATGTGAAGGTCTAAATTTGGATGTGCGGTGCAATGTAAGTTGTGCGGCTGCACAGTGCCGTTTAACCGCGTGGAAGACGGACTCCCCGACAATGCAGCTAGACAGATCCCTTATGTATTAAGCACTGAAGAAAACTCTGGTAGCGCGATTAAGGAATGCAGTTTAATATAAGAAACAGAGACGAAGTTGCTTTCACTTTCAGTAACTCTGTATATAAATTGCTAATGATTTAGAGCGTATTCAGGAACTAAAATGTCATCTTCGATGACATAAAGTAGGGTAAGCAGAGAGTGTGCGACGAGGTATGATGATACATTACATAATTGATTCGATTTATTAAAATGGCGATGAAATGCATATGCATCTATAGTTTCCATAAAATTCACTTCAATGCCATTTTATCCCTTCTTTATAATTTATCCTAAAAACAATATTCTTTTTACTAACTAAACGTTTAAAAATCTCAAACTCTTGGTAGAGTCATGCAATCACACAATAAGTTGGATTTTCCAGGTGAGAGGACTTAGATGCACGTACTATGGTGCATTTTGAATCAAAATGATGCTCTATCCTGTATATAAGTGTTTGGGTAGCGAATGCTCCGTTAAAAATACTGAAAAATTAACTTGATTTTTTTAAACTTTAAAACAGAAAAAATATCTGACCCTATAATGCACTATAATTATTGAGTTATTTCTATAATATTAATGTAACCTGCATATAAAGATAAGTAATAATAAATACCACCACCTATGTCAAACTTGCGCAGCTGATTTTGAACTCTACCCTTAATATATTAAGATTTAAATAAAATGGAAATATTTTACAGTTTTGTATAACCTGACGGTGTAACCTGTTATGGTGAAAAACGCTTGTTAATTAGTTTGTGGTAGCTGGAAGCAAGTGTTGATAATATTCTCTCACAAACCGATAATATTTTCTATAAAAACACTATTGATTTTTATTAAAAGGGCAGGCCTCTTAAGAAAAATCAATAATGTTTTTAATGACTTTTTTTTAGGAAAAAGGGAAATTCTTTAAGTGCACCAATGAATCTAGTTAGTTTACACGTCGACTAAAATGTGCAATAAGCTGCAACGAAAGATCTGTGCTAACTTACTCTATATTACGAGCTAGTGAGAGGGGTAAAATCAATGAATGGTTTCATTCAATGAATGCTCTTAAGGTACAGCTCGATCTTTTTTCAAGTTTAAATAAAACTGATATAATATCAGAATAATTTAAGATATTCAAATAACACCAATGATTTGCTATCAAGATCAAGACCAAATTCAAATGGGTAAACTTAGTATCTCGGTGCAAAACATGTAGAGTTTGATTACATTCAATGTCTGCATTGAATCTTTGTCGAATTAGTATCGTAAACAATCAATTTTATGACAGTATCTAATGGTTTTGTCGGGTTTTCAAGTATGTTATAATATAAATTAAGATTATACGTAATAGCGTATATTAGTTTATATTTGCTGAAGTTTATCTAGGGATAACGTATTATTGCAGTATTTAAACCTAGAATTAATGATCATTATTGGTGTAAGGAAGTATGTTACACTAATTTAATCATATAACTACAAGTAGGATAACGCAACAATTAATCTCTAATAAAGTTTATAAAGTTCTCTATATATCTGATAGTGACTGGTTTTCAAAAATGTCTAAAGTGATTTAAGTATTACTTCTACCGGTATTCACTTTTATGTATGAGCTATGTAAAGGCAAGGAGCATTAAAATTGTTTTCAAATAGATATAGCGTACTAGTTGGGTCTTTTGTGATTGTCTATTCTACATATTTTTTAAGAATAACAATAATTTTAACAATATTTAGATCCATAATGGTAAGTGTCGCCTTTATGATGCTAAATAGAACGTATCGACTGTAGCATTTTCGATGACTAAGATATAACACACTATTATAATAATGCGATCAAATCGCGTAAGTAAGTTACCTAATTCCTTCGTTGATTGAGAGATAGGTAAAATGTTTTTTTCATAATGTAAAAAAAGTGTTATTAATTTATAAATAAATTTGTAGGCATCTCTACATTTTAACTTTTGTTTGATAGAATTTTGGATATGTAAAACTTTTTATATAATAGAGATAAGTATTCAAGGATTTAAGGGAAAGCGAAATAAAATTCTATGAGAATTAACCGACTGACTGAATAAGTTGCTAGGTGTTTGACAAGCAAATATATTGGGCGTAATTACCATTTTCAACTTACTAACTGTTAGTGGTATATTCATGGAGGATTAAATCGGTAAATAATATTGAGTCAGCGTTTGACAGTGAAATTGTAGGGAAAGTTTTTTGCGATCAATAACCGCGATCTCGTTCATTGACTGTACGTAGAGCGCATGTCGTCGTGACTGGAAGTCGATTCACTTGCGGTATATTGAGGAAGACTTTAAACAATAAATAACAAGTTACATTTTACGCAAGTTTTATATTCCTTAAAGATATTATTATTTTGTGTAAATATACCAGTACTTTAATGAAATTCTATAGGTATTTTTATTATTTCTAATACTTGTATAATCCCATTTACCGGCTTAAATGCGGTCCTGAGGTCTCAGGTTTAATTCCCTGTCGCATCAATGTGAAAATTAACTTTTCTATATTATAACAAGTTTGGATATTTTGGTATCTTCGTTGTTTCAAATTACCATAGTACAAGTGTTTTAGCTATTCATTTAGGAATATAGCCATGTATGTGGTGTTAATATAATTGTAAATATATTTTCTGCGAATCGCTAACTGTTTTTAAATTATTTATTTTTGCATTAATGATATTTATTTAATGTATAACAGTTTTTAAAGTTTCTAATCAAAATGTGTTGTAGGCAATTATATTGATTAATCACAGTAATTATACTTATGTGACATGCATTTACCGTTCTAATAAAGATTACTCATCTTTGCATAATGCCCCCGCTCCCATTATACTACTTATTGCTTCTTGCTGCACGCGATTCTACGTCAGTTAAACAACCAATCCGAAACGTTAACCTGAATCTCGCTCACAGAGATTTTTCATTTGGATGCATAAATACAAATGTTGGAATAGGACTTTTGGGGAGTCCCATGCTACAAGGGTAACCGGTCGTGGCGGGGGGCCGGTTTAAGCCTCCGCCATCTGAATATGTCGTCTTTAAGTCGTCATGTATGGGTTTATAATACGAAGCTGTAATAAAAATGTCAATCATGCTGTAAACTGAATACGAGAATTTCTTCTCACACACACCTATGTAGCGACTTTGACTTCCTTTTTTATTCTTATTAATTGTGTTTAGAAAATAATTCTAGATTTATGAAAAACTTGTTTCTATTATAACATTTTTTTTTCATTAGTAATAAATTTTGTTAGTTGTGAATCATTGTACTTTTAATTTTCATATTATTGGATTATATTCTTGTTTACTGTTAACTGGAATTATTAATTAGACTTAATTATTAAATTTCTATTTAATTGGCATTGTAGTTTGTTTTTATTTTCCAAAAATACATTTTAAGTTTACCACTGACGTAAAGTATTGATCATTATTCAAACTTCTTAGAATGAAAAACAAATCGTTAGTCAAACAGTTGTTTGTCAAGGAGTTATTTGAATTATAAAAACTCTACATTTTGTTAAATTCGTACGTAATTAATGAAATTATGTTTTTATACCCTATTTTTCTCTAGAAATTGTTTTTTTGAACTGTACGTTACCTATCTATTTTTTATATACTGCCATCTATTAGAAATAAGCTGTATTTTGCTGTTTCATGTTTCACAAGTGAAACAAAACGGAATACGAAAGCGCTAAGACTGTGATTATTGGATGTGATGAAAGTTATAGGCTAACAAAAATTATAAAACTATTTATGGACGATGTAAGATTTAGTTCTCGTCGTAATTAATTTGTATTCGGTAGGTTATTTAAAGTAGGTCATTAGGTCAATACTAGCCATCTCATGATAACAACAAAGATCAAAGGTTAACCTGAGGTACAACTTTGAATGGAAGGGGGATATGACTCTTTTAAAATACTGATTAATTGGTTAATAAACTAAATAAGTATTAATATTGTAGTATTCACAAAAAATATTATTAGGTCCAGTATTTTATACTGAAACAATATACGCAATGATGTAGAGAACAAATTAAAAATATTCCCGTATCACTTAATTCGGTACAGTAACATAAGGTGTATGTATGAAAATGTAAAGCCAAGTACTCTTGGTATATGTCTATGCAAATGCTATAGAAATTATTTTTTTGTAATAATTTCATAAAAATGAAATATGCATTATTTTACTGATATCGTAAGGTAGATTAAATAACATTATATGCACTTCAAATGACACTTTTGGAAATTATAATATCGTATTTATTTTTATTTTTATTAAAAATGTAAATTAAGAAAAAGGAATTCTATAATTATAAAATATATTTAATTTCGGTATGCAAAAAGGAAGTCAAATCAGCTACTAACCGTGTGGATGAGACGAGTCTCTCTTTATCATTTTCTTGACGTATTTGACATATTTTACCATATATGATTGCTTAACGCTTCAACATATCTGATGGCGAGGAATTAGACCGGATCCTCGCCAGCACCGGCCCACGTAGTAGCTACGGACTCCCCGATGGTTTCATTGAAAAGTTTCTATATATACTGAGTAAACACAAAACTTTGCTTGCGCGATTCAGGCTTTTTATCTTTACTAATTTTTATCTCAACAAAACGACGGTTTTTGTATAAGACATTCTGCAGAAACAAAAATATATAATATATAAATTTGCTTTAGTGTATCTATAATATAATAGTTCTAAGGGAATTCATTTAATTATTGATATTAGTTTGGTTAAATTTCAAATGTTTGTAGTAATAAGAGCGAAAGAGACATACTTGTCTGTACCTACGTCATATCAAATCCAGCCACGTAGAAATGACTCTACATCAGCTCTACATTCAGATACTATACCATCTTTACACGGTTGCGTAGCATATCGATTGATAACGCGTGTCGAGTCTAGTGATGAGTGATACGGGAATATTTTTAAGAAAGTTATTCTATAGATTTAAAATACTATAAAAAAAAATACTTTGAATCGGTGAAATAATATTATATTTATTATTCAAATAAAAAATTAAAAACGAAGAAAATGAACAGAATTATATAAGTGGTAAAGAAAATTGCTGTTGGCAACATTATTTAGTTTTCTCCTTGGGTCTTCGTATAATATTGTAATCTTTGGGGTCTTTGTATCAAAATCATATAGTTTACATGGCGAGTTGTGAACGTGTGAATAAAATTTAAACTAGCCGTATTATCGATGATTTCGCAAATAAAGGCTGCTTGAGTTTATAAAAATTATTTGAGATTGTTGCCAACACATTTATGTGCTTATTGTTGCAATAAACATAAAATCTACAAATAAAATAGAAACACCAAATCGGTTAGTGTTGCAAGAAAAATGATATTTTTGTTTCCGTCTTTGACGTTTTAGTATGTTTTTCGTTGAATTTTTTAAGTACAAAAGTTCCCCGTATAAAACATTTTATTTTCGTTTATTATTAAACCCAGATTAGTGTGTGCGATCGACAAACAATGGATTTAAATTTATGTTGTCATCATAACCTCTTAAATAAAATCAAGTAGGTTTATGTTCGTAAATTGTTTAAGAAAAGGAACTGAATTCTAAATATAATGGTGTAAAACTGATTTGTAATAATTGTTTCACATGTTGTTTATAAACAAAAAGTAGAATGTTGTTTCAAAATGTCTTAATTATATGTGTGCGAACTTAGATCAGTTTATTATTATCTAATAAATGAAGAAACATTAAAAAAGGTTCTTGTCACAGCCATTTGATATTTATTTATATAAATAAATCATAATTTGTAGAATACACATACAATGACTGATCATAAAGAGGTGCCGGTGGTAGAAACACAGCTGATGTCTGAATATAAAGATGGTGAGATATGTTATCTTTAATATGATTTCATTGACAACACTCTCATATACTGTTCTATTTCGAAAGTGACAATTAGTTTCCATATAAATGATTGTTGTTACTCATTTTCAAAAATTTTATGATGAATTTTCTATAGAGATATTTATATTTGTATCATAAATAATTTGTAAATATGCTTTTCTACAATTTTCAGGTCAACTACAAATAGTAGAAGTAAGGCCATTTGAAAAAGATGTGGTAAGTAACATGTGTATGAATGTAGTGTTTAGTGAATATGCAACCTATTTTCAATAGCTCAACTGCACTTTTCACACAATTCTGCCAATTTCACAATATGTTTTGAAAAAATATTTTCAATATAAAACCTATTTAACTAATGCTATAGGTATATGGCACTTGAAAATTTTGTCAAATTAAATAAACCATCAAACTAAGCCAATTCTAAATATGTGAAAACATAATATTGACAGAAGAATTGTTTTCCTAATCACCTTTTCAGTTTAACTGACTTTAGGGACGATGATAATTTGTAACCAGTGTGTTAGAAATACAAATGAGAAATTATATTTTTTACAGATGTTGGAGAGTGAAGTTGTTAATTCAATGTCTGGCCTGGAGACTGACAGTGAGACAAAATACATACAGTTGGTTAATACTGGAGACAAGTCTATGATGCAACTGGATCTGCTGAACCTGACTTTAATCAAGTATGTAATTGTAATAACCATATTGTTTTCTAGTAGTAATTAAACAAATCTTGTTTTTTAGACAAAAAAAAAATAAAACAATATTCTGATAGAAAATACTTTATCATGCATGTCTATATTAATTCATATCACAAGAGAAACATAGAGTTTAATATTGATAATATTTAGTAGTAGAGCAAAAAATATTAGCTTATACATAATTATTTTTTAATCCATATTTACGATAGATTAAATTTTTTTCTTAAAATAAAAAATTTAATAAAACAATGATAAGATGAGATTAAATATTTCTTTTATTATTACTTTGATGGTGAAAATGCATATGAATATGATGACATTTTTACATATTAAAGAAAAATAGAATGATGATTGTTCTTATAATTGGTGTTGCTAGATGTGCAGATGGTACAGAGTCATATAGACTGGTGGCAAATGGTGAGGGTGTAAATGATGGAGAGACCACTGTCACCTGTGTGTTGGCATCCAGCGATAATGAGGGTAATGATGGTAAGATGAGATTCAATATTTCTTTTATTATTAAACAAGTTCGTAAAATCAGGATTTTATTGTAGAAATCAGTAATTTTAAAAGAAAGTCACAGTTTCCAGTGTTTTCCTCACTTTTCCAATTTTCCATATTCTAATGCATTTTTGTTGTTTAAGTGCCCAATGATGATATCTAAATGCCATTTTCGTGCTCTATATTTGTTGATTATCTATGATTGTAATAAATATAGAGTATCAAACCAGCCTTTAAATTTTAAATAATGATGCTCTAATATTTTTTTTAATTGTACTTTATAAAAAGACAGATAACATTTTTTTAATTTTAGGTTTATTGATGATAAAAGGCGGCATTGGTTGGCTATGGATGGAGGATGGTGGATGCCAATAACTAAAAAATTATAGTATTTTTGAACATATAAGATTTATTTGCAATTTGAAAATTTTGGCTAATTAATTCTCATTTGAATATTGTCCAGATTCGGAAGGTCAAGAGTCGTACATGGTGATGAACAATGAACAGAACACAGTGATGTATCTCCAGTCTGAACTGCCGACTGGTGCTGCGCCCTTGATAGGAACAGAACCCGGTACGGTGATGACTTTAGTGGACACCTCTAAACCTGTCAACACATCACCAGTTGCCACTACTACTGATGCCAGTAAACAGGTATGTTAGTGTAAATAGTGACCTAATTTTATTTGTACTATAACTAGCTGCTGTCCTGCGACTCATATACACTCTCAGGCATAATTAACCGCCCACCTGTATCATTATTGAATCAACAATAATGATACAGACCCATCAGTTTGCCATTACCTTAATGAGGTTAGAATTCAAGTTTTACCATGGCCCGCACGCAGTCCCGATCTTAAACCAATAGAACACATTTGTGACAACCTTAAAAGACATGTCCAAGCACAAGTACCAGTCCCTACGACTATAGGAGAACTAGAAACGGCTGCAGTAGAGGAGTGGCACAAACGGGATCAATTTTACCAGATTTTTTATTCTCTGTTAGTTGTTCTATCAATGGTATAACTGTTATATCATAACACCATGATCATCTGGAAATCCTTTGAAGTCTTGGCAGAAGATCGGTATTTTTTTGGGTTGTCCCAACTTTGTAGATGATGTGGTGGGTTCAGAGTAACTAAGAGATATCTTTGCAAAAAAAAACAATTTAAATTATTGCATCATCATCCCCTTTACATCCCCACTCCAAGGGGAGGCCTTCGCTATTGATGGACTCACGCATGAAAGGTTCCGTACCGGAAATGAGCAAATAAGCATGTTTGTTGTATTGGAGCTCCCCTTAAAGATTTTGTTCTTAAAGTTACCATATAAATACATATTCTGTAAATATTTCAAGCAATTACACATTGTCGTTATTAATATCGAGCAAAAACAACTAAAAAAATCACAATTGTTGTATAGGAGCTCACTTAAATATTTATTTTATTTTAGTTTTTAGTATTTGTTTTTGAAGTGGCAACAGAAATACATCATCTTTGGAAAACTAAACTATCGTAACTTTCACGGTTTATAAGATACAGCCAGGTGACAGACAGGCAGTGAAGTCTAAGTAATAAGGGATTGTGCAATATGTATTAAAAATGTGTGTTTTTGCTATTGTACTGTTTGTTTGGATGCAGGTACCAAAGTTGACACCAGTAGAAATATTGGAGAGAGCGAAAGCCCTGCAGAAGGCAAAGTAAGTTTTTTTATGTAAGAGTAAGAGACCTTGATACACGAGTGGTTCGCATGCCGGTTTCAAGGTGTCGCTATCAGAGGTCCCCGATTGGATTCCCGGTCGGTTCAATGTAAAAAATACTCTCGGGTCTGAGTGTTGTGTTACCTAAGTTGTCTCAGATACTACATAATACAGGGGCTTCAGGTACTCGCCTTGGAACCTGACAAACATATGTGATGTAGTCTAATATTAATTTATTTAAAAAAAAATATATGAATGCTTTTAATTTCTAGTGGTAGAAATTCACCCATAAACAAAATCTATTAGCAATAACTAAATAAAAAGTTATTATTCTCTTTGGTGTTGTTGTTTAGTTTTGAAATTTATTATGATATTCTACTCCGTCTGTTTGAAATATTACTTGTAAATGTTTATTTTATTTTAAATAAGCCATAAAAAATATTTTGGTTAATTAAACACGTTTTCGTGCTCTAAAACTAAATCAAATTTAAATATTGAACTGCGAAAACGACTTCGATACAAAATAAAAAGGTGTACATAAGGTAAGAACAGCGATTGAGTTAGCTGTTTGCGTGTAAACTGACATATATCACGTCACAACAAAGCGGGTGTCACGTGATATACGGAAAAAAACTCCACTTTTAATTTTCACTTAAGATAATCGTGCGATTTTATTACTCAAAATTAGAATATACACGTTCATTTCAATGAAACTTTTTGTTTTTGTCGAATTTTACCTCCTTACTCTGTAGTCGTGATTTTATCCATAGGATACGACATGTTGTTTCATGGTACTGTTTTGACATGTCGTTTGGTGGATAAATTTATAAGTCGGTAACACGCTATCAAATCTATAATCATCATTCTTTGTCGTTCGTTTGTCGTTACTAAAGTCAAAGTAGTAAAATTAAGCGAAATTTAGCAATAACATCGATAGGATCTTGTGTCCTATCGCTAGAATCATGGCTAGAGTTAGATGGACGCACCCCTGGCTTTGTTAAACCAACATCATTCTTTCACATCACTAATGTATATTTATGAGGAAGTATTTAAAAAAAAATTAGTTCCCGAAATCAAACTAGATTCGCTATGATACGTTCTTGATTTCTCCAAGACAACCCTTACGGTTTTCGTTCATATTTAAAAGTAAATTAGTTTCAAAACTCAATAAACAACTCATATTCTATTTATACTTTTTCGTTTTTGTATTGACATCTAAGATTCGGACTTTTTAAATTTCGGTTTTTTAATATACAGGGAGCAACAAAATGACCGACACAGCCGAAAGTTTCAAGTTAGGTTAATGCAAACGTTCATTTTATTTGACAAATATTTCAAAATAGAGGAGGTGTAAAAATGGAGTAAAAATTTATAATTTCTAAGTGTTGAGAGCCCTATAACGCGCATGCGCAATATCGATTGTGCGCACATAACAACAGACCGCGAAATACATTAATTTAATGTAATTATTTACCGATATCTTAATGATAGTAGATGCTGAAAATGTCCAATTCTTCTCTGAAGACAGCTAAGCACGCTCTTTTGCATGCCAGTGCATGCACGTGCAAAACACATCAGATTTCACACAAAATTAAACACAATCTTCACTAAACTAAACTTAACACTCAAGACGAACATTGTAGTATCTTATTAACAAAAATTTAATTAAAAATGCACTATATCAAATCAAAAATCGACAAAAAGTCGCTTCGCAGCGTTATGGTGACAGCGATACAGTAACGTGCCTCACGCGCAAATGTTCGGCGGTGACTGAAACAAAGGCGCCGACGCCGACAGAACAAAAAAAGTCGCGCTCACGATGAGTGAATGAGTGGATGGAGCTCGGTTCGCTTTGCCTTTGCTAACAAGGGACGAATTCAGTTTATCTATTTTTCGAATTCGTATTTTGTCACCACGCCATTGTTTTTGAATTTTCTTTTTAAATACATTTTAAATAAGTAACCAAACCCTTACTTAGACTTTTAACAAAAAGTACGTTTGTGATAATGGTTCATTATTATCACAAATGTACTTTATGTTAATGGATGATGTATTAGTTTAACTACTTTAATAAATGATCGTGTTATTTGATCCATTTAGTTACAATTTTTTGGAAACTCTGACTATTTGAAATAATGTAGTAACGTAATGTAAATTAGTTAACATTAGAATAATCTTTTTACAATGATTTATTAAATGTTAGTCTATTAATTAACTTCAGCATTTTGACTGATTCGTTTAGTGATAGTCAGTTTAAAATTGTTAAAAAACAGTTAACTAACATTACTTAGTTTTCTTTTGCGATTAGTTTTTTGATGATCAGTTGATAGCAGTTTGATAAAACAAGGACTATTTGACTTCTGAAATTAAAAAAACGTAGGTTATTGAGAATAAGCAGTAGAGATTTTCTACTTTTTTCAAATCAGAAACGGCTGTTAGTCTGTTAATCGATTTAAGCATTTGACTGTCTTGTTTAGTGATTGTCTGATAAAATTTGCATGAAACTGGTCTTATAAATCATAAACTAGTTTATTTCGTGTTTAGAAATGAAGAAGTCAATGACCGATTAAAAATTTGTTCTTTAGTACGTCCCAAAAACAGCTGACTCAGGGTTGGAAACACTCATTTTTTTTTCGAAAAATTTGTAATTGAATATCTACGAAACTGTTTGTCCTAGACATTTAATTTTTTTTTACATCATATTAAAGACAAATAGTACTCTCCAGGAACCTCGGGAGTGTCGGTCGTTCTGTTCCACCCAGTATTAGTTAAAAGAAACGGAAATGACTGTCTTTAGTCCATTCGTTTCCTGCAAAAATCAACTTTTGCTAGAGTCGCCATCTAGTGGAGGTGCTTTTTTAATGCTTTCGTTTTTTTTTTGAATACTTCCTCATTGTAATTTCTCCCTCATATTAATCGATTTGTTTGTTACAGGGCGTTGTTAGGTAAATCTGGTTCATACGTCCGTCGCAAGCGGAAGTCTGACCTGCCACCGCCACACGAACTGTTGTCGGCGCCTAATTTCAAACTGTTCCTGTATTCATGCAAATCCTGCAACTTCAAATGTAACGCCATCAAGGAAATGACCGCACATAAGGTTAGTGCTGGAGTAAAAAAACCAGTTTCTAGGGAAGTAGTATAATTTCATCTAAAAGCTCAAGATTTTTTTAAAATTTATATCATGTTCGTACGTCATACAATGACAACTATTTATTTATTTTTGTCTATTACAAATAATTCTACGAGGTTATAAATTCCTATATAAGGTGTAATATTTTATATGTCAGGACTTCGTGGGGTGGATTAGTTAAGTATACTGAACAAGTATTACAATGGGAGTAACACTGAATTCATGAAAAAATAATGTTTATACGCCCCTAATATTTATTGTCATAACGTTGTCCAAAGGATTAAATATTGTCAATGTAAAAATGTAAAGGATTGATTGTCAATGTAATTTTTGTAAATTTTAATGGGGTTTGAGAATCTTCAAAAAATCAAAAATATTGATTAATTCTAATTATAAACGGTACATACCTATAGTGGTCATTGGTCCATCCTAGTAGACATACTAAGATGCCTGTATCAGGAGGACCCTCTCTTCTGTAACATGTATAAGTTTAAACACCGTTAATTTACAAATCAAGTATTTCATGCATCATAAGAGAAAGAAAAACAAAATTAAAAAAATAAATCTTAACAGTTTAAGATTTGTTTTTTGAATATGGTTTTTCTTTCTTTTTTTTTTTATTTTTAATATGTCCAAAGAAATCCAAACAAACTTTAAAACTAAATGAAATAGACATGATCTAGTTATTTGGCCCTTTTAATGACCAAATTTTATGAAATAACTCATTTATACTAGAACATTTTTTTTAGCTCTCCTAAAAAGGCGTGTTTTAGTTTTTAATTCAATTTAACCCAAAGGTGTCAATGTGTAAACCAGCCTTTCGGTGCATTATTGGTAGCATTATTGTTGTCAGCTGGCCGAGCACAGCGGCGGCGCGGGCGGGGGTGGGGGCGGAGCGGGGGCCGCCGGGAGGGGGGCGCGGCGCGGCACCGACAGGATCACGCTGCAGTGCGCGCGCTGCCCTTACAAGGGCAACACGCATATGCAGGTGACTATATATACATACACATATATTATTTAAATTATGCGCTTCGGCTATATTCGTCAAGCTTCGGCAATTCTAATGTATTTTAAAGATATCTACATAGAGTTGTTATTGCATAATTAATAATTTCGCTTAAATTTAGATTAGGTCAGCCAATTTAAAAATAAAAGTATACTGTGTTTCTTGAACTTATTAAAATATCCATTTTCAGACGTTTTTAAAACATTAGCTTCTGTTAAAAGTACAGGTACACGTTGTATATTATTTCACGGGACTGACAGCTTACAGGGTTTCCTTTTTTTAAATTGGTATCCATTCCACAATACCTTGAAAATTATGTAGGAATAAATTAAGTACCTATATTCAAATAAGGTAATTTGGCGTAATCAGCTCTATACAATTCTTAATACTGAAATATTGCGTGCTGTCACTTCCATCACAGTCGAGGTACTGACGAGTTTTGGCGGCTAACTGCCGGTTTCAATAACTTACTATATCCGTAACTGGAGATTTAAAGTATACCTGTCTTTGTTGTTTACAATGTAAAAGACAGTGACAGATATACTGTCAAATCTCCAGTTACGGATATAGTAAGTTATTGAAACCGACCGTAAAACGACGACCACACATTGGTTTCTTGATCGGTTAAATTCGTAAACACGAAATATACCGAGGCGCATAATTTAAATATATAGTTGCCCTTGTACACATATGTCACGTACAAAGATCGAAATCGCTTATTGAACGAAAAAATAGTTCAAGACGCGTGAGGAATTGCAGAATAACCACGTAGCAAGATTCGTGTTATGGCTCTTATGGAGGCGCACATGACGCATTGTGGCAAATGCAGAATAACCACGTAGCGAAATCTGTGTCGTGATTGACGTGCTATTTGTCCTCTCGTTGTGGCAAAAAGCACATATGCACAACTAGTTACCCGAACAAAATTAGTGCTTAATAAAATATGGCCTATGTTACTCTCTGGTGATGTAGGTTTTTGTTAATGAAAGAATTTTTATAATAGTTAGTAGTTTTTAGTTTGATTATTACAAACGAACAATTAAAAAATTAAATCTTTCTTCTTTATTTCTATACAGAACTCTTTATTTTTGAGATGGCACAATGAGTGCAAGTACCTTAACTATTATAGTTGCATTATAACGTTTAAGGCTCAGTCACGCTGGTCGATGAGCTCAACTTGCGTGAAAAATGAAAGATCAACTCAAAATACTCGTTTTTCCAAAGATTCTATCTCTTACTGTGATCCCGCACAATACACAGAAATATAAGATAAGAAAAATACCTTTAAGATCGAAGTTTTAAAATGTATATAAATTAAGATTCTTTTGTTTATTTCAGTTAATGAAACATGTACAAGATAAGCATATGGTTGAAGAACAAAACAGTAAGTATATTTAAGTATCTATGATTTAGAATGTCTGTATAAGCCATTTATCAATGTATTTAGTTATTATAAACACAAATATAATGCCCATAAATGTATTGATACTGTTTATAATGTATTGATCTGGTAATGACATGGTTTTTGTAAATGTCATTACTCATATTAGAGCTGGTGAGTTTCTTGCTCGTTCTTCTTATCAGCCAAAAGACGTCCTGAACGAGTGGTAGGGAAAAAATGTTGGACGATTCAAAAGTACTTTTAAGAAGTCTATTTGAATAAAGATTATTTTGACTTTGACTTTGACTAAAAAACGTATTTATGGTAGTAAAATGTTATGTGCATATTCTATGAGATATAATTCTCATTAAAAGATGTAGCTGTGCACTTAGTAAGTATATCGCGGTTTTTATGTATTGTTTAAAAAGTATATATCAAATGAGAGTTACTTTTAGTGTTTGTTTGGGTTGGACTTAAACACTATGGTCATCATATGATGCGGTTCATTTTGCCCTCAGTACCTCCTAGGACGCAACAACATCGGCTTGTTCAATATCCTTATTAATTTTAATATGTTTCTTTCTTAGGATAGACTTTTTTAATGGTCATATTTAAGTCAGTAAATATAGTTACTATATCACATTTCTTATCTCTTTTCTTCTTTGAGTATAATCTAAAAATTGTATTAAAGTGCTCTCAAGCCATACCGAACTCTCATTCTTAAATTTTTATAAGTATAAAAAATGACTTCAATATTTTTCACTTTTTTTAAGCTTTTTGAAGTGTTTTATTTAATTTTTATTTTATCTGTAAACATTTCTGAGTAATATCTTCAAAGTCACTGAACGACTTTTGATGAAATTTCTGTTTTCTTTTTATTTGAAACTAGCTTTCTTCTTAGGAAGCTAATTTCATATTAAAGACGAGAAATACGTGCAAAAACATACAGATACACACTCACGAAAATTGACGCACGTGGTTCAAAAAAATGTCAGATCGGTGGGACAGTCAGTCAGTTAGTTGGACAGTTAGATGGGTAAAGAGAATGGGCCATGACCCTTCACCGTGACCCAATGCGGATTGGAGGGTATTAACCACTGCAAATATAGCTGGGACCAACTGGGCTTAACGTGCTTTCCGAAACACGGACTTGCTCGAGATAACTTTTTTGGTCACCCATCTCTTGGCTGACCCTTGCGAAAGTTGCTTAAAAACAAGGATCACGGGCAATGCCGCTTATCCACTATGCTACCGAGCTACTTATGACCTCTATTCGACGGTTTCGGACGGTTAGTATCTAGATCAAATTTGTTTTTTGTTTGTTAGAAGTATATTTAAATACACAAGAGGTGGAAGCGGCGGACGTGTTGGTCTGTGGCGCGTGCGGGTTCGAGTCCGCGTCGAGGCTCGTGTTTAAGAAACACATAGAACAGGAACACGGTGCCACAGCCGTATGAAACAATTATAAGTAGGTATTTATTGAAAAAAAAAAACAAAAATCTTACGACCTCCTTGGCCGATTAATTCGTGGGTGGGGTTTCAAGATAAAGCCATCTCCGAGGCCCCGAGTTCGATGCACAGAGTCGATGTAGAAAAGAGATTTTCTATGTTGTTTCGGATCTGGGTGTTGTAGTACATCTAGGCTTTTTATTGATGCCTGGGAGGATTAAAATGACGCGTTAGGTGTTTTCTGTTACCTATCTAAGGCATTTAATTGTGTTTTTTTATGAAACATAAATAAGGAAACTTATTATTATCGATTTAGAGTAAAAATTTTGGATATAGACAATAAATTCCCACATTTTACTGGACAGAGTGTAGGTATTAATGCCAAAAGATCCCCTGGATCGAAAGTTAAGATGGGTGTTCCACAGGGCTCAATACTTGGTCCTTTCTTGTTTTTAATTTACATAAATTACTTGCCTTATTTCATCAGGGATAATCTATTTCGTCAATGATAATCGTGAAGGGATACCACTGAATGATGATGTGAACAATTCTATCGTTAAAGTAGTACATTGGTTTAATGTGAACAATGTTCTCCATAATGAAGAAAAAACAAAATGCCTAAAATTACTATTGCCTAATAAAAATATGGGCCTTGTGGATACCACAGTATTTTAAGGGATAATACTAGATTCTAAATTTAAGTGGGGCCCGCTCTACAGAATATACCGTAATGAAGATACGTAGGTTAACTGATAAAGATACTGCCAGATTAGAATACTACTTCAATTACTTTTAAAGTGTAATGTCGTACAGAATCTTGTGGGAAAATGCTGCAGACATACAAACGATGCTCCAGAAAAGAGCAATTAGATCAATTTATAATCTTAGGATTTGGGACTTTTTAAGGGAGAAATTTAAAGAAATAGAACTTTAATAGAACTTTATAAATAGAAATAGAACTACAGTCGTAAAAATATTAGTTTGTTTAATAAAAAAGTGATGTCATCATCATCATCAGCCCTTTTACGTCCCCACTGCAAGGGCTCAGGCCTTCCTTATGGATAGTCAAGGAGGATGGGCCATGACCCTCCACGCTGGCCCAATGCGGATTGGAGGGTATTAACGACAGCAAACGCAGCCGGGACCAACGGCTTAACGTGCCTTTCGAAGCACGGAGTAGCTCGAGATAATAATTTTTTGGTCACCCATCCCGTGACCGACTCTTGCGAAAGTTGCTTAGCGACAAAGATCGCGGGCTGCGGCGCTTATCCACTACGCCACCGAGCTAAATAGTGATGTACACAATTTTAATACTATAGAGCCTGATAAAATATTCAAATAAAATAGAAGGCTTATAATTTAACAATTGATTAAAAGATATGCTACATAATTTTATACCTCTTTTTTATTTCAGATACCTGATGGATCTTGATGCCAAGTTGTTGGGATTAAATGATTAGTATTCCGAGATAAATTACTGTGAAGTTGAGAACTATATTATGATTTGGAAAATATAATTTGTTTTCCTTATGGATTCATTTTTGTTATTTGTTCAGTTAAATTCTGTAAAGGAACAATTCTTAACAATTATGTTAAAACTTGTATAGTATACCGCAGCGTTTATAACCTATGGAATTGCGGACTACTTAGAATCGAAAGTCACGGTAAAGCTGCTGTAATATATAGTTCACGCCGCGTGACGCCACGTGCGGGTAGGTAATTAAATATATTTGTTTGATGCGCGAGATGCAGCTACTATAATCACCCTTTACTTCATATATGAAACCGGTCGGCGTAGGGCGGACCGGGCTAAATATAACCGCAGCTTTAATGTAAATAGGTTGGACCTGAGATTGGCGGAATATTAGGTATTTCTATGAAATAAAATTACATTTGAAATTATAAGATCGAATCAACTGTATACATAAATTTGGATATTCCTACAACACCATGAAATTTAATATCTATTTATGTTGATCAGCTCAATAAAAGTGAGAAAAACGTATAGTATAGCTTCAAATTTTAGGATGAATATTGTTACGATTCCATTTTCATTAGCAGGTCATAGCTTTGTTTTCTAAATTTGTTTGTCATACTGGCAATCATTGCAGAGATTATATCGAGGGAACTCTCTCCGTTTGAAGTTGGCATATAATTTTGTGTTAAACAAAAAAAACTACTTTATCAAAAATAATAAAAATAAATTGTACATTATTTTGTAAAATATTCAGTAATATAATAAATATGTAAATACTCTTACATGTAGGTAAACAGTATCACATTAGGTTACTACAAAATTTCAAGTTTTCACAATCGGTTTTTACATATTTGTTATCGTCGAATTAATTATTAAAATTGACTGTAATTGGCAATTTCATATAAAATCTTGTAGCGATAGAAATTTGGCATTAACTTACCTTTTTAATGTTACAGTGAAAGTCAGTTTTAAACTACCTGCAACTTATAACGTTTCGTATTGTTTCGTTTCTGTATAGGATATAGATCCAGGTAACCGAATATGGAATATTGAAATTCTATCTCAAGTTATTCTCAGTAGAGGAAGATGAGGAAGTATTAAAAAATAAAATGGAAGCACCAAAAAAGCACCTCCACTGGATGGCAACTCGAGCAAAAGTTGATTTTTGCAGGAAACGAATGGACTAGAGATAGTAATTCCTGTTCCTTTTAACTAACATTAAAAAACTGAAATTTTCAAAGTTCGAAACTTAGATATCAATTCAAATACGAAAAAGTACAAATAGTACAAATAGAATATGAGTTGTTTATTGAGTTTTGAAGACTAAGTTACTTTTATATATGAAAGAAAACTGAAATGAAGATGGAGAAATCAAGAAAGTACCGAAAGTACTTCGGGAACTTTTTTTTTTTAAATACTTCCTCATTCGTAGATTGCCAATAAGTCCATGAAATCGCGGTCGGTTTATAGTTGCACTTGGTTCATTTTAATGTTTATTAAATTTTCTGCAATCTGAGTGATGTGTTTCTGAAAAATGATTTCTGTATTCCATTTTAGGTATACTATTCCTCATTTGGCTACTTTCCATTATGGTATTATTTTTAAAGTACACGTTGTAAATAAATATGAAACCTTTACTTGGTTAGAACTGATAATAATTTATTTTATAGGTTAATAATTATAAAAAATAAACATACGTTTTAAAATTAACGAAGTATTTTATTTCGCCAAATTAAAAAAAGAACCTAATGTAAGCATATTGTAGTTTATTTAAAGAGAAATTGGAAATTAAATTCTAGACCATTCCCACACGAATGGCAGATGCTTTGAAACCAGCGATATGAAGAGTTAGTAGATTTTTTTATGTATGTTTATATATTTTAAACATTATTATACATTTTAAACATTACGGATCATAATATTGAATGAATTTTCAAATTACATTAATTATTTAGCTGTCATAATCATCAATGCCTAGGCCTATGCCCCTTATGGATAAAATCGATTAGGGAGAACGGGCCCACAACGATTTGGCGGGTGTAATGTAGATGTATGTCCTCAAAACCAACAGCTTCTCGAGTCAAAGTACCGAGGAGCCCGTTTTTCGCCTATTCATCATATAATATGCTGTGTAAGTTCTATGTGAAGATTTTCATGGCGCAAAAAGATTTTTTTAAAAATTCATGTTTTAGGAATAAAAAGAAGTTGAATCTGTGGGGAACCCACTATACATACATACAACATTCCATATTTATTTATATATATTCACCACTACCATAAACATTCACATAGATTATTGAAACACTGGCAATTACAAAAAGAATATATATATTATATTGATTTATACTCTCTGATCAAATATTTTTCGGAATTTGTTTCAGTATTAATATCTTTAAGACATTGATTATATTTAGTTATTTTGAGATTGTATATATTCAGACTAAAGAAATCGTGCAAAGTTATTTGGAAGTTTCAATTTTCGTCATAGCTACTGCCATAAATCGTTAAATAATATAAGAAAATAATTATGAAATTGTCTTTTCTTATTTCAAAACAATGGAGTTTTACATTAATTTTTATAAAAAATTTCACACTTGTTTAGAATCCAGTCTTAAAATATATGTGATTACTAAATTGATAAATTATTTTTTTTAATCTGCTAAAAATATAAGTTAATATAATTTTCCAGTTAAGACTATCTATTTCTATTTATTGTTAATTTTGAGCGGTGGGGTGGGTGACAGCCCACACTGCCTACACATTCACTGCAGGTTTTATTGTAAACAAATAAAAAAATATATATCTTTAAAATATGTATTTGTCAGTCACATACCGAACATATTACATTCACACATACACTAAAATTAGATTTCTATTACAATTTATACATTAAAAAAGATGTTTAATATGTAAACGAGGATCCATGGATAGGTTAATTTGAATACATATCTGGCTTCATTGTGTTTTTAAAAACCACCATACAGTAAGTTCAAAGTAATATGACGTCCGACAATGGCCGAAAACGTATGATTGAAATTTATAGTGAGTCTTATTTAAATAAGCATAAGGTATAATATACTACGTATTGGTTATCCGTATCACTCAGCCGGGGGTCAGGCGCATGGATGTTGTTGATGGATACTTGAATTATTTAAATTTTACCTTCGCGTAGGTACATTAGTTGTATCTTACTGTAAATGAATATAGAAATTTAATTTATTAAAAAACATCTATATATTCATAAATTGTTTTTTCAAAACTTTTTCATGACTTTTTGCTATTATCCTTTGTTATTTTTTTTTTTTAAATAGCATTCAGCTTCTATTTGTATTTCTTTTATTTTTTCTATTATTTCAATCGCAGATAGGGTTGCCAGCCTAGAGGACAATCTAAACTTAACATGTTTAGCTCTTTGTTAATGTATGAACGAACGCAAAGCTTTTTATAAAACTTGTTTTCAAAATTAAAAAATACACACGGCCATATTTATTTTAGAAGATGGCAACCTTCTACCCTCTGTTGTGTTACCTTGTAACAACTTGTGCTACCCTATGTTTATTTAGTCTGGGAAGTGCTGTATGGTGAAATATAAAAAGGAGATCTTAAATTCATAAAAAAGGAGATGGAAGATCATATGTCTTATTATTCTTATATCTAATGTTTCGTAACCGGCACATGATGCAATTTCTTTTTTCTATTACGGGCATTTCCTCTCTAGTTGCCCCTTACCACCCTCGTCGTATTCCTGTGATGATATCCACATCTGCTGGAAGGAACCTATTGATGCAAGAATGGAACCACCTGCGGAAAAAATATTTATTTAAGTTTTTGTTTTGTGTCGTGACAAAATGTTACGTTAGATCGTTTAGTATATGGAAGTACTAAGGTCCTAGATTAGTCAGTACTGAGATCAGGTGCTGGAATACCTTAGAGGCGGCGTTGCGAATCAAACAAGCTCTTGAGCTGCTAGATAAGGCAATGGAGGTAGCCTTTATTGCATATAGGGTGTCCTTGAAGTCAACGTCAAGCCGAAACGAAGTGACAGGGTTGATTATAACCATCATGAGAAAAATCAGAAAAAAAATATATCCCATCCCATGTAGTTTCAAAATTATTTAAGAAAATTCCAAAAGAGATAAGCCAAAGTTGCCGGTATGTAACAAAAAAGTCCAATACACAACACAATACATAATATTATTGACATTTGCACACCTTATTCAAATGTTTCTTTTTCCTTTTTTGCGTTTATTAATTTTTTGTTATGTTATGGAAATAAAGAGGCTTATTATTGTGCTCAAGGTAAATTGTATAGGAGCAAAAATTTTGTCTAAGTTCTAAAACAATTACAAAAATTAAGAACATGCCAAGAGCTTGTCCGAATCAAAAAATTTTACTGAGTCAATGGGTTAGCAAATATTATTCTTGCTTAAATGGGTTAGCAAATAAGGTTACTTCGAGGATTTATTTTTTTACGGTTTTGTTTAGTATAAAACTATTGCTCCTTGGTGAGCCGGTCGAGGTACCCTATACTGTATACACATTCACCTATCCAGGCGGCGAATCTTCTCTCAGCGGGCGAGGGGGCGGCGTGGCTCTTAAGCCGGTGGGAGGAGGGGGCGCGGGACGCAAGCTCCTTGGTGAGCCGGTCGAGGTACCCTATACTGTATACACACTCACCTATCCAAGCGGCGAATCTTCTCTCAGCGGGCGAGGGGGCGGCGTGGCTCTTGAGGCGGTGGGAGGAGGGGGCGCGGGAGGCTAGCTTCTTGGTGAGCCGGTCGAGGTACCCTATACTGTATACACACTCACCTATCCAAGCGGCGAATCTTCTCTCAGCGGGCGAGGGGGCGGCGTGGCTCTTGAGGCGGTGGGAGGAGGGGGCGCGAGAGGCTAGCTCCTTGGTGAGCCGGTACGAGGTACCCTATACTGTATACACACTCACCTATCCAAGCGGCGAATCTTCTCTCAGCGGGCGAGGGGGCGGCGTGGCTCTTGAGGCGGTGGGAGGAGGGGGCGCGGGAGGCTAGCTCCTTGGTGAGGCGGTCGAGGTACCCTATACTGTATACACACTCACCTATCCAAGCGGCGAATCTTCTCTCAGCGGGCGAGGGGGCGGCGTGGCTCTTGAGGCGGTGGGAGGAGGGGGCGCGGGAGGCTAGCTCCTTGGTGAGGCGGTCGAGGTACCCTATACTGTATACACACTCACCTATCCAAGCGGCGAATCTTCTCTCAGCGGGCGAGGGGGCGGCGTGGCTCTTGAGGCGGTGGGAGGAGGGGGCGCGGGAGGCTAGCTCCTTGGTGAGGCGGTCGAGGTACCCTATACTGTATACACACTCACCTATCCAAGCGGCGAATCTTCTCTCAGCGGGCGAGGGGGCGGCGTGGCTCTTGAGGCGGTGGGAGGAGGGGGCGCGGGAGGCTAGCTCCTTGGTGAGCCGGTCGAGGTACCCTATACTGTATACACACTCACCTATCCAAGCGGCGAATCTTCTCTCAGCGGGCGAGGGGGCGGCGTGGCTCTTGAGGCGGTGGGAGGAGGGGGCGCGGGAGGCTAGCTCCTTGGTGAGCCGGTCGAGGTACCCGGGCGTGTTGGCGACCCCCCCGCACGCCACCACCGAGCCCCACAGCGCGGGCCGCGCGTCCGCGTCACACGACGATGCCGCCGCGCACACTGTACACGCGCTCACATGACGTAGACGAATGACAATGTATGACGCAATAGGGAATATGCACTTTTTTTTGAAAATGTAATTAATAAACGATAATAGGGCACTTTCGGTAGTGAATAAGTCACGAAATTGTACGAAAACTAAAATTTACATAATAATAAATATAGGGATTCTGATTTTGAGTTTTAAAGTAGCACGGTTATCTTAAAATTAAGTAATTGTTTATTGTCTGTGTGTAACATGACTTGAAACACGACCCGCCATAGTGTGATGTCACTGCGGCGACGGCTGTTGGATTAGTCATAAACATATGCTTAATATTGAGTAGCTCGGTGGCGTAGTGGATAAGCGCCGCGGCCCGCGATCGTTGTCGTTAAGCAACTGTCGCAAGGGTCGGTCACGGGATGGGTGACCATAAAATTATTATCTCGAGCTACTCCGTGCTTTGGAAGGCACGTTAAGTCCCGGCTGCATTTGCAGTCGTTAATACCCTCCAATCCGCATTGGGCCAGCGTGGAGGGTCATGGCCCATCCTCCTTAACTATCCATAAGGAAGGCCTGAGCCCCTGCAGTGGGGACGTAAAAGGGCTGATGATGATGATGATGAATATTGATTGTAAATCAAATTCCTAGATAGAACTGTTCTTAGCTAATTTATATCTTTTTATTTAGTAATCGATGTTTAGGTGGCATTGTTCTTGTTTTATTGAAATCTTTTAATCTTATACTGTATGCATCTGTTTTGTGTACATATCACAATGACATCATGAATTTGACGGACAGCGTTTTCGCGGGTATAAAAAATAATAATAAAAAAATTAAGCAATAAAACGTGTTTATTTTTCCGAAATATTTGTTTTACAGTTTTTTTTTTATTAAAATAAACAATTACAAGTATTGTTTCAAACAGAGTTGAATACTATATTTTCACCATTGTATAACTGAAACAAAAATACACGGCACCGAGAAACTAAAAAATGAATCGGAGTAGCCCGGTGGCGTAAATAAGCGCCGCGGCCCGAGATCGTTGTTGTTAAGCAACTTTTGCAAGAGTCGGTCAAGGGATGGGCGATTAAAAAAGTATTATCTCGAGCAACTCCGTGCTTCGGAAAGCACGATAAGCCGTTGATCCCTGCTGCATTTGCAGGCGTTAGTACCCTACAATTCGAATTGGGCATGGAGGGTCACGGTCCATCCTCTTTAACCATCCATAAGGAAGGCTTAAACCTCTGCAGCTAGTACGAAAAAGGACTAATAATGAATACACTAGATATTTACCAAGATGGGGAGCTCCCAAGCTCTGTTCGAAGAAACACTCCGTCAGCTTAAACCGTTCTGGACCGAAGTCTTGATGATATCCGCCGGGGAATTCGTAATGTAAACCGGGCACTGAAGCAGCCGTGCGTTCATCGTACGCACTCTCTGATACCTAAAAGTGGTTAGTTTGTCTATACAATTGCGTAAAATATAGACTATAATTTACTCAAGCGAAGTTGCGGAAAAACAGTTACACATATACAGGTTGCATCGGGTTCCGTACCCAAAGGGTAGAACGGGGCCCTATTACTAAGACTTCGCTATCTGTCTTGGCTGTACGTCATGAACGGTGAAATTTAGTCGAAATTTTCATAGATGCCTTCGTACCGCCATATACCCGTTTATTTATAAATTATATATTTTTTATGAATTTTCTTGTACACAAACCTTGTCCTGAGAATAAGGGACATATAAAAAAAGAATCATCCAATTTGGTTCAGACGTATAGAAATTATGCGCGTACATACATTTTGGCGATTCATTTAAATATGTTATTGTGCGTCAGAGTATTTTAAAATATATTATTTTTCTCTCAATAATTTCAAGTCTACAGTATCTTGCTGGCGTAGTGGATAAACTCCGCGGCCCGCGATCTTTGTTAATAATTTCGCAAGGGTCGGTCGGATGGGTGACCAAATAATTATTATCTCGAGCTACCCGTGCTTTGGAAGGCACGTTAAGCACCTTTAAACCGCATTGAGCCAGCGTGGTCATGGTCCATCCTCCTTAACCAACCATAAGGAAGGCCTGAGCCCCTGCAGTGGGGACGATAAAGGGTTGATGATGATAATGATTACAGTCCACACTCTCTGTCGATAGCAATGATATTTAGCTCAATGTCAAATATAATTTCAAGTTACACCTTAAATTTATACTCAATAGCGTTTAGAACACTAATAAACCAATTTTAAGGAAATCGCGAAAAATAGGCTGTAAACTGGTATGAAGTGTTTTCATCATCGAAGATAAAAATATGAAATTTTGTATTACGCTACTGTACCTACAGTAATAAGTATTTGTACTGGCGTTATGAGATGAAATATAAGATAAATACCAAATTCCATACGGTAAAAGCTGCGGGCGAAAAGCCAGTATATAAAAATAGGATTACCTGAGCTACACAATGACAGAAGTCTTCATATTGTCTCTTCAGCATATACTGTTGCCATGAATGTGTCAGTCCAGCTGGCAATGTCTTCAAAGTATATCTGGCTCGTTCCCTCTCTCTTATCACCTCCTTGCTCTTAAATAATAAAAATAGTAAATTATAAATTATTTGTAAACTAAAACTAAAACTTAAATAAAACTTTAAATTCGCGGCTACACATTGGTCTTATTTGCACTAATGTAATTTATTGGAGCTAATAAGGCAATGTATGGATCAGGCTTTGGACATAGTGTGAACATTGCGTCCAACAAGGGCGGATCCAGGGTGTGGTCACGGGGGTCATGAACCCCCTAGGCTGGGTCCAGGATCAAAGTGGACTACTCATTAAAATAAAGTGGACTACTCATTAAAATAAAGTGGACTACTCATTAAAATAAAGTGGACTACTCATTATACATAATTTTTATATATTTAATTGTCCCCATATAGATTTTATTAAGGTGCTTTCAAAATAACTCGTGACTTGACCACATAATCGTGGTAACTCCCTCCTGTGTGTGATCCCCCTGGCACCAAAACGCCTTGGATCGTTTTTGGAAACAAGATCAAAAGCGAGGTCAAGGAAAGTGCGCACGCGCCACACATTGGTCTGTCATTCGTCGCGAGTTGAGAGTCCTGTTCGCGAGTAATTCTTTTGCTGATAGTTTGAAGGCTATATTGAAGTTAAATACTTAAACGTTGGTACTAAACCATATGCGTATAAGTCGTGCTAATATGTTATACTTTCACTCTGCGACCGCAACTAGGAATGGTCCAATATTATTTGTATTTATTCCAGTGTTTGGCTACTAACTTGGTATTGAAGCCTATGTGTGGTTAGCTGAGTATTGACTTTTTCAAATTGGAGCCAATCATGGACGCAAAGTTGAATTCAATGTGCGGTCGCGGCTATAAATTTTTTTTTTTTGCCAAACTATTTCAAATTAATAACTTTAATAACAGCAGTTTCGTGACATACAATTAACTAGTAAAAAACCCAAGTGGCTAAAATGAATATATAAATAGTTGACTGTTCGATTGATTACCTGATGGTGTAAAACAGGATTCGAGTTAAAATGGCTTTAAGCCCAATGTGTGCTATCTTAATTTACACTTCGATTGAAATTGCGATTAAAATAATAAATAAAAACAATTGAACGATAGAATTACTGCCATTCACGCTTTGAAAAATTTCAGTTTATAATTTAAATAGCATCGAATTAAGGTCGGATTATAAGCAACTAAAGAAGCGTCTACAGCGAAACCTAAATTTACAAATTAAATGAATGAGACATTCGACCCTGCACACTCGACCTCTCAGATCCTTAATGATCAAAGTTAAGTTATAAATAAGAAAAAAAAAACCTTTTTTTTTAAGATTACTTACTTGTATACTATATATGGGTAACATCTGTATGTGCATAGATCCTAACATAGCTTTAGCTTGTGCGGCCAAGTGATCGCCGCCTACAGGTGACCTTACCGCAGCGCTCACTAGTGCGTATCTGAAAAATGACATTCTTAGTAATATTCTAAAGGCTGATAGTCGCGTATAAAAATACTAGACTTTGTAACACTTACAATTTAGATTCCTTATTGACTTCCGAATATCGTTACTACATAACAAGCAAAAAAATATTTCATTTTTTTAAAAAGGGAATTTCTGCCTATGTCTAGTGAATAAATTAATGTCTACATGTAAAATGAAATTAATGAAAGATGGTCTTAACAAACTACATAATTTTCGGCAAGAGCGTATTCCAGGAATCATGATATAGAATCATAGAATATATGTATTGTCTTTTTTTATTACTCTTTTTCTATAAATGAATGCGGAATTTATTTGATTATGGTAGTGATGAGTATATATAAATAAATAGGAATACAGAATGTTGTATGTATGAATGAATGTATAGAGGGTTCCCCAGATCTCCTTTTTAGTGTGTAAATGTTGCCCACTCTATTACCATGCATTTAGATTAATAAATTATGATAAATTGTAGGTTTTTAGTTTTCTCAGGCCCCGCGCGGTGGCGTTGGCGACTTCGGCGCAGGCGACGACACGGGGAAATTGGCCCTTTCGCGACGCCAACGGTCAGACCTGTGATTCTGTAAAAATCCGAATTCGAATACACTCATGTGTCCATATTCACTTCGAATGCGACATCCGCTTAACCATAAGTGAACTGAGTTTCAAATGACAATAGGGGTAGCATATCGGAAACACGTATAATTAATCAGTTGTTTAGCATTTTTATACAAAAAATTCGGACATATGAGTGAATTCTAATCCGGGTTCGGATTTTTACGGAATCGCTCGTTTCAATTTGTATTTTTAATATAAAATTTGATTTTACGAGTATTAAAAATTTTGGTAAGTATATGTAATTATTTATTTATTTGGTACGGATTTAAATGTCGATAAAGTTTTAAATTAGTTAAAACTGTAGGAGGCAACACTATAATCACTTAGTCGTTGCATCGCGGTCGCCGCCACCACCGCACCCGCACGGCGTTCAGTTTGCGTCTTTATTGGCTTGCGGCATTGACAATAATAAAAGAAAAACATATTTACGACGAGAAGATTATGTAGGAATTTATTCTCTGCTTACTCTGCAAATGACCTGCATGCCGATTCTGCTAATGTCTATGTAATAATCGTATCTCAGTAGACATCTCAACAACTCGCATTTTACCACTATACCAGTGATTCTCAACCTTTTTTTTGTTGCGGCACATATTTAACGATTTCAAAATTTGGCGGCTCACAAAGAAAAAGATAAAAATTATTTACTTACTACAACACACTGCATAAATAGTTTATGAGAAAAAAATTTAATATACCAAAAAAATTAACTAATATATACTACAATAATAACTAAACGTTTATTAAGGGATTAATTACAAGCTAATAATAAAAATATTTTTAATGCGAAATTTGAGCTTGATTGTTTTGATAATTTCATTTATATTTGGTCGTAAATATGACAATGCTACTCTCATATCGTCTTCTACATTTAAAAATCTTGATCTTTTTTTTTGTTTTAATTTTGGCTAATGCTGAAAATCCGAATTCACGCAAATAAGATGTGGAAAATTGTAATAATATGTTTAAAGCTTTTTTGTTTACAAATTTATAAATTGACACTACATGCAAATAAATTAATATTAAACCGAATCACATACATTTGTCAATTTTACGAAAGAAAAGGTGCAGTAACTACTGTGCAACAACTTGTGAATCCCAACTATCACTAAAACAACACGTTATGTACGCAGAAGTGGCAAGTGTGCGTCGACTTGAGACATATTCCTATTGCTATGCACGCCGCTTCATGATAATTTGCCACTAAGAAAAAACGCGCTGCAAAGCAAATAATAAAATAATTAATTTTTTTGTGGATTTAAATATATATTCATGTTAAAAATATTTTTATTTTTAAATGATATAATTTAATAATATTAACATTATTATATATTTGCAAAATTTGGCGGCACACAAAAGTGCCGCGGCACAGTGGTTGAGAATCACTGCACTATACTATGAACCTAAAGTCGATTATTATGAGTGCAATGTCTTCCTCACGCATCAATGGTGACTCGGGTTCGTAATTATCAAGATAATATTTTTTTGATTATGTATCCATATATATCCTAAGTTATTGGTAGAATCTTTTAAAATACAGAAAGGCAATCATGATTTAATAAACATTTAATAAATTTTTGTTTTAAATTATAAACATGATACAAAGAAAACTAAGAAACAAAAAATATTTTTTTGGTGTTGTAGATCTCTATCTAGTCAATTTTCTCTATCAGAAAAAACATATTTGGTATTCTTAGTACAAAAAAATTTTTTTTGAAGCATTTTGTATTAAGAATATATTTTTCAGTATGGCATTGTGAATGCAAAATTAATCAAAAATATAAGTTATTTAAAGATGATTCCCCTTTAATAACAAATCCTAAAGTACAGAAAGTTGGTGTAAAGTTTATAATTATAAAGGTACATTTATCAAGATAATTATAACTCCGAACCCTGATGGTGATATAAGACTTCAGGTAGATAGTACGATGGTGAAATGTAGTTGAGACTCTGTTGAGATATAATGTAAAGGTATAGATTACTATTATTAGTCATATGTCCTTACCCATCTATCACGGGCACGGCGGAGGTTTGACTAGCACCAGCATCCACAACCAAAGCAGTCGACTTGCCGTTAGCGAACGCTGCTAGTACCGCATTCTTTACTAGGAAAAATGCTGGAGCCTGATACTTTTCGAACAGAAGTTCTGCCAGTTTCTCGCGGGCGGGACGGGTGGTCCAAACCGCTTCAGTGAACAATGCAGGGTGATGCTCAGAAGGAGAACGTATGACCTGTATGTACATAGAATAAATAATTAGGTCAAAAAGATAATTTTTATTACTTACGTTTAATATGGATGATGACAAATTATTTTTTTGGTTTAATAATATTAAACACGTAATTTTTGCGTAATCAAGAAATTACGGGACACATTATGTTGAATTGTCGCATGACGTCACACATTTGTAACTATCTATGTAGATGTGACGTAGCAAGCTCCTACACCTCAACTTTAATGCCTATTATCTAAATCATTTCTGGTTAAATTGAAATAAAAAAAAACGTATCCAATATTTGTCTATTGACTGACTGACAGATTTTATAGATTTCCTTTTTTTTACCTAACATCATCCCTATTTCTGAAGTCATATAGATACAAGTTTTATAATTAATGGATAGCAAAGACCTTGGTGTGTTAGTTGAGTATTTTTTATTTACTTATAGAAAAAAGTGACACATCTCAAATGATTGCTAGTGACACAAGTAACAAAAAAGAAAAAAATTAAATACTCAAAGTTCTACAGGTTCACTAGGATCTTTAAAGTTAGAATCGCATTTTTATAATTGTCTGTTTTTTTAATTACTATATGACAAAAGAGACTGTCAAACTCACTTTAGCGTAGCAATAATCAAGCATCTTCTCAAAAAGGTCCCAGTTGTCAACTTGTCCATCTTTCATGTATGTCTGCACTTCCATGCCAGGTCGAGCCACATGTAGTTCAGTCACGTCTATATAATGTCTTAATTCATTACCAGCTTTTGTTCCTAAAATATTAAATATCTCACAATTTAGATTAAACTAATTAGGTAACACTATTGTGTTGTAGTCATGTGAAATAGTAATATCACCTTCCTCACAAGCAATTTCTTGAACTATTTTTCGCAGAGACTTCTAATGTTAGTAGAACATAAACGTAATGATAACTGAGGCAATCAATACTGCTTTTCCTATGCTTTATAAAATTGCCATTACAAATTCAAAACCCTATAAACAATTTTAATTAACAAAACATGGTAGGTAAGGCGGCACTGCTATTTTAGTGCACTTGATATTTGTTAGAGACCTTAATCCCCCTGTTCCAGATATTCAATGTCATATTTAGCAGAAGCACTTTTGAATCAGCGACTAAGCCAGACCTTATTTTCTCATGAAAAAATATCAGAATATATATCTATGATATACAAAAGTAGGAAGACTAAAAAATCTTTACTGTAATTTATTAAAAAAAATGACCTCAAATTCAAAACTTAAGATTGTCTTAAATTTCTAATCTATCATGTGACCTATGGGGAGGAAAATAACCCCTTTTTATATTTGTTTGTTATCGAAATATGGCTGTATGCATATAAATCCCTTTGCCTAGCCAGTGTTTGAAACAAATCATTTGTTAAAGTTATAAAACATCAAACAAAAGTTCAACTTTACATATATTCAAAAAATTGTATGTAGGAAACTAACAGACTGCACTTTGATACTTTGAAAAATTATACCTCTTTAACATCTGTGTGTATGAAAAAAATATCTACACAATCTGAGTAGTCACTGATACTAAAGCTAAGCTATAAAATATCCATCTTTGAATGTGTCAGTCCAGTTAGCAATATCTTTAAAGTGTATTTAGTACATTAGCTCACATTTAGCAGCTCCTTGTTCTTATTATATTAAAATATTATTAAATGAATACTTCGCAGTCATTCCAATTTCTTCAACATCAATACTGCAAGGCAATTCTGTAAAAATCTGAACCAGAATTTGAATCCACTCATGTGTCCAAATTCATGACATTTAATGTAGAAAATCTATTGATTCTATTTCTTGTATGAAAATACAAAATGAAATTGATTGAATATACATGTCTCAGATATTTAATTTCTACGTCATTTCGAAACTCACTTCACTTATGCCACAAAATATTATTATCAATTCAAGATGCCAGCGGATGCCACTTTTTGAAGTAATTCGGACACCTGAGTAAATTCGATTCGGGTTTAGATTTTTACAGAATGCGCAGCTTTTAATGGAACTTTACCATATTTTTAAGCTATTAGTGACAATGGGTGTTAATTATCAAACTGGATTATTGTTCTAAATATCAATTAGGGAAGTTTATACTGTGTATTATAAGATTTTCTGCACAGTATCATCAAATATATGGTCAAGAACATTCCAGAAAGGTTATTCGAGTTTTTTAACACTGAAAGCTTCGTAAAAATTTATGCTTTAACATCCCCATCCATCTTTACTATAAAAGGAGAATTCGTAAGCATACCGCTTTGTGTGACGTTTCCATCAGGAACTTTTTCTTCAGCGTCGGGGATGTGTGTAGCTGGTCCTACTCCGATAACCGCTGGAATATCAGCTTTCGGAGTGTCCTCTTGAGCATAACCAACTCTAAGGGAATGATGGCCGGGATCGAATACCAACGCCCCTATCTCATCACCACCGTACAACATTCCGTTCGGTCCGCTCATTTTTCACTTTATCACTATCGAATACGTTTAAATGAAGTGACTATTTATTAAATTAAAATAAAACAGAGCTACAACCACAATAGCGGTGTTATAGCGGTGTTTTGTTTGAGTTTTGACATTACGATTTTGACATTAGGGCTGCTTTGAACTCGACTATGTGATGGGTCTATAAAATCGATTACCGATTTCTTAAATCGTATGAAAGTTAAGTAAGTTGATTAATTTCAATATCACAAACAAAAAATTAATACTGTCTCCGTTTTTTATTTAGTTCTGTTATTAAAAATTATTGATTGTTTGTTGGAATTATTGAGACTATGTTTTTTAATTTTATTCTTTCATGGAATAAATTAAAGACTATTCTAGATTTGTCTTAATTTTGGTACTAAGACTCTTCGTCAGTCTGTACATTTTTTTCTTTTCTATTACTGGATAGGTATATTTATTATAATAGAAATCATAATGTATTTAATGCACTAACTCACAGTATTTTTTTAGTTGGAGTAGTTTGTCTAATGGACCAAATGTTGTCTGGTAGAAATTGCTACCTTGGCAATAAAGCCGTCTTTTGCATATATGTTAATATTTCTTTGTATTAGTGCATTAAAATATATCCAAACAATCAATCGATGATCTTAACCTTTATTGTAATGAGGAAGTATTTAAAAAAAATAGTTCCTGAAGTCAAACTAGATGGCGCTACGGTACTTTCTTGATTTCTTTCATGTATTATTTTCAATTTTCAAAACTCAATTTCAATTTCATTTCAAACAACTCATATTCTATTTGTACTTTTTCCTATTTGTATTGATTTTCAAGTTTCGAACCCAGCAAATTTCAGTTTTTTAATGTTAGGTTAAAGTACCGGAAATTACTATCTTTGATATATTCGTTTCCTGCAAAAATCAACTTTTGCTAGAGTCACCAGGATGCTAATAGACAAAGGAGTATAATTTCAAATAAACTATATTATTTGTATGGCACAATAATTTATTATAATAACAAATAATTTATGCGTGTATTTATTTCAGCTACGTAACACCGAGACACAATACAAATTTATTCATTATAAACAATAGCATCATTGTAAAACATTATTTTAATTTAATTCGGAGATGTAGTCTATTCAGAGATAGCGTCTACTTTAGAATCCACCAGTAGGTAAAAGTTTAAAAATCTTATTCAAAACACTATTTCGTTTATACATTTAAGTTGAGTGAAAAGTTGCTAGAAACTGCTAGAATCCAATGATCGAATAAATAATATACCATTCTAATTAACTAATTAGCATTCTTTATCGTCATGGTAAATTACATGTACGAAATAATAAGAAGTCAGTAGTAATGCATTCATTATTTACAAAACCCAAAAACACTAGTCTAATAGTAATATCTATCACAAACTTCGTTCAGTCAGATATTATAACACTGGGCATTTACGATAAAAACAAATATAATAAATGCAATTTCTAAATGAACCGATAGATGGTATTTAAGTCGTTATGTAGTGGTAAGTAAGATGGGTTACTGTACTGTAGAAGTAAATGGTACTGTGTATTAATAAAATGCCTAATAGGATTAAATGATCCCTTCGAACTGGTGTACTGCAGGGTTCTTAATAGATAAGCCAATGAATAACGTCACTTTCAATTTTCACTTTGACTGTGGAATGCAGAGATAGAAAATTGAAAGATTTTAAACTAGAGGAAGACCGAAGACGGATTAAGTGAGAGACCATACTAATTATAGGACTAAAATAAGAGTGATTATTGTTATGATTTTATTCAGAAGTGTGGTACGGATTGTTATGGCGACAACCGACTTGATTGGACATGTGGTCACCACTGTAGTTGATTTATATAATTTTTTTTTATATAAATTAAACGCAATACAACTGGAAGCAGGATGGTGGTTACGTTATTTAAGCTTCGTTTGCAATTAAAACATCATAGTAAAGCTTTGAGAAATGGCGATTTCTATTAATTAACTGTGTATTGAACCACCCACTAAACGCACTGGGCCTGCATGATGGGCTGTGTTGTTCCTATGTGAGCGATCCATCTATAGAGAAAACATACCCCAACGATAGCCATTACCAAGTTAACGACGATGGTGATTATGAATATGATGATGTACTTATGGATTAATTTAATTCAGTACCATCTGTCGAGTGTAAACGAATATGTTTTATAACGTAGTTGTCAATTCATATCACATGTTAGGTATGTTGAATTAGTAGTATTTATTTAAACAATAATAGCATCGATAAATAGGAACCGTTCTAAAGGCTATATTATTACATATAATCTCTCTAATGAAATAAATGAAAAAAAAAACAATGTTACTAAATATAAAAGTTAATAATAGCAATTATGTAAGTGCAAAGTATGCATATAAACCTTTAACTATGGTATATGGATGTACAGTATACAAATATATATATTTTTTCATTTTTATGACAGTAGCTATACTACTTAAGTCATCCCTGAAGTGACAATACCTATCTTATAATGTTCTGAATATCAATTATATCGAAGCATCCGATAGAGTAAGCTCTAGAATTCTTATATCAAAGCTTATATTTTTGGGTTTTCTGAGCTATTTCGCCTTCTCACCGATTGGATATAAAATATGTTGCTGGATGCTGTATGTATGTATTTCATATGTTTCCTATGCAACACATTCTGGAGTACCTCAAGGATCTGTATTTTGGCCTTCACTTTTTTATTTACGATTGATGTCGTTGTTATCGGTGTCCTCAATCACAGTAATTAGCAATTAGTAAGTTCTCTAATAGTAATTAAAGTACATATATGGCAATAACACAGACAATTAATCAGGATTCACGGTAATGTCACTTCACCGAAATGAACTAAGTACTTATTTATCTGATTATTATATTGAAACATTCAATATAAAACTATAACACCTACAAAGTATTCATTCTAATAAACATTTAGGTAGTTATAAGTATTCTATAGAAACTAATTCAGGCCACTAAAAGACTGTCCATTTCAGCAGCGTTACCGATATTCCATTTTTTTTGTTTCAAAATATTATAAAAGCGTCATGTTTTCGAAGTATATGCTAACAAAGTTGTATTCTTTGTAGCAGCTAAATCGAATAACATTCAAAATATGTACATTTTTACAATACAACAGAAAATGTCTGATCAGTGCGATCACCAGACTAACAGCCAGTTTCTGATTTGATTTAATTTTTACGTCTCATATAGCAAAAAGTTATACTTTTATCAAGCTGCTATCAACTGATAAAGAATAGGTACATTTGACTAATGAGTGGTAATTTATATATAATATTAAATAACATGATAAAAATTGATGATTTAATACCTTGAAACATTATGTTACAACAATCATAAAAATAATGATAATTAATATAATATAATTTAGAAAATAAAATCTTGAACGTGACACCGCGTGTACAGTAATGTACACTGTAATAAAATCAGCGTCGAACTCGACGACGAGTTCAGCGCGGTCACATTCAATTCTTCATTGCTTCAATAAAATAAAACCATTTCGATAAGTAATAAAGGTTTTAATTTGAAAACCTACTTTGAAAGGTTTCGAGTCCGGTGATTTATTACAGAATAGCATTGCAATTATTGTACTTTAGTTTGAAATTAAAATAAAGACAAATCTATCAAGTGAGCAATCTTTTAGTGGTCCATCTATGATGGGTTGATATGCTAATAAACACTTTTGAAACATCCGTATGTAGGCATATTATTTTGTTAAATATGCTGTACCTATTACTCTATAGTTAAAGAAATAAATAAATAGCTGTCATGGACTATTTCTGGATCAGATTAAATTCTTAATCGTAATAGTTTCATATAAATAAATGTTCTCACAAAAATAATAAAAACATTATTATAAAAATTAAAATTTATACCGGGTCACTTTTCAATAATCCACAGTTAAAGTTATGAATATGAAATAATTGATCTTCATTTTGCATATTGAAGTCCAGGATTGGACAAAACAATCCTGATTGGTTACCATTGGTTGACACATGGTTCAGGCTTGTAATAAGTGACGAGCAGAGCAACCGCCCAGGGCCTCACGTAATACCAAAGTGAAAAAACTTGATATTTAGAATTCATTTATATTGTACCGAGTAACTTCATCATCAGAATTATGAATTTTGGCAATAGAAATCTTTGCCAAAATTCATAATTCTATCTACCATTCGCTGCTGAACGTAGGAAGGCTGCCCCCTTCCCCTATGTATTCCTCCCATTGTATTGTATAGTCTATAGTAGATACTTGATTTATTTAGTTTTGAGCTAGGTACTTCTTTTTCGTCGCGAAACGAAACGTCGCAAACCGCTATTTGCTAGAGTGAGTAACATAGCGGCTGTGCGATAGCTTTGCGGAATCATTCATTTTACAAACGTAACCCGGTATGTAAAAATACCTTCAAAATTCAGAAATACTAAAACATTCTAAAAGTCAAATTAAAAATGCAAATTAAAGTCGACTTCCGACTTTTGTATTATAATAATTATAATTACATTTTATAAGTAGTCCTTCCCTCAATTTTACAATACAAAATATAGTCGGTGTCCTAATAGCTAATGGGATTGGTAAACCTCGTACAAGTTAGTATAATATCATGTAAAAATATTCTTTCCTTTTACAAACCTTAATATTAAAGTTTAACATTCATTGACACGTAGTGGTACTACTGACACGGGTAATATCTATTTTCTATTAGGTATATTAAGAGTAGGTACATACTTACTAGCCGTTTGCTTTGAGTTGGCCTACGGCTATTACTAAATGACGTCATACGACAATAAATGGTACCGTCAACAAAGAAATTATGATTGTATTTTCTCGGCATCAGCTAGTTTAATTGAAATTCGTTCACGATTTAATAAGAAGTCGATTGACATACCTACTTTCATAAAAAACTCTTTCCTTCTTTCGGATTTTGAATGAATATGAAATCTTAGAATAGAATAGACTAGAATATACTACTAGAATCTATAGAATAAAGTCTGTCGAATAAAAAAGAATTTTGAAAATCGGTCATCAATTGGAAGAATTATTAAAAAATCAACAATTAATAAAATACATTAGTGATAATATCCACCATCATGGGCAGACCATAGAAAAAGATAATATACTGGTACGCGATGTCGTTTCAAGCGTACCGCTTGGAGCGTCTGTCTGTACGTGCAGAGCGGTGAAGTGGTTAGGGTTGCCAGCCATACTCTAAAATAGAGTACTATACTCTATATTATGTAGTTGTAGTTTATAACACTATTGGAGGACGTTAATATAATCACTTTTACACAATGGTTATTATACTACATTACCAGCCACGCATATATGATGCATATCTATTTAACGTAACGAAAAGAAACAGAAAAAAAGATAACACATATTTTGTATAAGTCGCTACTCTTTATTTATCTCCTTTAAAATGAGATTACTCTATTTTTTGTAATAACAGTTGGCAACCCTAACAGCCAATTGCACAAACTTCCATTATAATTGTCATTAGTTTAAATAGACATTAAAATTCAAATTTAGAACATTAATTCGAGCTTTTAAAGTCGTCATGAAACATTAACGGACATTTGCGCAACTATGTGTTAGAGTGGTAGTGGTCAATTCAGAGTACACGGCTAGTTCATACATATTTTTTATTGAGAAATTATCTCGTTTTTTGTAAACAGTGTTGTTGTGCAACCAACATGTTTTTAGTGCATTAGTAGAAAAGCAGAGTAGGAAAAGTAAACGTTCTCATAATAATTTCGTAAAATCTAACAGTTTTATACGAATATTTTAGTAAAAAATGAAACATTGTATTCACTTAAAAGAATATTGATTTATATTCAGTCATATCATAATTAAGCGTTTCATGACCTTAATAGAATAAGTCATGTTTTTTTACTGTCAATCTGTAAAGCCCACCCTTTTATTATATCCCCCCCATTTCAACTCATCCCATCTATGTGTTCTAAGATAAATGTAATTATATGTTTAATATAGGATTACAAGTCAGAATATATACTTGTGATTTGACTCTTCCTGATTTATTTTTACACTTATGACTATGTTAATTTTAACCATTTCTCCTCCATAAACCGCTCCAATAAAAGTGTAAATAAGACCACTCATGTTAGCTCTTACTACGGACATATATTTAATATCTTAACTCTATAAACTGATCTAATAATACGTGTCGTTTAATAAGAATTCTCTCTTCTGATAATCTTATACGTACAAAACCAAATGTACGTATTAGTTAAATAAATAACGTATCATTGACCTTTTGAAAATACGAAACATTTAATGTTAACTTAACATATCTAAACGGGGTCTGGAATGTTTATTTGACTTTTGGCACTAGCTCTAACATCAGAACGGATATTATCAACATGACTAGAAACCTATACAGTTACAGCGCTGAATTTTGGTTATTTTTCTTCATTGTTACCATGCAAGTAGACATTGACATCCGAACCTGCTATATGTATAACTTCAGACTCCGTAGTTGAAGTTACCTCCTCTCACTTTCTTGAAAACCCCTCCTCATATGAGATCCAAATATGAAGCGCCTCCCGCATATAAAATTCACTGGACTATGCAACCGACGTTAATAGCACTGAATAAGGGCGCAGCCCCTAAGCCTCCGTCGCCGTCCGTCACGCCGGCGAGGTACTTTGCCCTCGTGCAGTCGCCACAAGTGCAGCTGTCTGTGAGAGTGCATAAGCCCCTAGCTGTTGCAATAGCTTCCCATTTGATTTGATCGTCTAGAGTACCGCTTCTACTCAGGAGGTTCTGTTGAGGATAAGATAAATATAATTAACTGTAGCCAGATCCGTCTGTCAGTTCACAATAGGCTAGTTGACAACTTATTTTTATTTTTATTATAAATAGTCCATTAATATCTATGAAATAATGTAGAATTACAGCATATCCGCGATTAATGTTTTCGGAGATACGTTGCTATGTTTGTGGAACTGCTGCGAGTCGGCCAAAACGCTCCCTGCAAATCAAGCCACTAAGTGTCGTCACACGGTGCTATGGTTAGTGAAAAACGTATGGTTGTCAGGGCAATCTTTTTAATATCTTTGTTATTTGTGCGTTTATGTTATTATAACTGTTATATTGAATGTTGTATGTATTTCAGCAAAATTTTATGGTATTTTTTTCCTAATTTTTCAAGTTTTAAAAGTATATTATTTACCAAATTAGTCATAAAATTTATTTTGTTAAATATTTATAAGTTAAGTTTCATATTTTCCGAATATATAATAGAAACCTGTATTTTCATTTTTAGGACACAAGCCTATTACATATTGTACATATTATGTCTGATTTTCTTTTAATTATTTATGTATTTGATTTTTTTATTTATTTGATAACGTATATGCACCCTACTTACGAAATTGGCGCCCAACGTGGGGCACCATTTCAATAGTTAGTCGGCCACTGTAAAAAGTTTGATGATTTGTGTGATATATGTTTAATTTGTTTCGTTTATTAAACGGTTTTATTTAGTTTATTATACAAGAATATAAAAAAATATGATTATTATTTGCCAATCCAAAATCGCTTCGATTTCGAGTTTTAGATAGAAAAAAATGATATTAGACAAAAATCAAGATTTTGTGCTATAGAAATCTGCAATAAAAAAATATTTACCACAACATCCAGATCAAATAAAATTTAGAGATGTTCATTTGTTCAAAATAATTACATATCTTTGTAAACACTACAAAAACGTAAACCTCATTCTCAATGGAGCTCAATCAATCGCATATGATATAGCTTCTTGAAGGTGAAAGAATTTTGGAAAATGAATCAGTAATTCTGAGCCAATTTAATGCAAAGTGTTCCGTAGGTACTATTAATTACTTAGCATCATTCGCAATGTCACAAATTAGCATAAAAACATTTATTTTTCTAGTTCATATTGTAAATTCTTTAATTTTCTGATACAATGTATAGACTTCCAAGCCGCAAACGCTAGCCAGACTTACAGCCAGTTGCAAAAAAGTAAAACTATGAAAACAGACAATTACCAGGGCCCCGGATAAGAAGACCAGGACAGCGGTGTACCAGGTTTTGTTTGCATTGTTATAACTTTCCCATATACAAAAAAAACAATCAAAATTCTCCCCTTTGGCATAGAAAACTACTTGTTGATTAATGAGTCTCACCTCCATAACTTCTATGTTGCTCGCCTGCCACATATCGAAGTCACGTAGCAGCTTCTCCTCCTTAGATCTGTTCTTTTTACCTTTCTTCAAGGTACCGCAATACACAGACAAGTCTTCACTAGCAGCCAATGAGGTTTCATCGAACTGGAAAGAATATAGTTTAATGCCAAGTACAGCTTTAGAGGTTCAACTAAATAGAGCCTTTATTATCTTTTCAACTAGGTTTAGTTGAAGTGCCGCGGCCCGCGAACGTTGTTGTTAAGCAAATTTTGCAGGGGTTGGGTGACCTAAAAATAATTATCTCGAGCTAATCCGTGCTTTGGAAGGCACATAAAGCCGTTGGTCTCGCTGCATTTGCAGTCGTTAATATCCCCCAATTCACTTGAAGATCGCGGCCCGTCTTCCTTAGCCATTCATAAGGAATTCCTGAGCTGATCAACATTATCGGCCCTTTCACGACAGTAACCTAGGTTTAGCTCTCCGCGCTTTGTTAGTCCATTGGTCTCGGGTGTGTTAGTCAGGAATTTGTGTTGAGTTTAGCATGATAGATTATATTATAGCTCGCTCTCACCATTTCGTCTATAGCAAAGGCCTGTAGTGCCCTAGCAGTGGAAAAATTTATTTCTGTGGTAGGGACAGATACATACCCACAGAAATAAATTCATTTCTGTGGACATACCTGCAAAGAGTTAGCGTCACAAGACGTGGAGGCGTCGCAGTCATCAGCAAGTGTCTGCTCCAATTCATTGAAGTATTGGATTTGGTCGAACTCGTCATCTTGTAATGTTGACGTAGAGGTTGCATCCACTGACGCTTGGTTTCTTAATGGGTGGTAGTTTACCTGATTCAAAATTTATTCTAATATTTAATAAAAAATATCTTCATTACAGACTGGTTATACCTAAATTTAAGTACTATCATGATAATTTCGCTTTGATAGCTTTGCAAAAATAAATCATAGGAAGAAGCATTATTAAGGCAGATGACTCAGCCAGTTTTTGCCATTGAGACAATGACCTGCGCTTGGCAATTTTGACACATCACAGCTGTTAACGGTATTAGTTTTGTCATAAAAAACAGAAAGCAGCCCTTGCTGAATTTCTTGCCGGGTTTGTCAGTATAAGGTCTTCTGCCGTTGAGTGTTTTCGTAATGAAATACCAATATGACTTTTTTATATATCTATACTATCTATCTATCGGCCAATAAAAATCCTAAATTAAAATTACTCCTTATATAACAATATTATTAATACCTGTGGATCCTCACATTGGCTGCTTTCACTGAGCCGTCGAACGGGACTGAATTTCTCATAGGCCATCTGTAAATGATATTCAATCAGCAAAATTGAGTAAAACGTGTAACGTTCTAGTTTTATTATTTTCGATTGATAATAGATAGTTCTAATCGTGAGATATCGTGAAGTACACAGGGGGTACGCGTAAGGTTGAAAAATGGGTAGATTAAAATGCCTATGGAAAACTTGGTAAAAGTAGAGTCTTTGGGCTCTTTACAGAAATATTTCGTAGTTTGATTAGGCCAAGCAATAGTTTGACTTAACGATATCATCAATTATTTAAAGCTTCGCTTTTGTCGAGAGATTTCCTTTTTTCTCGGGACTCTAGACATCATTCGAAATGTCAGACAATCTAGACGAATCTGGCAGCCCTAGGTGCGACGGCATGAGGGCGAGGGCGTGGTAGTGAGCCCAAACTCCCATACAATCGCTTGGGACACGCCAGTCAGGAGTTGCAAATTTTGTTAAGCATTTAATCGTTAGAAAATCGTTTGTAGCTATTGTGACAGAAATAGAGTGCCGTATGAGATTTATTAGACTTTTTATATTATTTTTCCTATATACGCGTACTAGCAATAAGCAAATTTGGAATAGATGAAATAAAAAAATATCTAATAAATATAATAGAATACATTACCCATTCTGATGTTCCCTTGAACATCAAAAAATTAAGGGAAAAAGAGCAATGCCATGTAAGGCGAATGATTGTAGTTACGGATTTTTTAAGTAGGTTTTCGTTTATTTAACGTAGCCCACGTATAAATTTTGGTTATTCAAAAGGTTGCCATCGGCAAAGTTTTTTCATCATTGGACCGTTGTAAGAGTTTACTCTGCGGTATAAAGACTAAGCGGTTTTGAAACAGAGGTGGGTTATAACATGTCATGTTTCTAGAAATTTAAATACCTTTAAATTAAGAGTTGTTTAAACCCATCTTCCAGTAGGAACATACAGTAGTGTAAGATAAAAATAGATATAGGTAATACAATAATAATAATCTGACCTCTTCATCGTCACTGTCGATCTGTAAGGTAGTGAAGTCTACTGGTGGTTGTTCTTCTGTTTTACCGTAACTTGTTGAAGGTACAGGTGAACCGGGTATTACTGTACAGAAGACATTTATTGTAGATTATTCTAAAATAATATAAAATTTATTTCCCCCTAAATCTTCGACGATAGTTTGGGCCTAATATACTGAATGGTTAGAAGGTTAATGGGCCTCAATTCTGCAAATGTTTACCTACGTAATAATCGTATCTTGATAGAATCTCGACTACTTGCATTTTGCCATTGTACTTTCTACTTGAAGTTCAAAATTATTAGTGCAATGTCTTCCTCACAAACAAGAATTGTGTCATCATCAAAGGGTTGTATTTTTTGTGCGTATTCTGCTTTCCTATGATTCTTGTCATCGATTTCATATCCTCGTTTTATTCATAAACTTTAGGACGACGCCGAAACTACGGTCGCACTATGTGAAATACTACTTCGTATTGCGCTTAGTATTATTTACATTGAAGCAGTATTTTTCTCAAAGGCCGATCATAAGAGCTTTTCCGTGCTTCTGAAGGTTAAACTTTTGGTCTCGACTGCATCTGTAGTCAATACCATCACATCCGCACTGGGTTCATTACATCTATTCAAATCGATCCCATCTACAGCGAAAACCAGTGCCCCAGCATTGGGATAATTATTAGGCTGGTGATGATGATCATACTTTTACTTTCTGCTATCTATATCTATCCTTACCATTATCGTTGCTGTGACTCGAATTTAACAGATTCTCGGTAGAAGGTTGCTCCTGTTCCCTGCTGCGAGCTTTGAATAGACCAAATTTGCCGGGTGCCATACTGTAAAATCATCAGGCATTTGAAGTTCTGAGTACTAGATCACATAAAAAATAACCACGCATGCTTCACATTTATATATACCTACAGACATACTCGTTTCAAGAGCTGTTTGTTGAATGAAAACAGTGGACATTTGAATTGGAATGTACGATTTAGTTTTTTTGTGTTTGTTCAATGAAAACGTCGGCATTTGAATTTGGAATGTACGATTTAGTTTTTTTCAAATAAGCTGATTATTCTAGTATTAAAAAGAGGTTCAGATTTTTTTTTTTAAAAATCCAGTACTTATGTAAACGCAGGTATTACCGCAGTAGTCGAATATCTGCAGGTATCATCGAGTTATTTGATATAATTGTAGTTTTAGGCAATTGCAGGCATATTTTACTCAAAAAGTTAAACTTTTATGAAAGATCAATTTATATTCTTTTGAATGTTCCCGTCGCACACTTTGCACAACAAATCAGAAAAACAAAAAAAAACTATTGGTTTGCGTCCAGTCGGTGCCAGAGCATGACATCCATATAAGCGCAAATACGTTATACACCATACGTTCAAAGCTCTACGTATCAGAAAATATATACTAGTAGCTGTTTTTACAATTGGAAATTCCTATTTTGAAACCTTAAGGTTTAAACCTTAAAGCCTTGATTTTACCTCGGTAATACTTGCGTTTATTAATATATTATTTTTTTTAGACAAGTAAGGTAAGGTAAGGTTTGTTTGGGGTTATTTTCGGAAATACTGATCCGATCATGAAAATTCTTTTACCTATGGGAAGCAAACGAACTATACCGAATAAAAAGTCGAGGCTTATTTACTACGACTATTTACAAACGGTAACTATCTGTTACCGTTTATTGGCTAATTTTACAGGCGAGTTTGTACAAAGGTGTAACGTCATACGACATTTGAATTCAATGTATTGCAGTTTATTGATTTCGAAATAAATAAAAAAAATATGTGTTTAATATTCAATAATTTGATGGACAAAAAAAAACAATAATTAGTCATGTACGATCTTTAAGGTTTAAAAACAACTTTAAGCTCTAATAATGAGGAATATACTAATAATCAGGAATGACGCTAAAACTAACGATGATTTTAAAGGAGGTTTGTGCAACTGGGTGATAATATAAATAGTTTTCTAATGTTCTTTTCTATACTTGCCATCTTTGAATACCTTAAACTCAAATATATTGGCAAAATAAAAGAAACCGTCGTATTTCCTATTAGATCGCTAATGACATTAAATCATTGTAAAGCCTCCCGGATTATTTTCTAAATGGAGTTCAACTTCAAAAAGTATCTTTTACCTTTGTTAAGCCATTCAAAATACAACAAAGATCGTAGTTGTACAGAATATAATTCGATCACAAAGAAAAGAGTTACAATTGAAGCTTTGATTGTTTCTTTTTTATTAATCGCTTCAGTGATTTTATTATATTGAAAGAATACGGAGATTTCTCTTTGTTGCTATTCAAAATTTGTCCTTTTTAGTGTACCTACTTTTACATTGAAAAAGCTTGTTTGTATACTGTATAAAAATCTAAATATAAAATGTAATATTATTATGTACCAGGACTTCATGGAGTGGACGAGTCAATTATATTGCTTTTACTATAGGAGCACCACGATATTCACGAAAAAATAATCAGCTGTTTCATGCTGCTGGCGATATTAGGTATTACTGTGTCTCATCCACTCAACGAAGTCTCGAGATATTAGGGATTAAAGTATGAAATTGCCGTTTTATTGTAATAGGTTTTTTGAATTGACACAGAATCTTCATGGTTTGAGGTTTTCGAAGGATTTTTTTTTCACATGGTTTCTATGACGTTTTTCTTTTAAAAAATGTGAAACATTTGAATATCAACTTTCAATTGGTTTTGTTATTCAACTTAGACCAAAAAGATATTTCTACTGTGCCGAACACCGAACAATGTTGGCAAAACTAGTAGTAAAACAACCGCGACTCTTGAATTTATCTTCACCATTTTTGCGCCATGACAATGCGAGACCTCATACAGCACGAGAAACCGTTTTGACCCTTCAGGAACTGCAGACCTTACTCTAACGGACTACAATTTTTTCGTGATTTGGACAATCATCTACGTGACAAGAAGACTTCTTCCCAGGAGGCAGTACAAAATGCTTTCACACAGTTTGTTCAGTCTAGATCCTCAGAGTTCTATCGCAAAGGCATAAATGACCTTCCTATTCGCAGTAATGTATCGATAATAATGGTTACTTTTTTGATTAAATAAATTTGTAAAAAATTTAAAAATAAACAATTTTGATTTTCAGTACAAATTAGCAATTTCATACTTTAACCCGTATTATAATGATTCTACACGTTATATGTATATATAAGGATCGAGCTTACATACATACTGAATATAAAAATACAGGTAATTGGGAATATTATAATCAGTCTACGAATTTAATATTTTTGCGGGATATTCTGCGCGCGAGTAAGACTCTCTCTTAGCTGATTTTTTTTTTATAGGGATACGTTACCAAGTAAAAATAAATGTTACTAAGTTATGTTGATTAGAACACATACGAATGTCCGTAATACAAAAATAAATAATTATAAAATGTCATAAGGAAAGTTAATTTAGTGGCATTAGCTGATTTTAAAATAATTAAAACAAAATAAAGCTGATAATAACACAAATTTTAATATTCTGCAAATAAAATAAAAAGCTCTTAACTTCTTTGAATTCCATGATTTTACGTCCAGTTGTACAAACGTACGAAAAGGTTTAATAACAACTTAAATTTCTAATGAATGTTCTTAATTTGAAATTCGTATCAGTAATGTCGCTATTAATTAATGTCAATTTTACTGGACATTTGTGTTCCAACGGGCAATTAATGTCATACTACGTTTTTTCTTTTATTGACTAAAAAACTTATTAAGTAATACAAAAGAGTATACATAGACTATTCAGTTTTCTAAATACAAAATACATAATTAGTTCTTACCTTTACGGGTGTCTATTGAACTACGAAGATTGGCAGATCAATCTACTATTACGAACACTGTGATATGATAAGCACGTCGTTATAAAAATATACAGAGTCCAAGTTGATTTTGTATAATAAAAAAGTCAAAAATATTAAAATGGGAATAGAAAAACTACTATAAATTTCTGTTTTGTGTGATACTTCTAGGATAAAATATAGATTTTCTTGTAAAAAAATTGGCCTTGCTTTCCCGAAGATAAAACACTGATGTTGGGTTCTTTTTAGTCGGCCTTTAATACTAGTCGTGATTCACCTCACCTCCGTATATTTGTCACTAGATATTTTTATTTATTTATCATAGTTATTTTTATAGAATAAAGAGTATACAAAATAAATAACCTATTTAAAAATTGTCAATTAAGTGAAAAACCATTCTTCAAGTACTTAATAGATCAGTCAAACCGTTGCGTTGAGACTTGGTGGTAGCTTTGTTTTTGTATATGACAGAACATTCATTTGAACAAAGCATTTCAAATATTAGGAAGTACATCACTCGATATCAAACCTATTTGATTCAGGAATAGAACTAGTCCAAAGTAAGTTATAAACTGACCATACATATTTTACAAAATTTAAAACAATTGAAATTTATAATAATTGATTTAGTATTGTGAGTTATTTAACACCTTATAATATTTACAAAACAAATGTTACACAATGCGAAATCAAATATAATAAATATTATATGAAGTATCATAATTAATATTTTGAAACTGAACAAAATAAAGCTTAATCCTGTTAAATTGTTTAATCAATCCGAAAAATTAAATCTGGGATATTAGCTTAGTTTTAAAAAGTAGTAAAGAAGAATTTCAAAAACAACTGTTTAGTGTAATAAAAAGTCAAAAATGTAACCCATTTCTTCAGAAAGGCTGTTGTTTTAAATGTCAACTTAACAACTCCATCGATAAACTGAAATATCTCGAATTCTATTGAAGATATTAATTATGAATGTTCGTAGAATAGAAGACACTATGCAATAGTATTTCTTGTGCACCCTTACTTATTCTACTATCTAGAGCAGTGACTCTCAACCACTGTGCCGCGGCACTTTTGGGTGCCGACAAATTTCAAAAGTGTGCTGCCATATTTTGCAAATATATAATAATGTTAATATTATTAAATTATATCATTTAAAAAGAAAAATATTTTTAACATGAATTTTCAACATTTAAATCCATATTTTTAACATTTAAAATATTTTTAACATTTAAATCTACAAAAAAATAAATTATTTTATTATTTGCTTTGCAGCGCGTTTTTTCTTAGTGCCAAATTATGATGAATTTAAACATATTATTACAATTTTCCACATCTTATTTGCGTGAATTCGGATTTTCAGCATTAGCCAACATTAAAACTAAAAAAAAGATCAAGATTTTTAAATGTAGAAGACGATATGAGAGTAGCATTGTCATTTTTACGACCAAACATAAATGAAATTATCAAAAAAATCAAGCTCAAATTTCACATTAAAAATATTTTTATTATTAGCTTATAATTAATCCCTTAATAAACGTTTAGTTATTATTGTAGTAAATGTTGGTTTATTTCGTATATTTTAAATTTTTGTCATAAACTATTTATGCAGTGTATTGTAGCAAGTAAATAATTTTTATCTATTTCTTTGTGTGCCGCCAAATTTTGAAATCGTTAAATATGTGCCGCAACAAAAAAAAGGTTGAGAATCACTGATCTAGAGGAATAACAAGTACAGAAGGGACATACATTAAATGAAACCACAATATCACTCGATAAAAATATCAAAGTGACTGAATTAGAGGACATAATAAAGAACCCATCGCCATTACAGCGCCGTGACTCGCAGTTGCGCGCGCATGTTGTTTATAATCCACTTAGGTTCGATTGCATTGTTCCACATATTTAAGAAATCTGGTGTCCAGGTTTTAGAGAAATATACAAGGTAGACTTTTGTTAATGGGCGTAAAGTCAAAAGACGATATTTTTCTGTAAATTTTTTCTGTCTGTCTATTTTAAGTACATGTAAACTAAAACATTTTTGTGAAAGTACTACACAATTCCCTCTGCTACAACGTGACTTACATATTTAACTGTTGCCTCTATACGAAAGGGGTATGGTTT